ATAAGTGTTACAATGTAACGTGTGTTAATTTTGCAAAAACATTGGTATGAAAATAGCAAAGTGCTACTTGTACTTATAGCCCTATAACTTTCTAAAAAAAGCTAAGAACATGTTAACATTTGGTATTTCTAAACTCAGAGGACAAAATTTTGAAACTATTTAGCACGGGTGTTTTTTGGCAGTTGTAGATGCGTAACAGATTTTGGGGGTCAAAATTCAAAAAAGTGTGGGCCACCCCCCCCACACACACACACACTTTTTTCATCATATTTTATATATTTGTTTTATAGTAAATTATATATGATGAAAATAATGGTATCTTTAGAACATTTAATGGCGAGAAAAACATTATATAATGCGTGGGTACAGTAAATGAGTAAGGAAAATTACAGCTAAACACAAACACCACAGAAATGTAAAAAGAGCCTTGGTCCCAGCAGCAAGAATTTTGAAAAAACATCTTGGTCACTGAGGGGTTAAAACATTTATTTTATTCAAACTGTGTCAAAATAATTTATTGTTTTTTTTTTTTTCCCTGTCACTCCTAGGGTAGATATAGCACACCTTTGCCTATATAATCTAAGTGTTATTCATAAGAAGAAGTACTTTGATTCAGAGCTTGAACTTATTACATACATCAATGATAATTGGGATCGATTACATCCTGGTGAGGTAGGTGTTTATTATTTAAAATTAAATCCTGGATTGTGCATGACCGTTTTTTTTTCTCCCTAAAAAGTTAATAAAACCTAATGCAACTAATACAAATCTCATGTGGTTGATATAGACATGATTGAATGTTCCAATCCATGGATGGAAGTTTGTGAAGTCAGTGAATGTTCCATACCATGGATGGAAGCTTGTGAAGTCAGTGAATGTTCCATACCATGGATGGAAGCTTGTGAAGTCAGTGAATGTTCCATACCATGGATGGAAGCTTGTGAAGTCAGTGAATGTTCCATACCATGGATGGAAGCTTGTGAAGTCAGTGAATGTTCCATACCATGGATGGAAGCTTGTGAAGTCAGTGAATGTTCCATACCATGGATGGAAGCTTGTGAAGTCAGTGAATGTTCCATACCATGGATGGAAGCTTGTGAAGTCAGTGAATGTTCCATACCATGGATGGAAGCTTGTGAAGTCAGTGTTTGCTTAAAAATGTATTAATAATTAGAAATTATAAAACTCCTAATTGTTAGATTTATATACACTGCATTTGACTAATGTTCTTTTTCTCTCCCTCCAGCTAGCAGACACACCAAGAGCAGAAAGATATGAACATATTCTTGATGCATTGAACGAAAATAAGACAATGTAACTTTTTTTTTTTTTAATTCCTCAATATGTTGTGCTGTCATATTTGGTTGTTGAACGGCTTGTGTAAAATTGTACGTACATACATTTGTTCGTTTTAATATGGGTTTTCAATATGCGTGCAATGAAACATGAACTGTTTAGGCTTTTGTTAAAGAGTGGTTTCTATAGTGTAGTGTCTGTGTAGATGAGTAGTTTGTAACTTTATTAATTAGATTTAGACTAGGTTTATTACTACTGGGTCAAGCACACATTTTTATCAGGCCCGGGCAAACTCCATTCCCAAGTGCTTTGTACACCCCTCGGAGACAGGGAAAAATCTAATGAAGGTGTCAGAATTTACCAATCTAAAGCTATGTATATCATTTTAGTAAGTGTCAAGAGTGACTGAATCCTTGCTATAAAAATTAAAGTGAATCTTTCACGACTTCCCTTTTTAATAAAATGTATTCTTAAATATTGAATGACAAATCATCAGAGGGATTTCGACTGATAAGGATGGAAGATAAATGGCCACAAAGCAAATTATAGAGCATGGCTTTAAATTTGAAAACTTGTGTGTTATTTTTTTTTATTTATTTTTTTTGCGGTGCCTAGATAAGAGGGTTTTTTTTGCCCTTGTTATAACTGCCAAATGTCATTTATTTGTTTATTTTTTCTTTGAACTATAGGTTTATGTCTGGCAAGGAAATAAAGAAAAAGAAACATTTGTTTGGGTTGAGAATTAGAGTTCCACCGGTTCCTCCAAATGCTGCAGTAAAGCTTGAAAAAGAAGAGGAAAGCACATCTCATGAGTTCAAGATAAAGGGCAGAAAGTCATCAAAACTTCTGTCTGTTACAAAGTAAGATTACTTGTAACTCTAAATGAGGCATATTTTTACATTCTCATTAATTTATAGGTGGAAGCCCACAAGATATTTTAAAGTAATTGAAATGGACAGAAATCGCACTCGGGTGATTAACGCTCCGAGCATGATGACATCAGACACAAATAATTTTCAAATGGGTCCTAATTCCATGAATTAGGATGTTTGCATAATGATTTTAAAAGCCACATTGCAACTTCTGTTGTCTCTTGTATGATGTCATGGCTGTGCATGTAAGTAGCAGATGTATAAACAGTTTATTTGAAAGTTGGTGATACAGCCTTGCCGGATCTTACATACGGCTGTACAGTTTCAGCAAAAATAAGTACTGCAGTTAGTGGGCATGACAGAGGGGGAAAAAATGCAAAATTATATTTCATTAAAATAACTAAACATAAGCTGTGCTTTGCCAAAAGCTTGTTTTGGTATTTGTCCTTGAAATATATATTATGTTGATGCCAAGGGGAAATGCATGGAATCGTACATCTGGTATCATGCAAAATAATTGGAGAGTGCTACAGTAAGCAAATGTAGGTTTTGCTGCAAAATAGTTTTTAAATGTGCATGTTATAATTTCACTGACATTATTCTCTGCCTGGGAGCAATACAATAAATGTTCTTTGCAATGATTCAGCAGCACTGCAACTAATGGCTATGTTAGTGTCTAAACGCAGTCATGTTTAATTTGCTTTTTATCCACAGAGAGGTAAACAATGGTGAAGTTAAAAAGAGGAAACCTGTGGGTCGACCCCCAGGCTCACACAGAAAGAAAATTCTGCTGAATGAAATGTGCAAGACTCAGGCTTTGGTAAATATAGAAACTATAATATGGACCCAAAAGAGGGCTGTAACACTGCTTTGGACCCAAAAGAGGGCTGTAACACTTCCTAGAGCTGGATTTTTAAGATGATTGTTTTTCTAGAACTAGAATAGCCAACGTTCTCAGTGTCTTGGTAAAATGTACCAGCAAAGACTTATATTCTTGTTACAATTTTATTAAACCTCGTCTGCAGAGTATGTCTCTTACGCCCAGAATGCCATTGGAAATCTACCAGTTAATTGCATATCTTGGCAAAATTGAATATGAAAGATGGTCTTGCAACTCGTCTTTATTGACATAAAATATGCAGGTCCCTGCTGGTTCTTTTCTTAGTGAATACCATTGACACTAGAAATTCTACAAGGGTTAACTACTCATCTGGGAACTGTGAAGGAAACCTTCTGAAAATTGTATATTTTTGGCCAATATGAAAATTTTCTGTTGTATTTCCAGCCAGTTTAATTTGCCATAAACTTTATCAATGCCTTTCAGACCACTTACAGTTTAGTGTACAGTAGCACTTTGTAATTAGCAACATTTAATTCACAAATATTTCCCCTAAATTGTGTTTGTAAATTTACCCATTAGTGTCCTTTCTCCATTTTTAAAACACCCCACGTCTTCCTATTGTCTGTAGAACACTGAACCTGGTCCATCTTCGGAGAATGCTGCACTAGATTTGCATGATCAGAGTCGGTAAGATGCAAACCTTCATTCACTCAGTTATTGTACATTTTGGTTTGGGTGGGGTTTTTTTTCTCTCTTCCCCTAGCTAACCTTTTAGAACTGTTTCTGCCAAACAGAAAGCCAGACATCACCACTTTCTCACCAAGTAACTCTGACTTGGAGTCCAGTGGCGCTGCCAGTTCAAAAGAAGCTACCTCAACCAGCATTTCTAGGTACTAGTTTCAGTACATTGTATGAGCTGTGTGAATGTGTACTTTTTTTTTTTCTCCCTTTTTTTTTTTCTATCACATATATACAGAGTACTCTACATGTTTATGACCTGGACAATATTTTGTGTCCTTTCCGCCTTAAAATATTATATAGGCAGGATTTTTGTGGGTGGGGGGGGGGTGAATGATGGTGGACACTCTCCTTTGTTTATTTCCAAGCCTTCTTACAGCAGATGCATGCACTTAATTTTCCTCAATATCCATGTTGCAAACAAAACTTCTCCCTCATAGCTTTCAGTGAGAGAATTACTAAATATGTGATGTTTAGTGCATGTTACACTTATTTCTCATTCAAATACATGCACTGGAGAACATCCCATACCACTTTAAAAAAAGAGGTTCTCTCACTTATTTGAATGTGGTGGTGTTGGCAGCTTCTGTTCAAGCTGTTCTCATTGATTCCTCCTTCTCCTCACTTGGTGAAGAATGCTGAACGGATTTATAGGAAAATTACAGCTCCTTATTTACTGCCAAGTGTTGCTCTGCATCCCTCTTGGAAATCGAAGAGAAGGTCGTTATAATTCAACCTTTTTAATTGGTTTGAAATATTACAAATACATTAACATAACATTTGTCTCCATAAAAGCATCCGTTGCCAAGCTTTTCAGTTTCAGGCACTGAAAATATAATTCTTACATAAAACATACAAAAGCCCTAACACCCCAGCCAGGTATAACTACTTCTTAAAGAGAAATGCAATTCTAGGATGGTGTATAGTCGACATTCTATCAAAGGAAAATACAGAGGCAAAAACAGTTAGTGTAGACAAATTTAGCTTTTTAGTGCACAAGTTTTATCTTTTGTCTGTTACTGAGGGTGGACTTCTGCAACCTTGCTATTCCTAATTCAGCTGCTGTATATATTCAAGCAGCACGTTTAGTTGATGTATGGGGTAAATTACGGTTCCTGAGAGTACTGTGAAGTCTGATTTTATGTGCGTAATTATAGTTGTTGTAATGGACTGTGACACATCCTTTCTTTCCCATCACAATTCTGTTTGTAGCCGTTAGTTCTAACTTGCTTTATTTAATTTCAGCCCTCCATCAGACTTAAGGAGAGTGACACGAACAGGGAGGTCCTGGTCGGCCTCCTTTCCACCACCGAAGAAACGAGGACGCCATCCACGTAAAGCCCTTCAAGTTCACAATTCAGACATGACAAACATTGATGAAAGAAAAGAGGACTCTCATCTTTCGGGACTCAATACAGATATTGTCAAAAACTTAACCGACCAGGATTTACAGATGCATCATCTGAAGAGTTCCATTACTAGTTATTTTGGTGCTGCAGGCAGAATAGCATGCGGTGAAAAATACCGCATACTTGCACGTCGAGTAACACTTGACGGAAAGGTGCAGTACCTTGTAGAATGGGATGGAGCAACAGCCTCCTGACCGCTGAACAGTTTCCTATTCCACTTCAGGTTCCTTGAGGAGAAGAGATAATTAACTTATTATATTGCTGTCCATCCTTTTCCAACCAAAGTGCCTGCAATACATTGTAACGCCTGGCTGCAGATGAGTAGCTTGATATAGACACATGTCTGTCTTAAATGCTTGCAACAGTGATTGGATGGAATGTTAGTTTGACCTTGTGACAAATAGTTTAAGGAATTGTGACACTGTTTACCAGAGGGAACTTTGCTTTTAACCAAATATCTGCAACAATGCACAGAATGTGGTGCAGTTTACAGTATTTTCTAATCAAACCTTTTGCTAATGTGTTCTTCATGTAATGCGGATTCCATGTTAATTAAATACTGGTTAGCTCCTTTTGTTGTGAGACTGCCCTGCAAAGTGGTGTAAGCAGTGACCTGCAGGCACCTCTAGCACAAAACAGGGTTTAACCTTTTAAAAGCCAGATGTGTATTTTGTACCCTTTTGCCACTCAAGAGGTAAATGTTTAAAGTGTCTTAACGCCACAGTGCCATTGGTTTTTGAACAATAATGCTTTGTAGTTTGGAATATTTCACTAGACTTAGTGATTCAAAGATGTGCAGTTGGTATGATGCTCCCAGCTGCCAAAAAATGTAAACTAGGGATTTGCCACTCTGGGATTTTAAAGGACACACGGATGTTAAGTGAATATTCCTTTTAAAATCATGTTCAATGTATAGATACTTGTGAATCATTTGAATAACTAGACGCAACTGAAGGTGTTGTGGAGCATATTGCTGTTTTTATCTGTACATGGAAGACATTGCTTTTGCACATATGACTTTCTGGTGTAGAAAATTTGCTCAAGAAGATTTTGAAAGCATCTAGTAGACACTAGCTTCCCCCTTCCTTCTCAGAACTGCACATACAAAATTGTGTACAATACAGTGTGCAAATATATAAACCCTGTTCTATTTTTATTATGAGAAATTAAGACTACAAACCAGACATGTACTATGTGTCCACATCAGTCAAAATGGGCACACAAACTGCTATTGCGCTCCGGTTTCTTATTGGGTAATATTTGCATAACAAACTAAAGGAATATTTTAGGGCAAACAGATGTGGTATTTTTGACCATTTAATGCAACACTCGGCCCTCATACTATGTTTTTCATTCTTGGAATTAAGCTCCCTAACATTTTCAGCATTTGTCCATTAAGTACTAGGGTTAACCGTTTTGATGTAGCATTAATTAGTGATATTTTATTTTATTTTTTTATTCTGTATTGTAGGATTACGCTGTTCTATTCACTAAAGAGCAAGTTGTGGTCCATTTAGAACCATGCCATATAATTTATAGAAGTAATAATGTCCAACTGTTCTCTGTTGGAAATTTTATCCAACTTGGCTATTTAAGTGTACATTTTTCAAGCCTCCAGAACTCGCTCTTTTGTGAAAGAACCCAATTACTACTAATCTTATAAACCACCTTTATAGGTAATTTTTTTTGTGGATGCAGCTTGAAGTGTGCCTGAAGCTTTGTAAGTCTCTACACAATTACCTTGGGTAGGTGCTTGCAAAAAAGATGCAGTGGGATAAATGAAGGTGGGGGCAGGTCAACTAGCCTTTATTTCTTCCTCAAAGGAACACTGCAAATCCCTAAAGCACTTTAGCTTTCTGTGTGAAGAGTGTTTCCTTTTTATTTATTTTAAAAAAAGTGCAGATTTCAATTAGGACCTTGTTCCACCACTCAGCTGTCAGATAACTAGTCCTGTTACTTTCTGGTTGTTTAGCCCAATGGCACAAAAGTTTAAAGTGAGACGATTGCCTGGAGCACCGGCCTTGTAAAGATCTCTCAATGAGCTGTCGTGGAAAGTCTTTGATTGAACAGTCAAAAAGTCTGGGCTGGGTAAAAAGCCATGGGCTTTCAAAGACTTTGCCTTTTGTTTTACATATGCACCCAATGGGAAAAAAAGTGAAAAGTCCATAATTAAGGCAACACTGTCACCATCTAGGGACATCGCCGGTGGGGTGGGCAAAGGTGCGTTTAACTTACTTAAACGTTCCTTTGCACTGCCGCCATCTTCTCCTGCCAGGGGTAGACATTGCTGTACCCTCGTGCATTTGCAAGAGTACAGCATTGAGGTCTAGGAAGGGTCCCATGGAATCCTCCATAGACAGTCAATTCCCTCTAGTCCTCATTGGTGACGGCTGGGGGATTGACACTTACAGAAGGAAATGGCTATGCCCAGTGTCTAAAAGTGTCAGGCGTAGGATAAATATGGAGACAATGTAGACCCTACTTTGTCTCAGTATATTTTCTAACTGGGTTGGAATGTTTGTGAAATTCCAAAACAGTCATTTTGAGTATTTCTTAAGGATTTTATTTTTCTGAAAAACTAATTTTGCGGGTGGAGATGGGCGGAGTGCCACTATGAATAAAATCAGGTTTCCTTTGGAAGCACTAAATATTCCTTTATTTTTCTTTATTTGCGCAGTGGAATATTCCTTTAACAGCTCCACTTTCCCCTGATATGCTGGAAGTCAATTTCCGTTTGTAGTATTGTGCAAACCATAGTCCTCATTGTACTCGTGTGTGTGTGTGTGTGTGTATATAAGAGAGTACAAAACAGGTGGCTGTGGGATATTTAGTTATTCCACGTTTTTATGTATATATAACATTCATATATCTTACCAGCAACTTAAAGCTTTATGAATGATACCAGGGGAACTTTTTATAAATGGGTAGTGTGTAAAAATCAATAAATAAAATGTATGCAAAGCTTGCAAACCTAGCATTCCTGAAGGGAAGTCTGTAGTGTGAGAAAGTCCCACTTTGCATCACCTTCTCCCCATATACATTCTGCTAAATGTCCTGCTATGCCAATTATATGCATTCAGATTGTAGTTTTCCTTATAGCTGCCACATTTATTTAGTAGGTGCTCAAGAATATTGACATCATGCTTAAAAGAACACTCTGGGCCCCATAACAACTTAACCTGCGTTACGTTACCATAGTGTCAGGAGGTCCCTGGTTCGACTTTCCTTTAGGTGTTAAACTGTTTATGAGGAGAGAAATATGTATCTTTGTGAACGAGGAGCTAATGATTGACTTAGAACATCAGCTGACTCTGTGAGCTGGTAGTGTCTGAGGCTTCTCTGGCTTAAAGACTTTGGGGGATAAACCCGTCACAAACCGTTTAACCACAAAGGCAAGATGCTGATAGGAACCTCCTGGCACTAGAGCCACTTTATTCCAATTAAGTTCTTATGCATGGAGTGTTCTATTAAGACAGCTTGCAATGCTTTGCTGACTACTATACTGCACGAATATGGCTGAGTGGAGTAAAATCTGAATCAAATTCCTTATTTGGTTGACTTGTATTATGTTTTAATAATCTGTTTTTGGTCTGCTTAATACAAATACCAGAAAAATAATGCTTTCTAGAAAAACTCAAATTTCAACATAGTAGATCATAGTAGATTTATTTTCTGTAATTGAATTGGAGGGGTAGGGCGGTGGGGAGTTGGGGGGGGTTGACTTTAAAGCCTTCATTATAAAAACTGTTTGACTACCAGTTTCTTACCGTGATCTGACCTATTTGGGACGGAGCTCTGTACTCTGACAGCGTACTTCTGTCAGGTTATCCTTCTATCTGCTACCAGCTACTCTGGAGCACTTCAGACCCAGTTGCTTGATTGGGGTCTCTTGGGACCTTTTTCCACCAGACCAAGCTGCAGTGATTATAGTTCAGGTCAGGAGAACTTCTCTTCTGTAAAGCAGAGGCTATAGCTTTCCCCTACAGATTAGATGAGTCTAAATGCAGGGGGTAGAATGATCTTTATTGCACAGCCCACTACTATTTATAGACAGCAATATTGACTCTCCCTGCAGGGTGTCTTCCACACAAAGCAATGTACAGTACAAATGTCCTTCCCTGGCGCCACTCTGTCTGGGGACTTAATTTCATTATCCCCAGCTAATAAAAGCCGCTCCCTGTGGTGCCCTCACAGTCTGACAGGCATCGCACACAAGATGTCAGCCAGAACCCTCTTTTCCTGGACCATACCCCTCACACACTATATACCCTAGAAGGCTAGTCACCGAGCGACCTTGCTGTCAAAATTGTTTCCTGATAGGAGAATCCACACCTGAGTTACAGCGTGTTAAGGATTTACCCGGTCGCAGCTATCCTATGATGCAGCATCTCCTGGTCAGGGGGTAACGCGAGTCCAGGTGATCCCCAGTGGACCTCAAGTCCAGCTGGGAATCACAGTAAGAGTCCAGGGGGCCCCATACACCGCCCTACAGTGACAATAGCCGCTTTCAGGAGTTCTTGGGTCCATAGTTTTGGGGACAGGAGGCTGGTCTTAAAGTCTCTCCAAAAGACAGTGCATGGTAGATCCCGTCGCACTATTCTTTTACATTCTAGATACTGTCAGTCACTGTTGCTTTAAAGAATGTATTTAAGAATTTTTATTAATTTTGTAAATTTCCTTTTGTAAGTAGGTGGTGATAAGTCTAGTTTAAAATGTGATCTATGCAATAATTTACTTTTTAATACGTTAACTAGACGACTGAACAGTTAAAAGTACAAATACAAAAATTACTTCAGGAACAGCTGCAGTATTTACACAACAACATTCTTCCTCAGGCTTTTTAGGTGCATTTGCCCAAAAGCAGGACAAATGCCTAGCCAGTCGGCGGGTGTTGTAATCAGGCAAATGAAATGTTTGTTTTTCTGTCCTAGCTTAGAAAGAGTTGATGTGATTCTCTCTCCCCCTTGTATAAATTAATTCCCATAACACTTGGATTGCTAAAGAAGAATTTACTATTGGTGTTGCTCACACCCTATGGCAGTCAAAGGGTTAGTAGTTTTGTGTGTGATATGTACATGAGTGCTTTACTGCTGAGAACCTACATTAAAATATTTGTAACGTGGGCCTCCAGCTGTTTTACTGCTGCAACGTAGTGAGTATATTTCCCCCTCGTTTGTAATGTGAATGTTGTAGCAAATTAAGCATATTCCTCCTGTGTACGACCTCTGAGAGGTCTTCTGTCTCTTCCCCATTCCCATCTTCTAGTGGTTTTTGAGCAGCTTGTAGCATCATACATTCACACATACAAATTGGTCCCAGTCACAGTGCTGCCAACAGTTTATCTACAGACTGTTCAAGTATTTACTTGTATCACTTATATTCAGTTAAGCCATTTTTTTTTTTTTGCCTGTAAATAAATTGCAAATTTTGTCAATGTTTCCATTTTTTATTTTTGCAGGTTCACACAAATATTTTCCAGCGGGAAATGGAAGTTGTAGTCCAACAGCTAGTGGCCCATTGTATCTAGTCCTGTCTGAAAGAGTATAACACGAAATCTTTGTTTCTTTTGCTAATGATGGAAATAAATTTTCATTTTTGTAAAATAATTTCTATATAACATGCATTTGTAAAAATTGTGTACAGTACATGCCTAATGTCTAATTTTTAAATGTGATTTTTCTTTTAGAATGACAAATTCCACTGATTTATGTGACTATTGTTGACTCATATTTAAGCTAAAGTAAACTGCTACACTGTAATTACAGCTTGACCATTTCCGTATTCCAAACTTTCATTAAAGTGCATTAGATTAGCACATCTGAAGTTTTATCATTTTTAAAAACTTATTGCATTATTTTACAAATGGTTAAATTCAGATAATCATGATTTTATTTATTGAACTGGAAAAATTTTAATTTTAGACCAGAATAGTCCGCTCTGAAAATCTTCCTAACTTAAATGGCATCTAAAGTGTAAGAAATATAAAAGTGCTGTCTTCGTCCAGACTCTCCTTTCCCGTGTGGCAAAGGGTTAAAATACACTGTATACATTGCAACCAATATGTCATTTTGTGAAAAGAATGAGTGGCTAAGGGGTGGAGTTATGCTGCACAATGCTCCAAAACACAAACGATTTCACATTGATAAAGAGCATGAACATATGGCCAAAACAAATGCAATCAAGTTGGGTTGGTGCTGAAAGTATTCCTTTAATGGAATGAAAGACTGAAAACCCCATCCCATAATAAAGTAAATGTTATCTAATACTAGTTTAATATGTACAGAATACGAGTCAGTCCATCCCGTGGAGGAGTGCATGCAGCCAAATTGGTCATTTAGTGTAAATTTTCAGTGTTTGCACTCTTCCCCTATCATGAGGCTTCCTGCATTTTATGTGCAATCCTGTCTGTGGCTGTACCAAGTGCATTTTACTCAAGCAGATCACATTAAGCTAGAACAACAGAAGTGCTCAAAATGGGTTTATTAGAAACCATAAAAAAATTGATTTTTGAAAAGATTTCCAATGTGTTTCAGTGTCAGAGGTGTTGGAATATTGCATTAAACGTTATTGTAATAAAATCATAAGGTAATATTTACCATGTGTAAAATGTTACCATCCTCCTTAGAATATTAACATAAATGTTAGTATAAAACAAATTGCAATATAGCAATGAAAACAAACCATCTACCAGAGGAATATCTATTGCAGAAATGTAAATGCCCTGATCCACTTATGCCTTGTGGAACCTGTACATATTGTCAGTTTGCTAAAGCCACCATAATAGTCCTGGTGCTGAGAATAGTGATGGGCCACATTACAGAATTTTAGACGCAAAATGCCTAAACACTGATACCTCCCAAGTGTCCTAGCTTTCATGGCACGGCCTCACTCCTGCCATTCTAGATTATATCCATTCTGCTTCTCTGGGACATCAGTGTTAATCTCATACCTCATGAATGTTCCTGAGAAATCAGTATGTGACTGGCCATGACCGATACATATAACGTAGTAATTCACTTTGCAGACAGGGTACCATGTGAATGTTGTGTAGGGGGAATATTACTGCCAATGCCAAGTATACAAGTTGTCAGCAACTGACCATATTTCTTCTTTTTGTAGGTACACATATTCTCTATAAATATGCATGCTTGTTATCTAAGAGGCTTGTCCTATCCACACCCATGGATACATGTTCCATGTTTTACACTAGTCTGTTTTGTCCATTTTAATTTCTGTGATTGAAAAAGAAAAAAAAAAAAAAATTCCTAAATATACATGCTCACACACCAGGATTCGATCTCTAAATTTTAAGAGCCTATTATAAGCTGCTAGAACCATTGAGTTGTTACACCGGATCTTTGAGGGGCTACCTCCAGAATGCTTGCAATTTGGGGGAAGGGGATGGAACCAGTCTGCACATATGGTGGTGGTACTGGAAATTGGTACAGAACCTTTTATTAGTGGATAATGAGGGTTGTGGAAATATGCGGTGGGAGTCCTTGACTTAGCAGAAGTACCTTTTAGTGCTGCAATGTGCGCAGACCTGAACAGTGTCCTGATCACATTTTTTGTGTATGCTGGCACTTAATTCTTCCCGTGCACATTGGGGTTCCTCATAGTCCTCTCACTTCCCTCTATTTCCCTCTTCCCCCTGTCACTCTCAGGGTTATTCTTTTTGCATACCCCACCCCAATGGTGTCTATTCTCCAGTTCTTCTGTATACAAAAAGGTTGAAACGACTGACATTGTTTAACATGTCAATTTCATGTTTCTTCTATTCTGCAAATGTGCTAACATTGGATACAAATACAGGTTTCTAATATAAGTATAAAGGCAGTACCACTAACACATAATTTATCAGGGGGCTATCATGTCATATGCTTATTTATATACATTAATGGGGACCTAAGTTTGGGTTCTGATTTTAGGATTAAGAGCCAGTATTCTCAATGTTGAGCCATTAAGTGTACACTTAATTGGTTACTATATGGATTATTCCAGTTGTTACACTATGCCCCATTATTGCTGTGTTTGTATGTGTGTATATATATAGCGTGACACAAATGCTTATTGTAATGCAAAAAGCAGACCACTTTCTTCATACATTGAAAACAATACAAAGCTTCAATTAAACCAATTTGTGCAGATCAAAAGAACCTGTAAATATTTTGATGCAAGATATGAATTCAGTGTAAAACAGCAGAGTAACAGGATTCATTCAGTGAAAACCAAGTGGATCATATTTTATAGCAATACAAAACTAGTTAGATTTCACAGTTTTACTTAACAACTCCACAACATCATTTTAGCCATTCTGGCATTTGTAAATCCCTTTTATAAAAGTGATAGGAATCTAGAAAATGTCACTTTTTTATTTTCAGATACCAGTAAAATGGAAGAAGACATAACTTGGTTAACTGTAAATGAAAATGGCCAATCAAAAGTTTGAGACTCTCTGGGGTTTGTTCACAAAAGCAATTGTGAGTTAAACTTTGAAATGCACAATGTACAAACACAAAGTACAGTTTTCAGCAATTCTACATTTAGTAAAGAAACCCTTATATGCTTAGATCTAAACAGCAATATAAAATTCTTTTAGAGCCATAAATAACACTAAATTGTATTAAGGAAACTGGAAGATTTAACATTTTATTTCTGCCAAGAGAAAAATGAAAATGTTCTTTTAACAGTCAGCTGTTGGTAAACGCCTTTTAATTGCACTTTACTCCAGTGTCTCCAGCAAATTTTCATCACAATGTAAGTAATCCTTCCACAGAGGCAAAATGATGTGTAAATTCACAGTTAAAGTTAAAAAAAAAATGGAAAGAAAAAAAAAAAAACACCAAAACATCTTTGTAACCTGCTCTCATTGATTAAAAAGAAAAGTTAATGAAAGCAAAAAGCTTTAATTAACAGTTTATTTTTCCCAGTGCTAATTTGCTTGATATGAAACTTTGTTACGGTCTACTTTTCCTCTTGTCTTCAAACAGATTTCGTAGCATGTAGACTTGGATAACAGACACCGTGACCATCACTACTAAGTTGACTACAGACCAAAAGTTGACCCTGTCATAGTTGTTCTCTTGAATGTTACGATCTCGTGCCTCAAAGGCCTTCAGCAGTGTTTGAAGCTGAACACTTTTGGTTAATCTTCCTTTAACGCTATTAATGGTTTCCTAAAAAAAAAAAAAAAGTACAAATATCAGCTAGTACAATACTATTGGACTACTGGCAATCTATTTTACAAAACTATCTATTAGAACAACCCTGTTACTGATTTGTGAAATCAAAAGATAATGCCAAAACTACTACTTGGATTAATGTTAAATCTGTATGAATAATAAATTAATGGAGGAAAAAAAATAAAAATCATTGTTTCTGTTTTAAATATGGTTTCCAGGCAGAAAGCTTTAAGGAGACATAAAAGCTGTAATCTTATTTCATGTGATTATTTTAGAATTGCCTTGTGCAGGTACGTAGCTATGTAGCTGGCAGCCCTATTGACTATCAAATTTCACCTGCACAGAAAAAGGTACCCTAGACCAGGAGTGTCCACTAAGTAGATCCCTAGATGTTGTAGAACTACAACTTCCATGATGCTTTGCCAATGCAAAACATCTTGGGATTTAGCTTTTGGGAACCCCAAACACCGCAGCCTGCTTTCATGCGAACAAGATGGCCGCCACCTTGTGGTCCATAGGAATTGCGGCCATTCAGATGCATGGATTCAAATTGGATGATCACAGCTAAGGAGGCGATACGACAGTGGGGCCAGCATAGGCAGACCCGTGCAGCGCTGAATATAACGTAATTTGTTTTATTATTTAAGGGGAGTAGAGGAGGGGCCAGAGACCCTACAGGTGCTTTTAATGTGTACTGCCAAACATGTGAGATAGCAAAACAGTTAAAATTTGACACTCCAAGCTGGAGTTCTATAAACAGAAAGACAATAAAATCGTGTATCATCAGAAAATTTAATTTTTTTGGTTCTGGAGACAAGATAATAAACCACAAGATTAAAGGTAGATTAGTTTACCTGTAATATATGGGTTTCCATTAGAGATCTTTTATATTGAATTATATTTTTAGGTTAGGGTTAGAGTAGTGGTTGAGGGTTAGTGTAAGTGCAATGTAGTTTGGGGATTAATGTTGACAGTGTAATGTAGAGGTTAAAGTGAGGACTTTAATGTAAGGGCAGGAAAATAGATGTGGGAGGTAGAGTCCATGCTTGGATTGCTGCTATTTCAGCTGTTGCAATTAAAATAGCAGGATATGCTTCTTCAGAGTGTAACTCCTAGTAATCTCATATAAATCAAGAACTGGGTGGTTTTTCCTTTTATGACACAAGCCTTTAGAAACTCTGAAGGATACAGGACAATTCAAGAAAGGTGGAGAACGTTTTGGGGTGAGCAGATGGTCATCCAACGGGTAGACCTAATGTGCATGGGCGGCAAGCGCACTAGGCCCTCAATGATTGCATATGGGGATTTTATAAACGCTGGATGCCTCATGCAGAGCGTGAGGACATCCAGCATCAGTTAGGGAACATTGCAGGACTAAGGGGGACAGCAACATTGCACAATGAGATGAAGTGGTCTGGGTGCCTATAGTGTCCGTACAAGCAAAGATCTAATTGCAATTTCAGTAGCAAACTACAAGCATCATAAACAGAGGAGAACAAAATGGTTATTAACTGTAAACAATGAAGTTAAAAAAAATGCCAATTTTTATTATTTATACATACACTAGATTTTCCAGTCACATAAGATGATTGGAAATGCTGCATTTCTTGTGCAGATGGGCCTGTCAGCAAATCAGGTTTGGACAGCACTTGTTGGTGGGATCAATATGCTATGCAAATGGTATGTTTTCCCTTCCTAATGGCTCTAGTATAATAGAATGTGGCTGAAACCGGAGCAGGGACTAAATGAGAGGAAAAGTGATACCTAGAGTGAATACTATATGGTTATCAAGACTGACAGAAAAGAATTGGAACTTCTTAAAGTAAGCACTCATTTGACATGTTATTTCCCAACATTACAATACTATAAAAAGTATCAACATTACCAATATGTCCTCTAGCTTCATGTCCAGCAAATCTGTCCCAATAATATAATTTTTCCAGTCTTCTTGATCAGTTCCCTCTTCATTAATGTGATCCAAGATGAGTTCAAAGAAGATCACCTTCTCATACATACGGCTGAATGTATTGTCAAAACAGAATTGGTAATCTCCATCCACCGTCTCCACTCTGTAGGAATAATAATACATTTAAAAAGAGTGCTAGCTCCTTCGTTTCCCAAATTCGACCTATATTACTTACGTGTGGACGCCGTCAGATTGTCGCGCCTCAGATATGAGGACATCGCCATAAGGAGACAAGAGAGTGAAATCAACATCTAGACTTGCACCATCCAGCACCTGAAGTGGGGGGAAAGAAACAAGAAAATATATATATTAAAAACATGTTTGGTAAACTGCATGGACAAAAAGGCTGGAATCGCCATTTTTACTTCAAAATTCAGAAGGAAATAAAATAATTTAGCAAATGAAAATACTACACAGCTGATGTTTGCAAACTAAATTCCTCATGCTGCTGTTTAGCCAATCTAGCTCACAAACATCTGCAGTGACTAATTTCACAGTTTTAGAACTGTTGCAAAACACAGGAAGTAGGGGATTTCGATTTGTGCTCAAAGTAGACACTTCGTCAAACAAGAAAGCAAGTTGGGCAGATATTAAAAATGCACCTGGGTTTATTTAAAAAAATGCGTGGTATTTCATGATCTGCACTATATGCTGGTCTAGTCTTTTTGATGAATCCTCTACAAGAACGTTAAACCCACAATTTAAATGGGTGGTGGAACGCATTGAGATACCATGTACCGTTTCCTTTGAGCCATTGAAGATTATCTCTATTCATTGTGATCTAGCATACAGGCAACAAACATTAAAGGCGTTTTGTCCCAGATAACAGTATGGTTTCTATTTTTTTATTTTTACGGTGATATACATCAATGAGACAATTATTTGTTCACAGGAAAATAGCAACTTTTTGTTTTACACTTGGTATCTTATGATTACATAATTTCCTTCATCACATTCTTCAGATAAGAAAGTGCCAGGGACCTAAGAGCACCATAACAACTTCATAAAAATATTATGGTGCCCACACAGTTCCTTTCAGTAAGGACTGAAACTGCTATCGGGAAATACAATTTATCCCACACATTTCTGCTGGGCAAGTGTGTATAGCATTGACCCTCTGGGGTGGGAAGGTCTGACAAACCAACCAGACAGTGATGAGGATGGGAAGATAGGTAGTAAGTATCTTTTTTTTTTTTTATGTTTTTGCAATTTTAATGCATCATAATAGGGATTATTTTTATACCAAAAAAAAAAAAAATGATAAAAAAAGAAAAATCGGCACAGGTATAACTTATCTACTGCAAGAACCTTGATAATGATTTAACACAACCCCCTTCTCCACAAATAGATCTCATCTCCTCTAGATTGTAAGCACCTGCAAACAAGAAACTCGATATCTGTGTCATTTTGTTTTCTTTCCAATCATCAGATGTCACCTCTGACATTGCATAAATAACAAGCTATCTTTCTATAAGCTAGACTGCATATGGAAGCTAAAGAACAAAACATCAGACCTTAGACGTAAATGGGACATGTATAACTTCATAGTAGTTTTGTTTTCTGAAAAACCATTCCCGTAAAAGCCAAGCCTACAGTTAGAATTTCAAGCTTGGCAATTTAATATGTTTAAAAACGCGGAACAAAAGATTAACACTGACTAGTGAAAATAATTGCCTGTTGTGCCTGGTAATATGAAAATATATTGTCTAGGACCAGAGAGGTATCTCAATCAATGATGTGCTATCATGTATTCCTTTATGTCTGCAAAGAACCTGAACCACTTGGGGTTTAACGTGATATGCCAGGTTCACTTTAATTTACTCATCTGACATACTCCGTCTATCACTGCTGTCCAAATATGGATGAAAATGATACTGGTAATGTGGAAGAGTATCCTCTCCGTTGGCAATGGACCTTAGTTTTGACCCAGAACCAGTGAACGATGAGCCTAACAGCAGCATGTAGTGTTTATGGTGTGGAGAGTGACCTTTTAATCACTTAATGATATTAAGTGGTTCGAAGCTGTCCTAAAAATAGTGGGCTTTAACACCATTAGGATGGCATGGAACATCCACTCATTTTGGCGTGACCATGGTTAAAGCAATTCCTGGGGCCAAATTTAGTAGCCTTAGACTGACTGATGAGCTGTATGCAGTGCTCAAAATGAGTGCTGCATACAGACTTTTAAATGCAGACAAATCACCAAAAGTGAGCACTTGGTGATTCTTAGCTGGCCCTTAGTCTTAGAAAGACCACCAGGTTTCCCTGCATGCCCCTCTGCCAAAAGTGGTCAGCGCTTTACCAGTTGTTAATGCTGGGTTAAGATTAAAGCGGTTTTAGGGTTAGGAATAATGAAGGGTTTTAGTAGAGTAGGGTAGGTGTACTGTTAGAGTTAGTGTAAGCATTAAGTTAATGGTGGCATAAAGTTAGCAATAACTATTAAACGTTAATATAGATCTTAGACATAAGTTATTTAACGATCAGGATTGATATATGTCAATCTATTTTAATTTCCTTTTCATTAATTGCACTTGATGTGTAAAAAAATTTAAAAGCAAAACTGTGGAAAATTAAACCCCCCCCTTATTTTTATCCGTTTTCTTAGCACTGCAGCACCCCTCTCCATCCCACCCCCCATCCCATGTTTCTTAAGGGGTTAAAACCCCTTCAGTGACTTACCTGAATCCAGTGCCGATGTCCTCTGTCCACGCTCCTCCTCCGCCGTCAGCCGGCGGAGACCTAACACGCATGTGCGGCAATGGCCGCGTGCAGGCGCGCATTACTCAATGCTTTCCTATGGGGATTCCGGCGACGCTGGAGGTCCTCATGCATAGCGTGAGGACATCCAGCGTCGTTTTAAAATACTAAGAACACGGAAGTCCCTTTAGTGGCAATCTGATAGACAGCCACTAGAGGATGACTTAACCCTGCAAGGTAATTATTGCAGTTTATAAAAACTGCAATAATTGCACTTGCAGGGTTAAGTGTGGTGGGAGTTGGCACCCAGACCACTCCATTGGGCAGAAGTGGTCTGGGTGCCTGCAGTGTCCCTTTACTGTTGTGTTGGCTAAACATATAGGATATTAATGGAAAACTATTTCCATCCTTTAACAAACTATACATTTGGATGCAGTTAAACTGGATCTGTAACTTTCTGGGGTCTTTGAATATTTCACAAAGGTCACTGAAAATGACAGATCCGGTGTGGGTACAGAGGTCACGGGATTCAGGGGAAGGTAAGTTTTACTTACCTCAAGCTGCCGCTCACAGCTGCCGCCATCTTCTTCCTGCTGTCCTCTACAGTTCCCGATGCTTCATTTGTCAAAAACTACATCAGTACTGAAGTACAGCACTGAGGTCTACTGAAGATCCTGTGAGACCGCGGGAGCCTCCATAGATCAATATCTGAATGCCATAGTCTTCAATTACTTATTTGATTGGACAAAAGTTGACAGCGGAGCTCTGCCTTTTGCCAACCTCAGATTTATCGTAAGACAAAGTAGGTCCTACTTCATATTATGATCTCTTTGAAATATGTTGGAATGTCAGTGACATTCCAACACAGTCTTGATCAGTATTTCAGAAAGATATCTTTATAAAATAGTGAAAAGTGACAGCCACTTTACAGAAACCCTTAAATTACAGTAGAACAAACACAGAGAACGATATAAAAGTTTTGTTTTGGTTCAGAAATTGGAGATTTGCTTGTCTTAATGGGGCTAAGAATTCTGTGTCTGCTTTCAATTATTGAAAGGGTAGATAGGATTTGTCATTATTAAAATGGGGGGAGGGGAAGGGGATGATATCTACTACATCATACCAATGATTTACAATGGTTATTGTGCTCAGGGTACTCCTCTGATCAAATTACTTGAAAATGATCATTTCTAACACTTCTATTAACACAATAGGAACATCTAGTTATTAAAAACACTACTTCCACTATCTTTTTACAGCATCTATTAAGCATACATCATGACATGTGACTTCAATAAAACCTATATTTCATAAACTGCAAAAAAGGAACATCTTGAAACTAAGTTTTTTTTTTATACTGAAGCCTAACTACGTAAAATCAGTAGGTACCTTTGTTAATGAACAAAAATCTCACCTTATTACATATACACACTATATATATATATATATATATATATATATGTATATACACACACACACACATATATACATATACACACACACCTTCCGGTTCTCACACCTCAGACGTCATTCCGCTTTTGACGCAATTAACCCAGCTTTGTTACAAACATTTTGTACGCTTTTGTGAGTATTGAAATACACAAACATTTTTTCCCGGCTAGTCATGCCTAAACTGTAAATCATATATCGCTGTAAATTTCCTTTTGTTTGAATGATTTCGTTTTCACATTTTGTTCACGTATTTCGTGGGAATCTTTCGGCTAAAACTTCCACTTGTGCACAAACGTATATACTCGTTCTCTGCATTCATGTATTAACTGCATTCGGCAGTTCGTTTGTACTCTCTGACGTACAGGTGATTTAATTTCTGTTCAGGCTCTCATAAATTCGCATTCTATTTCAGGCATACGCTAGAATTTGCAAAGTACATTGTTGCATATTTCACTTACTGCTACTATGTGTCTGTTATGCTTTCTTAATCTCTTCTTAATCTCTTGTCCGTCTGCAGGCTATCGGTGTTAAACGGCTACTGCACGAACTTACCTTTCTTTAATCAATTACTCTTCTCTCCCTCTGTCAGTATCTGTTCTTTATTTCTTCCTGTCTGCTCTAGTTTTCTTTACAGCATAAGACAAAGTAGGAACTACTTTGTCTTATGGAAGTTTCCTACGCTTGACCAGCTGAGGAGAAAAGTGTGCCCCGTTTCCGGTGATCAAAAAATTTTCCCACAATTCTCACCTTTCTTCTGTGATCTCGCAATGCTTCCTGTCAGTATTCCCAAACGTCCTGTCACTTAGAACGCAGTCGAAACTACCGAATTTCGACATAACAGAATGAGAACAGTTTCTCCATTCATGTTCGAAAGCAATTTGGGACTTCGGATCGGAATTTTATTCTAATGAATGAAACTCCGATCCTATGCCTAAAAAACAATAAAGGGGGGGAACCTATTGTCCTCCCCCGTGTCCCACTCCCCTGAGCAGCAGGGGACCTATTGTCCTCCCACCCCAGCCCCCACCCCTGAGCGGTGGGTGGAGGCCCTAAATAACATACTTTAAACCTGTTGTTAAAACACAGTAGATCTCTCACACAGGCCGGGTTGTCGATTAACACTAAGAAAGCTTACGCTAGAGCATATGATCTGTTTAAGAAGAAGTTTGTGGATGACTTTAATGTAATAAAAAAAAATTTCTGTAGAAACCATGGTTGCATTCACAACTTTTTGCCACATCTCTTTGAAACTAGCATACAATACCATCATATCCGGTTAAAAGTGTACTGAAAGGTATTCAGAGACAAAAATTAAAATAAAAAAAACTTAAAAGACTCCCCATAGACAGTAACATCTTTAGGAAAATCTCTGAATTAATAGACAAAAGACCTTTCTATGCAGGGCTAGAGTCCTGCAGGAACGCGTGGGAACGGCGTTCTTGCACTTTTTTCACAGCAGGATGGCATTCACGCTGCAGGCACTAACTAGGGGGCAGCAAAAAAAATGCCATCCCCAAATGCCCCCTGTGTTCCCCCTGTCATGGGGGGGCACCTGATGGATCCTCCCCCTCCCCCCGGTGTGCGGCTGTCTACCGGTCAGACGTGGCTGTCTATCGGTCAGAGCTGGGAGCCGGAATATGAAGTCCCGGCATCAGCAGACCGCCCACGCAGCGTGAGGGAGCAGAGCTGGGAGAACACAGCTCCCTCGCCGCGTCTGACCGGTAGACAGCCGCCCGCCTCACTGAAGCCCCAATGGACCCCAGGGAAAGGTCCACGCCAGCTCTCCAGGTAGGTAGGCTGGGCGGACATTTGTAAATGTTACAAATATAAATAATTTGTGTGTGTCTGAGTGTGTGTGTGTGTCTGTCTGTCTGTGTGTGTAAGAGTGTCTGAGTGTATGTGTGTGAGTGTCTGAGTGTATGTGTGTGAGTGTCTGAGTATGTGTGAGTGTGTGTGAGGAGTATGTGTGCACACGCATTTATATATGCATACACGTGTATAATTTTTTTATATTTTTAGGGGTGGGATGGGGGGGAAACTTGGGTGAGTTCCAACACTTTTTCCCCCAGGACTTGACCCCTGTTTCTACGACTCCACAAATCTGGTAATCAAGTCAGCCGTATATTTAGCATTTTACGGTTTCTTGAGACCCAAAGAATATTCTGTGGAAAAATAATCCGACTTTAAGTCATGCCTTAAGCAAATTCCCCACAAAAGTGAACGACCATTATATAGTGTTGATCCCTCATACCTAAACTAGCCAGACATGCCCCCCTGTAAAAATGATATATTATCCTACTTTTTCCAAATGGTGTCCAGTACAAAGCATTTGACAATTTAATAATAAAATCAGATCATAAAAAACCCTGATTACCCACTATAATCTCTACAAGGGAAACCTCTTACCACAAAACAATTCATACTATACATACACACTTTTACTCAGACTAGACCTCAATCCAGTCTCCTTCTCAGGCCATTCATTACGAATTGGGGCAGGCACGGCAGCTTCTAGTAATCATGTTCCAACACATATTAAGGACATGGGACACTGGAAATCCTCTGCATACAAAAGGTACATTCCAAAAACCAGCAAAGGAAATCAGACTTGCTTTCTAGAATATGTCTAAAAAAATGTTACTTGTGAAATATAAATAAAAATTTTTGCATATTTTTTGCATTCTTTATTGCAGGTCTAACACCTCAACCGACTTTTTATTCTTATCAAATTAAATTATTTTAATTATACGTCCTATTATTATCCCGTATACAAGTGGCAGACATATGCCTTAAAAATTGTGGGAGGGATTATTTGTCCTATTTAAACCCCCAATAACCCCTACTTACCGGTCGTCGCCATTTTCGGATGTTCCCCTCCCACCTCACCCTTTATTATTCATATTAATATCCCCAGGTGGGCCCTCTTTATTGCAGGTCTAACCTCTTGTTGGTTTTGGCATACCACAACCGACTTTTTGTTCTTATCGACTTACATTATTTTACTTATACGTCCTATTCTCCTGTACACACACACACACACACGCACACGCACACACGCACATTCCAACTGATGCCACTAACAACATAAGAAAACCATTTCACTACATTATTTGAAAGGCATCCCAGCCCTAGATCACAGTGACCCAGACAGTAGGGAGTTTTCACAATGTTACATGATAACGTGCAAGGAGTGTCTCACAGCTATGCAAGCTAGGGGACACTAAATGTTTATGAGTCCTCCGATTACACCATGGCAAATGAAATACCAACTAGGATTTTTTTTAAACGTCAGTGACAGCAGAATCAGTTGTCCAGAACTCTTAACAAAGCTGACTCTTCCATATGCAAGCATAACAATACTGTATCAATGTTTAACCTTTCCTAAGAATTGATCTTTGTATTTTTATATTTTGGTACACAGGTGTAACAGTAATATTGTATTTCTCCTGTTTTAATGTTTGAGGCAGGAATAGCTGAAGTCTTTAAAAAAAGCAGCTCCATCATAACAGAGTTATTTACTAAAGTAAGAATTCAAAATTCAACATAAAAATAACTAAACTGGAAAATTTCTCTAAACCTGCTCTACTTCCTGTTTGGCTACCTTGGCATTAAATTTGACTTTGAATTCTGACTCAAGTGAATAACCCTGTATAACAACAACTAGGGCATAAAAACAAAAAATACCTTCACAGTTCTATACTGGAAGTGCGAATCATTGGGAATTTAGTTAGGGTTACCCACTAAACTGTAGCAAATTGAAACATAAATGGCAATCGTTAGACAAACCGTGACTATATCAGAGTTGGCTATTTTAGACCTTGATTTAATAAGCTTTCCAAATGATTTAACATTATTAGAAAGACCTTCCAACCCATTTATCTATAGAAGTCACCACTAAAAAGTCTGTGGACATTTTTGTAGACAAATCATTTGGAAAGTTTTCCAACACTATTAAATCATTTGGAAAGTTTATTAAACTGAGGCCTTAGTAGTTTGAAGAATAGGTTTGAAAGCACAGTTTTTTTTTTTTTTTGCCCAAAACATCTAAACTGAAAATAGAACACTGACCTGGTATATTTCCCCCCCAATTCTGATCCAAAATGTGATATTCCCTTTCACAATTCAAACTTAAGTGAGTAGCCCTGTGCTTGCCCTTTTCTTCTTGTTTTTGTGAGAGCCATGTAAGTGGAGGTGGGGTGTGAATTGGGGTGATTACCTGGTACTCTATTTCCAGGGTTGCATCCTTCTTCATGGGCTGGAAGAAGCATTCCTTGTGTCCTGCTGGCAGGGAGAAGGTGAAGTCATTATCTACAGACTGGGTGAAGCCCACCCCCCCCTGTAGGGTGCAGTAGATGGAGAGCAGGAGGAGTACAATGTCCTTTCCCATATTTGTCCAGCACTGAGTATGTGAGCAGACACCCAGTCAGGGCCACACTAGGAACATGCAGGGGAACCAGAGCCCCAGGGAGGGGGCGTGTCAGGAAGACATGGGACAACCAATCAGCAGTCTGGGATTCCCCACCCTCCTGTGAGTGTGAGTGAGGTCAGAGGGAGCTCTCACTCTGTAACAGCCATTAACTCACATACAGCTCATTGTAATACTGGGGGGAATGGCACACACAGCAACTCACACAACCAGGGAGAGCTTGGGGGGGGGGGATCAAAGAGCAACCGCCAGGGATTCTGGGAGATGTCGTTTTTTTCGGGGAATCTAACACGTTCTAGTGATGTATTTCCGGACTACATCACCCAGTAAGCACCGCGCTCTGATATTTACACGTCCTCTCTGACAGTCTATAATATGACAGCTCGCTCTCCATTGTTAGTGAAACGCCGCCGTTTCCACAGCCACTCACTTTTCACTGACTTTCTACCCCGTCTCATTGTCACCACGGTGTGCTACATTTTTTTTATTTTTTTTAATACGCCTCAAACTTAATTTTGTATCGCACACTGTAAGCCGGACACTGGGCAGGAATCGTAAAACACGCTCCTGTGACGGATATGAAAGAAATCCTTTCACGTTTTGTTTTGTTCACATGTCACGTTGTCAATAAAGCTGCGGCAGTCAAAACATAGCTTCACGCACGGTCTCTATAGAGATTCGCTCGGCGTCTCCCCAGCCGCAAGCAACCTAACGGATTCAATCGCTATTGGTTGTTGAATCCAGGCGGGAGGTGACGTCACGGCCTACCCCCGCCTACCCTAGCCGCTTACAGAATAGGTTTCCCCAGGAGGGGCGTGGCCGTGGTGTGTCACGGGGGGCGGGGTTTGTCTTGTGTTGTTGAGGTTGGCAGTGATGGTGGCCTGGAAGGGGCTGATGGTGGGTCGTGCTGTCGCCTGCTGTTCTGGTGAGTTGAACCCCACGGGCTGGTCCTGGACTCGCTTTACATTGATTATTATTGTCCTCATTAATACCATGGCCGCATTTACTGACTCAATGAAAGCGCTACGGAATCTGTTGGCGCTATATAAATGATAATAATGATAATGATTGAAATTTTTCATTAAACCTCTTATTGTGATTATAATCCGGGCAGGATCCTGCTCATACTGCCAAGCTTTGATCAGGGAAATATAAACTCAATAATTTTATTTTATTCCATTATTATTATTATTACTTCTTTACCGGGATCATATAAATTATTTAATATTTCCTTATCAAACCATGGCAGCAGTCAGTTCCATAAACTTATTATTTTGATTTAAGACCAGGACAGTTTCCTGTTAGTGTTTGCATTGATTAATCTGGAAATTTTAATTGCAAATTTTCAGACAAAATAAAAGAATCTGTTGTGATTTCTCCACAATTCCTGGTCAATGTACACAGTAATATAATAAGTAATATAATGTCAAGTCATTTACTTCATTCCTGCTAGGAGACGTAATCTCTCTGTCCACCTGTGGGCATGTTTGTTTTAGACCCAATATGTATTCATGGGCACATATTGTGTGGCAGGTGGCTTGGATTCCGGTTCCTGGGTGGTCCAGTGGGACTGCAAATCTGCTTCCAGGTGGCCCAGTCTGCTTGTCTGCACCTTATGTGGGGGCAAGCCAGTGTGAATGCTCCCTTTTGGTCTGTGACTGTGAGGGAGCTTCTGCAGTGATCTGCACTAACTGAAGGTGCAGACCTGCAGCTCCTTTTCTATTGTGAGTGAGCGCAGGGATGTTGACGAGATGTTTAGATCTTCCCACCTGCACATGCAGCTGTAAGGGATCACTGCAGAGCCAGGACTTTAATGTTTGCAATGGCTCTACTTTATATTTCCTTTGGGGGAAAAACAGATTTATTTTTTAGTTGTTAAAAGTCATGTTAACACACATCTGGAGTTTGGATGCATACCCTGAATATAGTGTATACTCTATTCCAGTAGTGAATGGGTTAGTTTTAATATATTCATATTATGCAATGGCTAGAATTCTTTTGTAATAATTATTTGTTATTTTACATAGATGCCCACTTCACAAATGGAACCAAATTTCTCAAAGCATCAAAATCAGAAACAAGGATCATTAACTAATACTGTTCAGACACTAAAGACCATTGAAGATCTGTTCTCTAGGTATGTTTTACATCTTCGCTGTCAACCTCAAGGACATCTAAATGGATTATACATCCATTCAATAAATAAACCCATAAAAAAGGTACTCTGCAATAAATAAAAAAAGTCTTGTTTTTGTTTGCTAAAATGTAATTTATACATTGTGTAAGCCAAATGGTTGCTGAATGTATAAATTTGCAGAAAAATTTAAAAATAAAATATCAAACATGTGTGTCAACACTTGTCTGTAAGGTTTATCAACAAAAGAGCAGCGCCTGCCCTATGTTATCAGAATCAAAATCATTTCCAACAATAATATGTATTATTCCAGCAACAGATCAGTTCATGTTCAAAAATATGACAGCATAACAAGAAAGGGTTAAAGGGAAATTGTCCGTTCCGATTTTTTTCATTATTATGTTTTAATACGGCTTAATGTGGTTGTTTTGGTTTTTTTTTCTCAATCTTTTAAAAAAATTTTTATTTGAGACATGTGTAAATAAGCAGAGCATGGTATAATCAGGAGTACTATAGGTGAAATCAGCTCAAAGGAAGAAACTCATAGAGAAGTCTACCTCATTTTTAAATGATATATAAACATTGGAAAAACAAACTAGGTATACATAGCTATTCAGTAATAGAAGCCAGAAGCATGGTATAGGCTGACTGCAAAAAGATTACAGCATAACTAGGAAGATCATTGTATAACATACACATGCCAGAGACATATGCAAGAGATGTAACCACTGGAGTTAGTCCTATCACCATATTGCAGCACCAAATAAAATAAAAAATCAAAGAATTTCAACAGAAGGAGAAATAATGAAATGCATAACATGAGTGAGAAGAAAATGACATCCGCCAATATCAGATCAGGGTTGAATTCAGTTAGTGAGTCAGTTGATAGGTCAGCAGACTCCTGAAAGTGGCAAGGCTATGGAAATCTATATACATTTCAGCAAAGCAGCACTGCAATGGGACACCCCTCCAGCTAAAGTCCTGTTCAAGGGCCAGCATCAGCGCACCACAAACTCAGTTGATCTCGGAGATCAAGTCTGTTCTCCAGTGGGGGTAGTCGGGGGATCTTCCGTCTGTGTGGACAATGCAAAGAAGCCATACCTCTAATGGCCTTGCACAAAGGGAGCCCTTCCATCTTCAACAGCGCTCCTCTCTTCTCACGTTCCTATTCTTTTGCAAGCTATATTATTTTCATTGGCTGTAATCTGTATATCAATTGGATTTATTCATCCTTTATTGCTTAGATAACCTTTTCTGTATTTTCCAGGGTTAGTTCCTGTGAGTATTCATTAGACAGGGCTCCATTGGGGCTTACGCTAGAGGATCTAGAACAGCCAAGTTGTTCCAATCCAATACCGAATATGTCAAATACCAGGAATAAAATCCCTGCATCCACTGGAGGAGACTCTTTAAGGAGAATCAGAGATCAGGTATATATGTCCGCTACCAAACCGAAAAATGTCACCGTTCATTATCTCGTTCTTTTCTGCTCAGTTATCTGGTGGTCCTAACATGATGTCAAGATTGCCAACCTGCTTTCCCCTGGTCTGTAGCCATTAGTGCCCTGCCAGGGGATCTAGTGCCATTTTGTGATGGAAACTGGAGTCCTGTTACAAGTTGGAAACCACTAATTAGTACACAACCAATTTTATGCCCGGCAGTATCTATACAATAGTTCATCAGACTGCTTGTTGATTAACATAATGCTTAAATAAATTAGTAAAATATACTCTTCTCAAGTGTTTTTTGGTTTGCAGAAAACTTGTAGCATCTGCTGATTCTATTTTCTCAACCAGTCCTAGTTCGTCCATTGTTTCCAAGTACATTCTGTGGATATCACATAAACCCTTAGCCCACCCAAGTGTATATATTATATATTTTAGCTTTTGCTAATACTTTAATGATGAAAACCGTAATTGAAAATATTTGCTATGTGTATATATATATATATATATATATATATATAAAAGTGTCCGGACTGCACTCACGGTCTTAAAGTTGAAAATGTTTCTTTATTCCATATAACAAATCATTTGTTATATGGAATAAAGAAACATTTTCAACTTTAAGACCGTGAGTGCAGTCCGGACACTTTTTGATAGATATATATATATAATTTTTTTTAAATACGTGATGATATTTCCACAAGCATTTGTGGTGTGTGGCTGTAACTAGACGTGTACAAGTCATTTAGCTATTAGTTATAACACAATATTATATTGCTTTTTGTAATAAGTACTTGTAACTTATTTTTCATTAATGTGATTTTCTGTTACTTATGTCCAGACCTTCTCCTCTCAAGCTGTGTCCTTCATTAACACTGAAGAAGAAAACAGCCATTTAAGGTTGAAATTGAATACTCTCAGGGAGCAAAATGCTTCCTTGTCATCCAAGAACCACTCTCTAACAGAGAAACTAGAGTCGGTGCAAGTAAAGTTGTTCAAGTCAAAATCACAAGTATGTATGTTTTCATGAAACATTGAAACCAGGTAACAATAAAGTAACATCTGCCAGTTCAACATATTTTTATTGCCGCTCTCAGAATTTCAAAAAGTCTATTCTAAAGTCCGAGTATCTGTTTTTTGGGTTTTTTTTTTGACACCTATTAAATCAGTCAAGCAAAGATTTGCATAAACATTCAATAAACGATTTGCAAAGCTTTAAATGTATCTGATTTAAAAATCATTGTAAGCTATTTATACAATCTCACCTATGGGTAGTTTATTAATTTTTAGTTTGTTATATGCTTGTTCTTTATTTTATGATTATTTTCCGAATTTATTTTGAAAGTATAAAGGCTTTTTCTGTGGTTTTAGGTACACTTTTTTGAGACTTCCCTCGGAACCTGCAAATCTCGAATAGTTGAACTTGAGGAGCACATTGTGAGTTTGGAAGCCAAAGCCGAGGCTCATGAGAAAGCATTAAGGTGATTATATATATCTTGAAAAAAATAGAAACAAGATAATCGTTAACGTGCTTTTAACATGCAGAGTGATTGTACTGTGGAGTAAGTCACCAGAACAAATACAGCTTAATGTAGTTGTTCTGGTGAGTATAATCATTATATGCAGACATGTTCATGCAAACACTGGCCTTTCAGAGAATGGCCACTGGAGGTGCTTTCTGGCTCAGTGCTGCACAGTAGGCAGCAGTGCCGTTCAGCGTCTCCACGCTCTGCATGGGTCTGCTGAATTTTTCTCGTAGAGATGCATTGATTCAATGCTTCTCTCTGAGGAGGTGCTGATTGGCCAAAACTGCGTTTTGCCCCGCTCTCTTGCTGTTTTTAGCCAATCCAATGCTTTCCCGATTGGCTAAATATCGACAATTCTGTTTAAGTCACCAAGGGGGCGCAGCCAGTCCAGGCGGACCCCGCGGCGCTGGAAATAAGGTAAGTTTTAATTCCTTTTAAGGGGGCCGGGTGGGGACAAGCCACCTAAGTGGTGGGTTTGCACTATAAGGTCAGGAATAAATGTTTGTGTTCCTGACCCTATAGTGTTCCTTTAAAATACTTTAGACTACAGCATAAGGCAAGCAGGCAAAAAGGAAATAAATACCGTATATTTAAAGATATTACGTAACGCACTCGGGAGATAGATATGATGGCGGTTTTATTTTTGCCATAAGGAACAAACTGACCGGAATATATCACCAAGATGCTGAGTACATTATTAAAAAAACCAAAAACATTTCCATGATTTCATCAAGTGACAGTCAATAATATTCATACGATGTCATCTGTCTTTTTTTATTTTATTTTATTTATTTATTTTATACTAATAATGTAAAGTAAACATTTAATTTGACAGTGTATGGATTACCAGACTATCTTCAGGTAGATATGGACATTTTAATTTATATGTTATGCTTGCAAACTGGACACACAATACATAGATTAAAAAAGAAACAGAAACATACCTAATGATCCCTGTGTGTATGTGTGTACATAGTCTAGCATAATGTGTTTTTATGTCACAATGTTTGTTTTATTTAGTCTAATAATTGTTTGTATGTTTTTACATTACTGTTGCAGAAAAACAGAAGATCAGCTACAACAAAACCATCATACGCTGTCTGAAAAAGAGAGTATTTTGCACAGTTTCAGAGAAGAGCTAAAGAAGGTGAAGGTGGAGCTTTATGAATCGAACAAGCAGTGTAAAAGGTGAGAGAATATAAACTTGATATTTACTGGCTAAATAGTTTACTAGTTTATTGCCGTAATATAGAGCAGGACTAGGCAGGCTTGGGCACTCCAGATGTTGTGGACTACAGCATTATGGGAGGTGTAGTTCACAACAGCTATGGAAGGCTACCGACTGCTGATCTTGAGGCTATAGAAATAAGCCTGAAACATTATTCACTGGGACATTGTGGATTTGAGCCCTTTTTTCTTTTTTGTAGATAATGCATGAGATGAACATACATAAATAAGTAAATAAAAAGGTTGAACACACACATTCTCTTATTAGAAATCCTTTAACATTGGGGAAACGTGTTGAAAATTGACAGGGAACAGTCCCTGGCACTAAATGACCACAAAAAAATAAATAAATTGGCTTCACAACATGAATACTATTTACAACACAATCAGTATTTATATCTTTTGCATATTATATATTACAATGGATACAAAAGCACTTATAAATATTTGATTACCAAAACCTTTGCAAATATTCTCCTCCTTGTCCAACAAGTGGTATTGGACCAAACCCCATATGCAGACGTACTCAAGATGTCTGTATATGGCTTTGAACAACTTGTACTTTGCAAGGCCATCTCTGATTATTGACAGTCAGTGGAATTAATGTGGAAATAATTGGTCTCTTGAAAGTCGAATACACATATCCACTGAGATTGGCCTATCCAAGTACACCTATTGTTTTCAATGGGAGCACTCGGCATACCCTATGAGTGTGTTGCTTATGGGCTATGTGGCTCTGCTATTGAGAGTACTTTTTGTCATGAATATAATATAATTGAAAGCTAAGGCAGCTTCTTTCTGGCTGGACATCTTTTTCTTTTTTTTTTTTTGTTTGTTTCCTACTCATCTATCATACATTCTCCCTCACTGAACTAAACAAGGGGTTATACAAATACTTATGGAAGGAGTGTAAGTGTTTGTGGTGTTTGTAGTGCCCCTGTAATATAAGCATTTGCTGGGGGTTTCAGTTTTACATTCAATGGATAAATGTGCATACCATCCTGATGCTAATATAGTCATCCATTTATTTTTAAAATATATTTATTGCATTGTTTATTAGTGTTTTTTTTTTTTTTTTTTGTCTTTAGAGCTGAAACCCAGAGGAATGCTGCACTGCTTAATGCCGAAGAATTAACAAGAGCTTTTCAACAGTACAAAGCAAATGTTGCTAAGAAACTGGAAAAGGTATAATAATGATTTATAATGGGATTTAGCTAAGGCTGGCCGGTACCTGGTGTGCTTGGTGCCCATGCTTATCCACTGCAGTGTAAAGATGCTTCAGACTTCAAAAGTGGCCAAAGTGAATAGAAGCACTTAATATCAATTCATTCTTGCAAACCTCAAAGAGGAAAACCCACGACAAAAAGGAATATTTAATGTAATGCACGTTTTTATTCAAGTGAATTTAATAATCGTTTTTGATTTGGCATTCAGCATTGAATGACATTGGCCTATCGAACAAACATAAAGGACAAACCATATACTCTAAGAAATGATACCATTTATTAGACTATGAAACTTTTGGACTACAGTATAGATTGCAGAAATTGTTACTGGTTTTGAATTTACATATATCCTGAAAACTAGTGAACTGGCCGCCCCTTCCTCCTGCCTCCAAATCTGACCAAGTTTTAGTAGAGGCTGAAATGGATGCTGTAAGCTGGAATACACTTAATTATTTTAATATATAGTGATAGTCGAATACTCCAGTCACTTTACAGACCACGGTGTATGGAAAATAACAGCTTAGGAGCCAGAACAATTCAGTGTAGCAGTGTTTGTATAGGGCTAATGTAGTATATGATACAGTTAGTCTGAGCTCTGCAGATAATTCCACTGTTAGAATTCAGCAATCACAGGATTACTGACAAAAGTGTTAATTTTCAAAGCATCGGAAAGAATAGCTGAATTAGAAAAAAAAAATGAATTTTCAGTCTGGCTATTTTTGCTTAAAATTTGAAATTCACTCTAATTCTCAGAAGTGTACAATTTTTAGTGCATAAACATGTGATGTATTTAGAGTTGAATATGTTTACAATAGCGTTTTAAGGAACTCATTCCATTTTCACTAGGTTAAAGACGAAGAAGAGTTGCTCAACAAAAACTTCACAAACTGTGAACAACAGAGGAAAAGTCTGCAGGAAAGATGTGGAACGCTGGAGAAAGATCTAGAGAACATGAAGGAGCACTTAAGGTTTAAACCAATGTGTTTTAAAGATGCTTGTTCATTAAAATGTGAACATCGTGGAAGGGAACCTAGAATTTGTTTTTGTTTTTTGAGGACCATTTGCAGCCAACAAGCCACTATTGCAAACACACAATTTATGTAGGTTTTACTGTTCCAATGATGCTTCTGCATCATGGATCTAAAGTGGACGTGTCATGGTTCCTTTTACAGCATTGAGGTCTATAGAGGGTCCAGTGAGAGCGCGGAATCCTCCATAGACAGAGCCAATTCCATGCAGATGTCCCTGGAGACAGCTTAGGGATTGATACTTCTAGAAGGCGGTAGCTCTGCCCAATGTCTAGAAGTGTCAAATTAAATTCAGTGAAATCCCAACACAGGCAATATGAGTATTTTTATAAAGATTTTGCAGGTGGAGTAACAGTGCCGCGTTAATAGTTTTTCACTACAGTGTGAATTGTTGGGATTTCACACTGAATTTTAAATCTTATCATTGCTGTCTTAAAGAATGTTTCTAAATTTGATGATTTTGCCTACAGTTGCAAATTCAGTTTGCTTTTTACATTAAATTCATGACCATTTACACTTCTGGAAAATAACCCCAAATATTTCAACAAGCTGAAAATCCATAATTAGAGATTAGCGACTCAGATTTTACTAAAGCTGTACGTAGCCATCTTATTGGAAAAGCTTTATCAGTGTCTAGTGCTTCCGATTTTTCATCTTTAGTGCTATCATGTGATTGCACCCGCTGCATCTGATTTCAATTTATTCCTCAGGGTCTTACAGTTAGAAAAGGATATTGGACAAGGAAGACAGGCTTGTGGACAAACCAACAACACAGAACTTATTTCTCTGCTGACTCATTCCAACCAAAGAATTCTCAGGCTAGAAAACGAGCTTGAAATGAAAGAACAAGTTATAAAGGAACAAATTGGTTTCCTGCAAGAAAACAAAGAATTGAAGGATCGTCTTGCTCAACAATCCCGGCGGAATGAAATGAAAATTTCTGGATCTGAGATTGGTAGCACAGAATGTGTTCCACGGTTACTGGTAAAGCAGTTCATCGTGTCACATCTTTTATTTGTATAGATTTTAAATAGAATTTAGGAAACGTACCGTATATACTCGTGTATAAGTCGATCTCATGTATAAGTCGAGGGCAGTTTTGTGACCAACAATTGTGAAATATGCTATGCCTCGTGGATAAGTCGAGGGTAAAACTTGGGGCTATGACATTCTGTGATTTTTAGAATTATATACACACGCACACTCATACAAACACACACACTCTGCATTATATACACACACTCTGCACTTTACATAGCGCTTTACAATATACATGTCAAGTGTGTATATAATGCAGAGTGTGTGTGTGTTTGTATGAGTGTGTGTGTAGAATGCAGATTGTTTGTATGAGTGTGTGTGTATTTAATGCAGAGTGTGTGTGTGTGTGTGTGTGAGAGAACTGGGTGGGAGGAGGGCATTTTTATTATACATTTTTTTTTTTTTAATTCTTTATTTTTGGTTTGACAAAGTAGATGGTAATCATGAAAGCAGTTACATTTATGTACATGACAGCGCAGTCATACATTAGCATATATAATGCAAGTGACAGTTGTCAGTTTAGGCATATCCTATACATCAAATTTTCTGTAGGTGACTCCGTCTGAATTTTTGGTATGGGTGGCAAGCAGTGTTAACTATGTACAATAGCTTTGCTGTGAAGGGTTAGGCTTATAGAGTGGAGTGTCGGTCTCGCCGCTTCCTGGGGTATGCGACTGCGCCCTCCCTCCCTTCTACGCACCACAAAACACTGATGTGCTTTTATCTGCCTTTCCCCTTCTGCCTACTTACAGGTCTGGGGTGCCTGCCTACAAGAGAGAGATAGAAAGGAAAGTAAAGAGTTGGAGACAAGTACCTGCGTGTTTAGCTATATCGGTTTGACATGGTTACCGAGTGAGCTACCGACGGGGGTAGTCAGTTCCCTTAAGTTGTGTTTTGTGTGCTGGGCCCGGCCCCACCCTCGTCTAGCAGTGGTGCCTCTTCCGCCTGTCCGAGTGTTGATATGGTGGTTGGCGTTTGGTGGGCCCCCGCCCCGCCAGTTGAAAGTTGCGTGGATGCTGCCCCGCGCCCCAAGTTGTTGTGCTAAGTATCGTATTGCTCCCATAGGTCCCAGACTTTTTGGAATTTAGTCATGGTGTTTCGCACCTGAGAGGTCAATTTATCCATTATGTAATTGTCTCGCATTTTTGTCTTAACCAGGGATATATGTGGGAGATCTGGACATGACCACTTTTGTGCTAGGGACCTTCGGGCCGCTAAATAGAGCATGTTAAGAAGTCTTTGCTCGTGTCTAGGGAGATCCTTTGTGGGTCTTGAGAGCAGACATGCCCATGGGTCTAATCCCAGTCGCCTTTGCAGGATTTGGGAGCTAAGCTCCACAATGTTACTCCAGTAGTCTGTGACCTTCGGGCAGCCCCACCACATATGTATATACGTGCCCCGCCCCCCGCACCCGTGCCAGCAGTCGTCCGTGGGACTTAGCCCCATATGTTTCTGTTTCACGGGGGTCAGGTACCATCGAAATAGTGTTTTATACGATTGCTCTTGGAGCGTCACACATATTGTGGTTTTGCTACATGCTTCCCATATGTCCTGCCACTCCGTTCCCTCTAATACCTCCCCCAGGTCGGCTTCCCACTGGTCGGTGTATCGCAGCGTGCCCTCCTCGTTCGAGTTCCCATTGAGGTGGTTGTATAGTAGCGTAATGAGTTTAGTTTGTGTTGTCTCATTGTAACATAGTTTTTCGAAGAAGGTCAGTGGTGTCAGAGCCGCCTTCCGTATGTCAGGGTTTTGTGCAAAGTCACGGATCTGCATGTACCTAAAGTAGTCTCTTGTTCGTAAGTTGGCTTTGGTGGCTAGGTGTTCGTAGGTGACTACATTTTGGTTCACATATAGGTGTACGTATCTTTGGAGTCCCGTGGCCTCTATCCCCTTATAGTCTCTCGCCTGCATTTCGGGAGGGAAGGCCCTATTCCTAAGGACTGGTGTCATGGGGGACGGGTGGGAGCTGAGGGCGTATTTTGTTTTGGTTTGGTCCCAAATCTGTATGGAGTTGAGTATGGCTGGGTTCGCTGTTCTTAATATGGCTCTTTGCGCTTTGGGTGCCCATATTGAAAATTGCGAGAGATCCTGACCTGTCATCAGCGACTCTAGATCCACCCACCGTCTCCTGTCAGGAGGTGTGTGCCACTGTATCACCTGTGTCAGCTGTGCAGCTAGATAATAGGTGTAGACATTGGGTAGTCCCAGCCCCCCCATGGGTTTCGGTCTGTACATGAGGGTTATTATACATTTTTTATTTTAATATTTTAAGTTTTTTATTTTATTATTTTATTTTATTATTTTAAGATTTTTATTTTAATATTTTAAGCTTTTTATTTTATTATTTTTTATTGTATATTTTTTATTATTTAATTTAATTTTGATCCCCCCTCCCTGCTTGTTAGCTTGCCAGGGAGGGGGGCTCTCACTCCCTGGTGGTCCAGTGTATGGGCTGTGTAGGAGGGGGGGCTGGCAGTGAGAGGTTACTTACCTTCCTGCAGCTCCTGTCAGCTCCCTTCTCCTCCGTGCAGCTCCTCTGTCAGCTCCCACTGGAAGTCTCGCGACAACCGCGGTGACCCCGCGGCTCTCGCGAGACTTCCAGTGGGAGCTGACAGAGGAGCTGCACGGAGGAGAAGGGAGCTGACAGGAGCTGCAGGAAGGTAAGTTACAGCTCGCTGCCAGCCCCCAACAGGACCGCCAGGCTTGTAATGAGCCCGGCGGTCCTTGTCTGTATTATGGCAATGTAAATTGCCATAATACAGACATTAACTCGAGTATAAGTCGAGTGGGGGTTTTTCAGCACAAAAAATGTGCTGAAAAACTCGACTTATACTCGAGTATATACGGTAATATTAGGGATAAGTGGAAGTTCAAGCTTTTAGTCCGAAAGATTTTTTTTAATGGACATTATAAGTCCCTCTACACATTACAGGGATGTTGTAAGGGGCAATCTATTTATCTATTTATTATAGCTGCAATAGTTTGCTTATTTAACTGCAAATATATTTCCACTATCTCATTCTCTCCTAAACATAACATACTTTTTGACTTGTACATGATCTTGTTCTGCGCATGTGTGGCTTGTGACTGGTTACTAGTACAAAGTTTCTCATAATGTTCTATGGAGAGCTTGGACAATAGTTTTGTGTATGCTAAACTAAACAGCAAAAAAAACTGCCAAAAGTGCAAAATCGTATGTAACTAACAAAATAAAAGCATATGCTTAACTTGCTGGAAATTGGCTTAAAATGTAGTGATAGATTCCCTGTTAAAATCCATCTTTGACAACCAACATGTGTATATGTACAAAACCAGACAGAGTTTCGGCTATTCCTAAAATGAGTGTTCTATTACTAGACTCAAAACCGCTGTCTGTATAATAATTGCACTCACAAATTGTCTGTAGCTAGTAAGCCTCAAAGACTCTCCGGAGTTACTCAGGGAGCGGCTAATACTCATACTTTGTATCCATGAAAATAAGTACTTTAATTCGTGGAAAAACATTAATGAAGCTACTCATCAAGTCAGTGAAAGCTGCACTGTAAAATGTACTTCCAGTTCAAATGCTGTAATTGTAAAGTTAAATTATTGTCAATGCTTTTGTATTTGTCAGTTACTGTGTATATCTCTCTATTTATCCATCTATCTAAATCTCCAAATTTTTTCTAACTTTCTGTCAGTGAGCATTGCCTTCCACGCATTGAGTCGCCATGCAGAAAAATCACACACATTTTCTCAGAGACCTAATGTTTAACCCCTTAAGGACACATGACCTGTGTGACATGCCATGATTCCCTTTTATTCCAAAAGTTTGGTCCGTAAGGGGTTAAGTTCAGTATTAACAATATTAAAATACACTTGGCAAAAAACAAACAAACAAACAAAAAAAATCCTAATTAAATTCTTCCCAGTGTTTAAAGGGTTTCCATCAACAAATGTAATCACTATAGCCCATTTCAATTAATGAGGAAGCATTTCTCTAGATTTAAGTTAATGAGTGCATAGTTCTCTTACTGTAAGTATATCTAGTTTAACGAGTATCGTTAGCCAGGTAGTGCTATAATTACATTGAGAATCTTGCCAGGTTAGACGGTATTCAGTTAATCCATAGGCGCCAGTCTTCGAGATAATTATTCAAGGTATCTGATGATATGCTGGGAAATGATATATGTAGGTCGCCATAATTACATTTTTGTTGATTTGAAAAAGCCGTGCCTTGGCGTGGTTTGTTCTGATGCGATCAATATGTGATTTCGTAATATGTCACTTACTGACATTTTTAATCACATTATAGAGCGTCTCAACTCAAAACATAACTTTTCTTTGAATTCTGAACAAAGCTTTAAAATGCTATAAAGTATATAGTTACGTATAAGTAATATATGCTGAAAATTGCTCAAGTCCATCAAGTTTACCTTTTTTACATATCTGTTTTACTGCTCTTGGTCGTCCCCTGCCTCTCCCTACCCCCCAAAAAAGCAAAAAATCGAATTTGAATGATAAATACATAGATTCTCCTTGACTCCAAATTGGCAGTCATATTTCTGCATGGACCAACCAGCTTTTACCACACCTATTTACTCAAAGAAAAACCAAAAGGCAAAATAAAAAAATGAAACATTGAGGAACTTGAAAGTCATTTGTGATATGTAGATACCTGACCTATTTTGTGTGCTGCACAGGTTCGTATCAAACACCTTCAATGGAAAAACATTGTAGTTGTTATAGGATACAAGATACATTGTTTGTAATGTTTGTTTAGTTTTATAATAATTCCATATGTTTAATTGTTCTTACTGTAAAGAATCCTATCCTCTACCATAGGTGAAATCTCAATTTTTCAAGTCTTAATACCTGACCTGTTGTCGTTTGTACAGTCCTTTTAAGTTATCTTTTTCTAGCTTTTATTTATAACTTGGGTTTAGTCCTTTCTGACATGTTTGACAATTTAAAAAAAAATCATTTTTTTTAAAGACTCCAAGGTTTTTTAAGGATCCACACTGTTTGTTTTTGGCATGATTAAGCTAAAATATCACATCCTCATTATGCACGAATTTCTTTTCAAACTACTGGGTGATCAAAGTAGTGAATCTGTGTTCATGGATACAGGATGAGTCAATTTTAATTCTTCCTTTGCACTATTGTGAATAATCCATACTTTAGATTAAAAACTTAATGGGGTGATGGCAGATTCTAAGTTATACTGATGGATTCCTAGGGACCTTTAATTCTATTCTTGCATGCCTTGTTTTGACTTCTGTTTTTGTGCAACTTTTGTTTTAGACTACATCTAAGCACCCAGTTGAAGAAATCCCTGAGCCTGTCTTTGGTGCCAACAAACATCTCATTGCAGACTTAAGGTACTTTATAAATCAAACTTAAAATATTCTATGTGTTTTTTTTTTTTTTGTTTGGTTTTGTTAGGTGCCCTGTTTTGACTTATCTTTTTATGATTTATGTAGAGCTCAGTTGTTGGTGAAAGAATCCGAAAATCGAGAACTTCAAGACAGACTTCTCAGTTGTGATGCCTGCAAAGAAAGAGGCGCTTTGCAACTGTTGGATGCAGAGCCAGTGAAATTAGCCTCCCAGCAATCAGGTGTGTGTTTATGATTGCAATAATATACAATGGGCAATTTAACTGTAAATACAATAGTATTTTATGCATGAAGAATTGAGAGGTCATTCTCTGTAAGGCCAGCAGGGAAGAGTACCTTGAATGTTTCCAAGTTGATGCAAAGTAAGTAATCTATACACGTTTTAAAGAACATTAAAGTACATAAATATCTGTATTTTGGTTGGCTCAAATTTGGACACATAATGGGATGCAAACATTGGAAAATACAGAGACAGGTTAACATACTTCCAGGTAGTTTACAGATAAGCATCAGAATTTTACTGTTTAATGTAAGTTAACTTGTACGAATTGTACAGCTCTTTTAGCTTTAGGCTGGGTTTGTTACTTTGGCGCACTAAATCTATTTCTCACATTTCTAATATGTTGGGGTTCTCTAGAGATTATGCATTTTTTGGTTGAATTTCTGTAAGAAATGCTTGTGAAGGAAGTCGTTAATTTTTTAGTAATAAAGATTATGTGCATTCATTTCTAATACTTTTTAGTGTCTTTCCTGGCATATCCATGCTAGGGGTGTCAGCAACCTTTAGAGGGTACCTGACATGACAATAAAACTTAATCTTGAAGGATGGAGAATCACATTTAATCTATACGTTGCACTAACACAATGCCTGCAAGGGTAAGTAAGAGCAGCAGACTCTGTGTTAGAGCAGCACCAATATGCAGATAGGAGAGAAACACCCAGCATGATTGATTTATTTTAGCTTTAGACAGGCAATCAGAGAATGGAGAGAAAACATGTCAGTTTTATTTACATAAAGCCTACATAAAGTGTTGGATACTTTGAACCTGTTATGGGCAGCAAATCAGTGCCGTCCAGACAGAGTATATTCAGGAGATGTAAGTATTGGAAATAATTAAAATTTGATCTTTTAACAATGTTAAGGGAAGAACCAAATAATTGTACAATATGGCTTAAGCCAAATGTGTGTAAACCTGCAAACCTACATATGTTTTGACTGCTTCACTTAAAGTCCTCTTTGGTCAAAGGTATCCCTTAAGCAACCCAAGTCCATGCCGATAGCTAAATTTTAATGCGTGTTTACACATCCTGACATCATGTGCATGTTTGGGCATCTCACAAATGCTCCCAGATTCAGTTTTAGCCAATGTATGTATGGTCTTCAGTTGGATGAGTGGTACCTATGTTCAGAATGGACATTATAAAGATGGGTGCCCCCATAGAGATTGAGAGAGTGCTGAAAAAAGGTATTGACTTATATGTTTCCATTATTAAACAATACACACAGAGGCTGTAATGCACGCAATAATTTTATTTTTGATTATAAAGAAGATGAGTTTCCCTTTAGAGTGATGAGATACTATGTAGAGCTGTTCAGCAGATATGCTCTGAGAGATTATTATTGGTATATAGTGCCAACTTATTCCACAGCGATTTACAATCGATGCCTAAAAAGGGCAGCTGTCATGGAATATTATCACAGGGATGTCATTTTAAGCCACATTTTAGCAAATACAAGACATTCTATTTTTATATCAAGTTTTGTGTTTGAAGCAATATGTGCCTTAATCACAAAGCACCATTTGTGAGCTTAAAGTTGAGCCATTTTATTTTACAGTAGTGACTGATGCATTGTGAGTGCACATCGATAGGAGACTAACACTACAGAGAATAATAAAATGATTTGAATAGGAACATGAGAACATTGTTTTATGAATACGTTTGTTAGCAGTTTTATTAGATCAATATACAGATGGCATTTATTCGCTCCTTTACACACCGCTTGTCATCCATTTACAAGTGAATCACAGGTTTAGTCTTTATAGAACTGTGTGAACTGAATAAAGAAACGTGAATTGCTCTTCATTGTTGCTTTGTGTTTTGTTGTTAAGATGAGGAAAAATACATGCAGTTAGAGGCTGTTTGCAAGCAGCTTCAGACTGAGAAGGAGAGGCTCGCTCTTCATGTGAAAGAGCTGCAGGAGAAGCTCAGTAAAGCCCAGTGTGACGTGACCAATGCCAAGCATGATATGACACAAAGAACCAATCAGTTCCAACTCATCCAAAAGGAGTTAATGGAAAAAGCTTCGAAAGCATCCAGCTTACAACAAGAAGTAAGTGTGTGTGTGGGAGCGGGGTATAGCAAGGTCTCCACCCCCTATGTCACACTACCAAGAGGAAGGGGTGAGACACCTAACAGGAAGTGTACAGCTGTACATTTCCAATAAATCTTTGTGCTGATTTTTTTTTCACTCTAGTGATAACTTTAATACGTTCTATTCAGTTGTTCTAGTAATTGTCAACTTATTCAGTAGAAAAAGTATATCCAATGTGTGCTCTGTGGATTAATTATAATCTCTGTAAAGCTCCAACAGAAACTATTAGAGAACCTGGATTCAGTCACTTCCTGTGTAGTATTGTAAGCAATGGAGGAGGATCAGAGCTAAGGAATTTGTTTCAGATTAGGGACCTATCAAAAGTTAGTGGGTTTTTTTTGGTGGTGGTTTACTATTTAAAGAATACTTGCAATAACCATAACCACTGCAGCTGAAGTCTTTATGGTGAAAAACATCTTCAGGCGCATTCTCCCAGTTTGTGGAGAGCTGAGCTCATCTTCCACCCAGCACTACATGTCTATAATTAGTCGTGTTCTTTTTAGTAATGTGGCTAGGCTTTGACAAACACAGGGGCTCTCCTGTTACCTAAACGACTTTAATGGTTTGACACTAACCGTAGAGATAGCACTCACAGACTCATTTTCTTAAAAAAATGTAGGTCCTTGACTGTGACCTTTCACATTGACAGCTATATTTAAAAAAGTGTACTTGAGAATAGCTGCTGCTCTTAATTTGTAATGTCATAGTGGCTCCTTTACAAAACCGTGGAAGTCCAACAAATACGTCTTTTTCAAAGTCAAAATTCAGTATATCACACATTATACATAGCAGGTAACAGTATTATTACCAACAGTTTATTTTTGTGCGAAATCAATTTAATTTTTTTTTTTTTATAACTTGATTAACGGCAATGGAATTGTTAAAAAAACATTAATATTCTGTGCTGTAAACATTGTTTGCAGGTTGCAAGGAAATGTTCAAAGATCTCTGCTATTCAGAAGCTTTTGGAAGAAAAGTCGATGGCATACTCTACTGTTGCTTCCAGAAATGCTGAACTAGAACACGAACTTATGGTAATAGAGTCCTGTATAATTTACCAAATACCTAATTAGAGTGTGCTTCCTGGAATGTTCTATAAAACCTCTTCTGAGCACATATGTTTGTAAATGTCTGCTTTATTTAATGTTGAAGGCAGCAGTGTCACTTTTGAGGATTTTTTTGTTAAAATCGAATCTTTATGAAAAACCTGTTTTGTCTGCGTTGGTATTTCACTGAAATTCCAGGGCGATCAGGAGATCAATCTTCACCTGTCATGGTTTGACATTGGCCAGGATCCAGAAGAGGGGAGAGCACGTTGCGTAGTTCTCTCTTCCTCCACTCCGTATGGGATCCACCTTACAAAGTGCCTCTTTAACTCAGAAAATGTTATATTTTCTAATTTACCTTATAAAAGCTTACTCTCAGGTCATTTTCAATGGCTTTCTTTAAAGTTTTAAATGTTGTTTAGCTTCGTTAATGTTGGTACAGTTATCATGCAATAAAACTATATATTATAATTAGATCTGTGAAGTTCGAATTAATATGCATATGAACAAATTAACTATATTCTTCTTTTGTATCGTTCAGAATTATAAAGAACAAATTTTTCATTTAGAAGAAAATATCAGTAAAGAGCATGAAGAAGTCATGTTGGCATTTGAACAGTCCAAACACATTCACGCTGATCAACAGAAGGAACTGCAGAATAACATTGAGCATGTAAGACCATCAGCTTAAATTGCTGTAAATTCATAAAAAGGACCTTAAAAGTCAGCTGGACATTGCTCATACTACGGAAAGTAAAACAATCTGTTTAGTTTAAAGAGATACTCTAAGCACCAAAATAACTTATTCTTAACGCCGTTACAGCGTTCTATGCCGTCCCACATTAAATGGGCTTTAAAGCCGTTGCGGCGGCATAGAACGCCGTAACGGCTTTCAGTCCCAGGAGGTGAAATTTACTTACCTCTGCCGCGATCCTCTTCGGGAGGACTGCCTGACAGCCCAGGCAGCACTCCCCTGGCAAATGAGGCCCCCAGGGGCCATGTGATCGCTCTCAAAGAGCGATGACATGGCCCCCTATAGCTGGCTGTGGATCTGCCAGCAGGGGGACTGTCTGAAATGGTGGGAAAGTAAAAAAAAATATTAAACATGTTTTAAAATAAAATGTGTGTGTGTGTGTGTATATATATATATATATATGTGTGTATGTGTGTATATATATATATATATATATATATATATATATATATATATATATATATATATATATATGTATATATATATGTATGTATGTTATATTATATTTCTTATATATATATGTAATGTATGTTAATATAAGTACATATATTAATCTTAAAATACACTTAGAATGACGTTACATATATATATTTTATGTTTATGTATAATTACAATAGTAAATCAATAAAATAATTTTTTTTTAAATTAATTTATATGTACATATGTAATCTCATTCTAACTGTAGTTTGTTATTAATACATATATATTGGTAACAAAAGACACTTAGAATGACATTTTATATATATATATATATATATATATATATATATATATCAAATAACTGCAAATATTTATATATAGATAAATATATATAATTACATAAACAACTACATAAGATTACACATAGAATTTAAATATATATATGCATATATAAAAAATTCTACGTGTATGCTTAAGTAATATTTTAACATAATTATGTGATTTAATTAATTAAAATTTGATTGACGTGCCTGACAACCCAGGCAGCAAGTGCAGAGAATTAAATTCGCACGCGCTATATTTAACCCTGTAACTTTCCAAGACATCATAAAACCTGTACATGGGGAGTACTGTTTTACTCGGGAGACTTCGCTGAACACAAATATTAGTGTTTCAAAATGATAAATTGTATTACAACGATGATATATTTAGTAAAAGTGAAGTTTTTTTGCATTTTTCACACACAAACGGCACTTTTACTGACGATATTATTGTTGTAATATGTTTTACTGTTTTGAAACACTTATTTTTGTGTTTAGTGAAGTCTCCCGAGTATAACAGTACCCCCTATGTACAGGTTTTATGGTATTTTGGATAGTTAGAGAGTCAAATATAAGGCTTGCATATAATTTTTTTCACATTGAAATTTGCCAGATTGGTTATGTTGCATTTAAGACCGTGTGGTAGCCCAGGAATGAGAATTACCCCCATGATGGCATACCATTTGCAAAAGTAGACAACCCAAGGTATTGCAAATGGGGTATTAAGATAATGGTATTATGACATTCACAGCTAAAATGTCTACAAATTTTTTTAAAAATCTTAATTTCTCACAATTCTTTACATTTTATTCATAATAAATTATGTTTCAAATAGGAATAGTTCATGAGAAATTAAAGCCCAGTTTCTCCTGAACAAACTGATATATAATAAGTGTGGTTGCAATATGAAAGACGTGAATTACGGCTGAACAGACATATAGCACAAATACCAGTTTTTGTTTACATTTTGTTTTGATCAGAACGTGTACTATTGACTCCGTCCTGAATGGGTTAATTGAGTTTTTTTTTTTTTTTGTTTTTTTTTTTACATTCTTTATTTTTGTTGTGTAGACAAGTAAACCGAATTGTCGGCACACAGGCTGTGAACATAAACATCTACAGAGAGAGGGAACTATTATCCAAATGAAATATATTGCACATATGCATCTTTTTAAGATCACCAAAAAAGAGTAAAACAGTGTTAACAGTAGGAGAAGTAGTGTGCTCATTCGATAAAAAGCAAATCCCCTGTAGAGAGATTCCAGGCTAGTGCTGCATATTCTGAGTTAAAACAAAATAAACGGATACTCTACACTTTTTATGTTAAAAGTGGAGACAATGTTATGGTGTACATGCTTTTAAAACTTAATAGAACTAAATAAAAAGGCAAGCTGAAACCATGCCTGACAACCCCATCAGAACATCTCATTCTTATCTAGGTGGTGGTGAAGGCTTCGCGGCTCTTATCTAGGTGGAGAGTTTTGAAGGGTTTGTACCCATCTTACAGGCCAAGAGGTTGATACCCACTTTGCTTGACGATAACAAAAATTCTCAAAACCAGGCTAAGTGGGTGGAGGGTATCGAGCATATGGGGAAATAAACCTCCAGTGCCAGCAGGATGTATTCGTATTAGTATGGGACGTGTCTCCTAGGACACTCGTCTAAAATAGGTGTTGCTATAATATGTAATATATAAAAAAAAAAAAAAAAAAGGGTGGCATTAAACCTAAAAATAAAGCTCACTATACAACTCGTGCATTTTGGTATATATTTGTTGAAGCGTTCAGGATATAGTGGTGGATGCGAGGTGCCTCTCAGGGCTGCAGGAACGAATGGGCGAACTCTAGCAGGGTCCCATGCTGTCGGTTGCGTTGAGAGCTCTGTTGGTCGTGGCTCTCCCTCAGTGTTCCTGTGGCGCAGGGTATCAAGAGGCATCTTGGTGAACCCCATTTGTAGGGTATGTTGTGCTTCATAAGTTAAAGGTCCTAGGGACATCCGCCAGTCCATTGTAGCCCTGGACAAGTCTGTGAAGAATTGTAGGGAGTGTTCCTCAAAGTGGAAGGGGTTTTTATTCCGTACCACAGACATGAAGGTTTGTCTGTCTCTGACTTTGGAGGTGTTAGCTGGTGGTGCTGGAATTCGGAAACAGCCCTCCAGCAGCATTGCTTTAGCCTGCTTTTAATGAGAAGAGACTTGTGAGCATATACTTATTGCTGTTTCTATATCTACTAGGGACTTCAGTGGGAATGAGAGAATTACGAAATTATTTTCACATCCTGTGTCAGCATGTAAAATATGTTGATGCCAGATGTTGTATGTATCCATTGGATTCACTGCTTCACATAGAGAAGAAATGTATTGGTGGATTGTGGCAATTGCCTTGCAAATGCCATGTATCCTCAAGGTAACCAAATTAAGTGTTGTTAATCATGTTTGATCGGTACAATGCGAATGTAGGTTAAGCCATAAGAAAATGTTTTATTAAAGCATACCATACTAACAATGCACCATCTTTTCCTTTTTATGGGTTATAGCTACAATGTCAGCTCAATATGAAGACTCTTCAGATAGCAGAACAAGATCGTACTATAAAGACCTTACAGCAAGATAGTATGTCAAAACAGCAAGAGATCAAATCTCTGGATCACATCCTTACAGAAACCAAAAAGGTATGAATGATTTATTCTTTATGTTCATGTTTTCATACTGATCCAAGCAATACAAATAGATTGTGTTTCTTTATAAAATGTGTTGCTTATTTTATAGATTGCACTAAACCCCTTGATAAATCTAAAAATTCCGTTATTCAGATAGGGAAAAAGACACAGGGGGTTCTTAGGGTCTATGGGGAAAAATAAAAATCACATTTTTGATAATATAAATGTTAATGGTTGACAATGAGACATCAACAATGGTAACATGAACAGAATCCAACTAAATGGATACTACCCAACCCCACTTCTATCACGATCAGGTTGGTGTAGATGAATCCAATACCTTAAGTTAGACAGTAAAGTTGGACAATCACAAACCTGCAAACCGTGTTGGTGACACTTTAATGGAACCATGAAAAGTTTCAACCGCTCAGAGCACTTCAAAACGCTCTTTTCTTTTTTTTTTTTTTTTTACAAATTACCATTATCTGAAGATATTTCTAATTCTTGGCACATGCTTTAATTGTCACGTGTACCAAAAACATTATATTTGTTAATCAATCCCTCCAAATAATGGACAAAGAAAAGTTACATCATAACTAAAATATACAATACATGAAATGCTCATTTCTAGATGCCCTAAATAAACACAAACGCACTTGACTGTCTGTAACATCTATCTATCTATCTATCTATCTATCTTATAGTGTAAACTTCCAGGGATGGTCAGCACTCAGAGGACTTACTTTTTGTTAAAACTTAGCTTTTATTGCACTGTATGTCAGTATTTCAGTTTAAAAAAAAAAAAAAAAAACTTGTGTGTTTTGTGTTTTTTGTCTTTTTTTATTTTTTTGTCGTTTTTTTTACTTCTAAATTTTAACACCCTGCTCAATCCTGTTCCTTATTTTTGGCAGGAATTGGATCTTCAGACAAAGAGCACACATGATGTAGTGAAAATACTAGAACACCAAATAAAGGATGAAACTGATAAGGTAAGGTGTCACATCTCAGAAATTTCCCCTGGTATATAAAAAGATGCAGATTACGGGGGGCGGAGCTTAGCGGCAGAGCTGTGCGAACCCCATTCTCTCATGTTCCTACAAGCTGCCGGAGAATCCACAGTAATCACTGCTTTTGGCATACTGTAAACCTATCAGAACCACTGCCCTGATAGCCCGGCAGTATTTGCAGTTAATTGATACCCTTTTTAGTCTCACAAACGGGCAGTAAAGCTCGCCACAAAATTGGGCCCACATCCGCTGCTTTCGAGGCCCCATTGCCCACCCCAGCTCGATTGGGTCTACCTTCTCACCCACCGATGAGAAAAGCACCCTATACTGATATGGGGCGGAAGTCTCAAAGGGTACTAACAGGTGTGAGCAAAGATACCCGCTCCAGCGCCCTGCGGCCTACAAGATGGCGGCCATGCCATATCAAGATACTGGTTCCACCTGCTCGGGGCAGGCCCTAGGGGAAACAGACTCTTCTCTGTCACACACTGAGGTACTGACAGACCCTGATGCATTAATTCCAGCTACCAAACTGGACATCTGAAACCTCCTGCTAGAATTGAAGCAGTTGTCTGCAGCTAATATAGACCTAGTGAGGACTGAGGTTCAAGCGGTGACCGCTTTAGTGCATGCCTTGGAGGAGGCCACATTGGATGTGCAACAAGAGGTGAAGGGACTCAAGGAAACTGCTGCTGCTCCAGTACTCCCATTAGGCCTTGCTGAGGGCCGAATAATATTAAATTTAGAGGCATTCCAGATAGGATTGGCCCGACTGAGCTTCTGCAGTACCTTAGAAATCTCACCGCTTCTTTGCTACCTCAGGCGAAAAAGTTGGTATGTGAAGGGTTCTTCTGTATCAACAAACCCAGACATGCACCGCTTTCGGCATCTCAACACGTGATCATTCGGTGCCAAAAAAAAATCAAGTCTTAGCGGATGTGAATGGTAAAACACCACTCGACTTTGAGTCTTGACAACTAACTTTTTTACCAAGATCTAACCAGGACCACGCTTCAATGGAAGAGAACACTGGGTCCAGTGACCCACCAACTCCTGCAAGCAGGAGTGGACTATTGCTGGACACTACCAAGAGCCTTGTCAGTTGAGTACAATGGCACCGCCATGAAACTTTCCTCTATATCGGAGACTGACTCATTCAAGCTCTAGGGGCTATTGTTTGAGTCAGTGACCCCAGAGGTGCCGACAAGAACGCATGCATGGGACCCTGCAAGGACCGTCCCTCGGAAAAGGTTGCACCAATTGCAGCAACATGACTCGAATCTGAACACATATGGCATGCACATCTATATGTTATAATAGTTTAAATGCCATTATCAGTTTTATTTTCCTGTTTTTAATTTTCTGTTTATAATATGCCTTTTAGTACCTTTAACATGCTGGCTCCTAACTGATAGCTGTATCCACCAAATGCGGGTTCCTTTTTCTATTCGGTACAGCGAACATACTGTGCAACCATGAGAGAGCTATAGCTCTCATAAATATTAATCCCACAGCCCCTTTGGTTTAGGGGTCTTTGATCGTAATTGATACTGCGTAAGCAGGTCCCTGGCACATATTAAAGGACCACTCTAAGCACCCAGACCACTTCAGCTTAATGAAGTGGTCTGGGTGCCAGGTCCAGCTAGGGTTAACCCATTTTTTTTTTTATAAACATAGCAGTTTCTGAGAAACTGCTATGTTTATAAGTAGGTTAATCCAGCCTCTAGAGGCTGTCTCATTGACAGCCGCTAGAGGCGTTTGTGTGCTTCTCACTGTAAAAATCACAGTGAGAAGACACAAGCGTCCATCGGAAAGCATTATGCTTTCCTATGAGACTGGCTGAATGTGCGCGCAGCTCCTGCCGCGCATGCGCAATCAGCCGAAGAGGAGGAGGAGAGCTCCCTGCCCGGCGCTGGACAAAGGTAAGATTTTAACCCCTTCCTCTTCCCAGAGTCCGGCGGGAGGGGGTTCCTAAGGATGGGGGCAACCTCAGGGCACTATAGTGCCAGGAAAACAAGTATGTTTTCCTGGCACTATAGTGGTCCTTTAAGGCGTACTGCTGGCTACTTGGCAACAGTCCAGCGACATACTACTTCCCACTGTCCCCTCAGGAGCCATGGTAACTGTTTGATACTCCTTGTCTTCATTTATTTTATTTTTGCTGTTATGACCTGCATAGTAAAAGAACAGAACAGTTTCTAGCTAGGACCAATGGGTTATTTTTATTTTATTTTTCTAATTTTTGCATATCTATGATGTGAAATAATCGCGTCACAGTATAGCGAGTTATCAAAGCTGGAAGTGCACTCAGCTCCTCACTAAGGAATCCAGGGTGCTCTTGAAAAGTCCCAGTACCCAAAAGGACCAAAATGGATAAATTTGTAGAAAAATGATCAAGGCACTCCAATAGTTTCCAATTCTTAAGGCAATTTATTTGGACCAGGAACTACAAAGCAATGTTTCAGCCCTAACAGGGCTTTTTTCAAACTTGAAAAAAGCCCTGTTAGGGCTGAAACGTTGCTTTGTAGTTCCTGGTCTAAGTAAATTGCCTTAAGAATTGGAAACTATTGGAGTGCCTTGATCATTTTTCTACAAGTATAGCGAGTTAGACCCCTAAGCAAATTAGCGTCCCCTAATCGTTTCATGTTCCCTTATGTATTAAAACTAAGCTTTAAACTATTGCTTCAGCGCTTATTAATATGATTGGACCATTGTCTCTCTTTCATTGTCCATTGTCCATCTATCTCAATAAAAAAAGAGAGTGACAAAAAAGATGCCGATTTGTTTACACATTGCAATGGATGGCTCTAACCATGGTACTTTTGTTATCGTGTGTGTTCTTTTTTTCTGTTAGGTTAGGCATCTAGAGTCTGCCTTAGCTCTGTGTAAGGAAGAATTGGTTTTATATTTGCAACAATTAGAAGAAAACAGAAAGAGTTTTGCAAATCAAATCAAGATGAAGTCTGAAGAGGTAAATGCCATTTTGTTTTCTAAATGTATTGTACGTATGTGACTTGGTATGAATATTGTCATAATCAGTAACTACTCATAGAGATGCATTGACTCAGTGTATCTCTATGAGAAGATTTTGGCATCCCCATGCAGAGATTTTGCATGACCGCATTAAGGAATAAGAGGTGGCTTTAGACCTCATTGTACTAAATTGTAAACACGGCTTTTTCTCAGAACAGGCAGCATCTACATTTCTCAGGAAATATGTCGGGCAAAAAACATGGCCACAGCTGCTAAAAGAAAAATAAATAATACATTGTGTAATATGTCCAAAATCAATATCAAATGACACTTTTACTGGTAACAGTCACAGTGCTGTAGAATTAATATCAGTGCTACAGTGCTCAGCCTGCAGAGACCGTCTACATGCCAAAGATGCACCACATTAAGCTTTAGTAGTTCTGGTGCCTAGAGTGTCCCTTTAAAATAATATAAATGTGCACATAATTGTGGCAATATGAGTAGAGTATTACTAGAGCATACAGTAAGTTGGGTAGGGATAGAAAACAATGAGTAAACAGTAAATTGAATAGAAAAAATACTATTTAATGTTAAGTAGCAACCTTGGACTGAACACAATAGAAGAGAGGTTACCAAGTGTGTAGTCTGCATTTGGTATCAGATATTACTGTAGGTGAAAGTTTAGGATCCAGTGATCATCGGTCAGTGTAGTTTAATATAAGAACAGTGACTGAGTCACACCACACAAAAACAAAAGTTTTAGACTTTAGCAAAACAGACTAAATGGAGTCCAAGAGGAATGGGATTATTTAAAAGTTGCACTTCGGAAGGCAACAGAAAATTGCATTCGGCTTGTCAGTAAAAGCAAAAAAATTTAAGAAAACACTGTGGTACTCCGCAGATGTGGCCAAAACCGTAAAAAACTAAAAGTTAGCATTTATTATTTATAAAAAAAAAAAAAAACATAATGAGGAAGATAGACAGATCTATAAGATTAGGCAGAAAGAGGCTAAGCAAGTTATAAGAGCTTCCAAATCACACACAGAAGAGAAAATGGCACAGTCAGTTAAAAAAGGGGACAAAACATTTTTTAGATACATAAATGAGGAAAGGAAAGTAAAACAGGGATTAGTTAGATTAATAACAAAAGAAGGAAGGTTTGTAGGAGAGGATAAAGGTCTAGCTGACTGCCTCAATTAATATTTTTGTTCAGTATTTACAGATGAAAATGAAGGTAAGGGGCCTCAGTTAGGAAAAAGGACAAATGAGTAATTAGTTATGTTAGTTTACCGAGGAAGAGGTTATATTTTAACTGTCAAAAGTAAAGACAAATAAGTCAAAGGGACCTGATGGAATACAACCAAAATTATTAAAAGAGCTTAGTGGTGTACTAGCAAAACCATTAACAGATTTATTTAACCAATCATTGTTAACAGGATATGTCCCAGAAGATTGGTTAGCGAGTGTTGTGCCCATTCACAAGAAAGGTAGTAGGGAGGAGTCTAGCAACTATAGGCCAGTAAGCCTTACTTCAGTAATGGAAACCATGTTAAAGGATAGGATTATTGAAAATCTACAATCACATGGATTTCAAGATCAGAGACAACATGGGTTTACTTAATTGAGATCATGCCAAACTAATCGTATTGATTTTTTTGATTGGGTAACTAAAATAATAGATCAGGGTGGTGCAGTAGACATTGCTTACCTAGATTTCAGTAAGGCTTTTGACACTGTGGCACATAGAAGGCCTATCAAAAAACTGCAATCTTTAAGTCTGGATTTAAATATTGTTGAATGGGTTAGACAGTGGCTGAATGACAAGCAACAGATGGTTGTAGTCAATGGAGTATATTCGAAGCATGGTCTTGTCACCAGTGGGATACCGCAGGGATCTGTACTTGGACCCATTTTCTTTAATATTTTTATTAGTGATATTGCAGAAGGTCTTGATGGTAAGGTATGTCTTTTGGCTGATGATACTAAGATATGTAACAGGGTTAATGTTCGTGGAGGAATAAGCCAAATGTCAAATGATTTAGGTAAACTAGAAAAATGGTCAGAGTTGTGGCACCTGACATTTAATGTGGATAAATGCAAGATAATGCATCTTGGACAGGCAGAGTACAGAATATTTAACAAAGTCCTAACCTCAACATCTGAGGAAAGGGATTTAGGGGTGATTATTTCAGATGACTTAAAGGTAGGCAGACAATGTAATAGAGCAGCAGGAAATGCTAGCAGAATGCCTGGTTGTATAGGGAGAGGTATTGGCAGTAGAAAGAGGGAAGTGCTCATGCCATTGTACAGAACATTGGTGAGACCTCACTTGGAGTATTGTATGCAGTACTGGAGACCGTATTTCTAGAAGGATATTGATACTTTGGAGAGAGTTCAGAGAAGGGCAACTAAACTGGTTCAAACTTACCAGGAAAGGTTAAAGGATCTTAACATGTATAGCTTGGGGGAAAGACAAGACAGGGGGGGATATGATAGAAACATTTAAATACATAAAGGGAATCAACACAGTAAAGAAGGAGACTATATTTAAAAGAAGAAAAACTACCACAACAAGAGGACATAGTCTTAAATTAGAGGGACAAAGGTTTAAAAATAATATCTGGAAGTATTACTTTATTGAGAGGGTAGTGGATGCATGGAATAGCCTTCCAGCTGAAGTGGTAGAGGTTAACACATTTTAGGCATGTGTGGGATAGGCATAAGGCTATCTTAATTATAAGATAGGGATAGGGACTAATTAGAATATTTAGAAAATTGGGCAGACTAGATGGGCCGAATGGTTCTTATCTGCCGTTACATTCTATGTTTCTATACCTAGCTGGGCACAGTATTAGTTTGATTCTGAATAGGAGATATTGCAACAAGGGGGGCAGTTAGAAGCCAGAGAAACTAGAACACTCACAGGTACTGAGATACTTGGAGGGGGATATGGCAAGATTAATTAAACTGAGAGGAATCCATATGGGATTGATTAAGTTGGGGAAAGATGAATGATTTGAGAAGGTGATTATGTCAGTGGTAGTGGGCTAGAAGGGAAAATGAATGGGATTGAGAAATATCACAGATGTGTAGAATTGAAAGAGCAGAGAGGACATGTTGGTGTATAGCAGGATTATGACATTTAAAATTAAATAATTATAAAATTGTGATGCAACCACCTGTGGAAAAATATAATGAAATCTCTGCATTTATGTATATAGCTGCATCATTTACAGATGGAAATCAAGCACAGGACTCAGAGCCTCCAGGAAATCAATGAGGAAAATATGCGTTTACAGCAAACTCTTCAGCAGCAGCAGCAGATGTTGCAGCAGGGAACGGAGAGAATCGGAGATTTGGAGGACACACAAGCAGAGTTAGAGAAACAGGTGCAGTAATAAATACAGTACATTTATATTGAGGTCCTTGAATTTTAAAAGGACAGTAAAACTATTTTTATTTAGTTATTTTTTTCGCCTTTGGATCATCGAATCGAATTATCAGTTGTGTTACAGTCGGCTGGCTAGAGCAGTAGTAATGTGTCTAATGTGTTGGCGCAATATAAAATAATAACACAGCCATACAAGGCTCTCTACTTCTCTACTAGAATACTAGCCATGCTGCCTTCTTTATCAGCAGTTGGTGGAAAAATACTGGCCAGTTTTAGTTAACAAAAAAAAAAAAGATATTTCTTTAATATTTCGTTAGAACAGGTGTGCAAATTGGAACTTCAGATTGAGAAGCAGAGGTGCACTTCAGAAGAAGAGATGAGAAAGACAGAGGAGAGTTTCCTGTTGGCTACTAAGGAGCTAGATCTAACAAAACTTCAGGTTCTCGAGCTAAACAGTGCTGTAGAGTAAGTTTATAATTGTGTGCATATAGTGATTAGCTTTAATCTACTGAATGGACTTTTATTTTGACTAATCCATATAATCCTACATATAAGATCTTTTTTGCTATTTAACCAATTTATGATATGTGATTTGCTTTAACCTTCCCCCTCTTTTCTATCATGAATGGATTCAAGTTTATGCTGATACCCATATTTGTTCTGTGTTAATAACATATATCCCTTATTTTCCAGAATTCTTTTTATTACACTTTGCGTGTGAGCACACATATCTAGTTGTGAAAGTAACTAAATGGTAATGACAAAACTGAATTTTTCTGTTGAAACATTTTAAGAAGCCAGACCCCTTTAAGCTTGGGAGTCTTGAGAGTTCAGTAGTAGAACGTTGCCTTCTTGAGTGATCAAACAGTAACATTTTTAAATAAACTCATGATGGAGTAAAAGGGACACTATTAAAGACCAAATTGTTTAGATCTTTATGAAGTGATTTGGGGGCATTGATGCTGTGTAACAGCGGTAGTATGGTGTTTCTGATGTCCTTAGCCCATCACTGGCCACCTGGCAAACTTTCCTCTTACTGCGGGGACCAGGAGGAACGCAGTGAGAAGGCACATTAACTTCTTTTTCCATATTTTAAGCATCTAGTGCCAGCACCGTGTCTTTCTTGTGACTCGAAAAGGGGAACTAAATAGTTTAAATGCAATGATCATGTTATTTTCATTGTGCTTCAGGAAGATGCAGCTTGAAAGAGATCTTTCTAATGAAAAGATGGTACAGCTGGAGGAAGAGCTAGCATTTCTGAGATGTCAAGAAGAAGCCAAGTCAAACAAGCTGAATGAAATGGAAATTACTCTTCGGAAAACACAAGCAGATCTGGATGACAAAAGGGCTCAGTGTAAGGCCTGAATGATGTATCATTCTAGGATCTTCCAGTTTATTCGACCTGTTATTGAATAGTTCTGTATTCGTTCTGAAATTAGTTCTTTTAATGATAGACTCATCTTTGCTTTGACTCTTGGTTTTAAACTCTTAAGGAATACGATGTATTGTCCTTACAGTAACCAGACATGAGTTTTGTTAGTGTACCTTTAGAAAACAGCAGGTTGTATGTGTGATGTATTTTACTATGCATTCGTTTATGTATTTTACATGCACATTTCATGTCTGTCATCAGTCCCAATATTTTTTAGGTTCATGTGAGTTATCTTATCAGAGTGAGTGTTTGCTTTCCTATGTTTATTCTAGGCAATATATGTAATGAGCTGTATAAAGGTTCTCCTGCTTTATTGGGTATATATTCCATAGTAACATGAAGGCAGGTGAGGTTTTCAGCACCAAATTGTACTCTCACAACATTTTCGTGGGGTAGGCTCCAGATGTTGTGGACTACATCTCCCCTGATGCTTATCCAACATTATGGGAGATGTAGTCAACATATGTAATTACTACAGTTGCCTACCCCTGCTTTAGGGCATGTGTGTCCAAATACATAGAGTGGATGTCTCCTAATCCTGACAATCTTAAAGGACCACTCTAGGCACCCAGACCACTTCAGCTTAATGAAGTGGTCTGGGTGCCAGGTCCTTCTAGGGTTAACCCATTTTTTTATAAACATAGCAGTTTCAGAGAAACTGCTATGTTTATGAATGGGTTAAGCCTTCCCCCTAATCCTCTAGTGGCTGTCTCATTGACAGCCACTAGAGGCGCTTGCGTGCTTCTCACTGTGATTTTCACAGTGAGAGCACGCCAGCGTCCATAGGAAAGCATTGTAAATGCTTTCCTATGCGACCGGCTGAATGCGCGCGCAGCTCTTGCCGCGCGTGCGCATTCAGCCCAAGGAGGAGGAAAGAGGAGGCAGAGAGCTCCCCGCCCAGCGCTGGAAAAAGGTAAGTTTTTAACCCCTTTCCCCTTTCCAGAGCCGGGCGGGAGGGGGTCCCTGAGGGTGGGGGCACCCTCAGGGCACTATAGTGCCAGGAAAACGAGTATGTTTTCCTGGCACTATAGTGGTCCTTTAAGATCATAATTAGACATCCAGTGCTCATTTCAATTACAATGTTTATAATATTGTGAAGTTTATTAGGATACAGTTCATCTTAATAATGTGCATTCTTTTCTCTCTAATTTCATTCGTTGTAGTTTGTCCATTATTCACAGGAAAAAAATAAACCATTTATGTCCTGGTTTAATATTTTTGGATAAGATTTTCAAATAATTTATCAGTTTGAAAAATAATTTTAATATTTTAACATGTTTATATTTTTTCATATATTGATACATTTTGTTTGATATGATAATACATTTTTTTGACATTTACAATTTTGAACACCATTTTACAAGCTTATCAAAAAAATAGTAAATAATTTGAAAATGTTATTTATCTTAGGTAATTTATTTTAGATATAATTATCTTCGGTCAGGATTTAATATTGTTGGATAATCTTTCCAAATAATTTAATATATTTGGCTAAGCTTTTAAAATATTTTTTTCAACATCTTAAAATATCATAACTATATCGTGTGTGTGTGTGATCACCATATCTCAACATATTACAAGATTTTAATATTTTTCATAACATTAAATCAATTTAGATGTTTATCCACAAATATTAAATAATTTGAAAAGCGTATATACCAGTATTAAATCAAAGTCTTAGAAATATGACCATTTCACATAACATACTATAAAATACTTCTTTAGAGTGGATGCTTGGCTCTTTTTGTAGTGTCTCGCTGCTATTTTAGAGAAATATCTTGTTGCATATTCAGTGGCCGTTTCCGAAGAGAACATGAGCGCCATGGAGAAACTACTAAGGAGGAAAGATGAGATGGATTCTGAGCTGCAGGGTTTGAAGGAGGAATTAGAGAACAATATCAAACATATTCAGAAACTGGAAGAAACATTGACAAAAACACACATATCATTGGAAGAGAAGCAATCCGTTGTGCAAACTCTTACAGAAGAACTTAGGTGAGTGATCCATAAAGAAGGTCTTCATCTTGAAGCCTGATGGGTCTCCAGTGCTTTGATTGCCACTCTGGTGTAACCAAGATACAAATGACACACTGTATTTTTGGTTTTAGACACTTGTAACATTGAACACACATGATATTTGCTTTTGACTTGGGTTTTCTCTGTAATGGCCTATATGAGTCAAGTCCGGTAAATGTTATTTATCTCTAATTTCAGAACGTGTAGAAGTGAACTTGAGGACCGAGAACATGAAATACTTGACATGAATCAGGCTCTAAATGACAGAAATTGGGAGCTTAAGCAGAGAGCTGCACAGGTATTCTAGATTAAATGGTTCATTGTGGTCTAGATCTCTGTTCTGTACAATCCTTTTTCAGCACTATGCTGGGGGAGATTGACATTTCGGCATACCAAGTAACGAGGTTCTCAATGCAGAGTTATGCTGTTAAGATTCAGTGATTCCCCTTCAAAGCCCTTTCTGTTTGCCGGCCAAACACACACACACACACACAGGGTTAATTACTAAAGCAAAAATTCAACGTAAATTGAAAGGAAATTTCAAAATTAAGGTCAAGATAGCCGAAATTGCAAAAAACCTATGTCATGTATGCTTTCAGTTTGGCTGCTCTGCCCTTAAATTTGATATTTACTTTGAATTCTCACTTTAGTAATTAACCTAACCGTATTTACATGTGAGCTGCATGATCACTGTAAAACAAAAGAATGAGTAGCCCATTTTGAGAGAAACCTTATCTCACTCCCTACCCAGGGCAACCTCGTTTGCTAATAAAACCACTTCAACTCAATAACCACAAACATATTTGTGTGTGTGTGTATATATACAACACATCACAAATGTGTTTAGTCAAGTCACTTTATTTGGCTATGAAGGACTAAATCTGACACAACAGGTTCTCTTTAAAAGAGTGGAGGTGAACTGATAAGTAATTAAGAGAATAAATTAACCCTTTTCAAATATATTGAATGACCAATGCATGAACTTTTCAGCTAAACCAGTTGGACATGAGCATTCGGGAACATAAAGGAGAAATGGAACAAAAGATTATTCGATTGGAAAGTGACCTAGAGAAATCAAGGATAGAAACGGAGGATCTTCTTAAGCAGGTTAGCCGCTTGTATGTAAACAGTAGTATTTTGTGTTTCATCAAACTATTTACTGTATATTGGAGAAGACATTTGTTTGTTGGTTGGACAGATTTCCTAGTCGTGTGAATAACCTTTCTAAACTGGTAAAAAATGCTTTGTTTTTACCCGTCTGGGTATATTCACTAACTATAAAGTACGGCTTTGTCCAGAAGAACTTTCCGCGTGAAGTGTTCTAATTTATAATGTGAAAATAAGCCTGCTTCTTGGTATCTGCTCTATGACCTATCTGTTTGCTACCAATCTGACTACAACATATCCTGATTAGAAATAAAAACATATTATCTCATAATCTGCAACAATAGCCGCCATGAAAATCCATCACTTGCTGCCCTGTCGGTAAAACCACTATACTTCAACATTATAAATTACTAAATAGATAGTATTTGACCCCCTGACGAATAGCAAGAATGTTTCCTGTTGCGGCCCTTCCTTGGACTTGGCTATGACATCCCCCCGGCTCTCAATAAGCTGTAGTGATTATAGTGTTTAAGGTGTCCCTTTAAATGTATTATTGTTAAAACCTATCACTTCAGGCTGTGTAACAAACGCGTCTGTTCTTGCACAGATTTCCTGTTTAGATGAAAGAAATCAACAGTCAAGAAATGAACTTTGTGAAAAAGATTTTGAGTTACTCCAGAAAGATCAAACTATAAATCAACTTAAAAAGGAGATTGAGAAACATCGCCTAACCATTGATGATATAGAAAGGGTAAGTACTGTAAATATTAATATGTTTATAACAGACAAACAAATACACAAAATAAAAATCGGTTGTAATCTACTTATGTATACAGAACTTACAAACCATTTGGGGAATGACATGTAAAAATCCCAATAACATTAATTGAAAGCAGAAGATGGAATTTGATTATAAAGATTCATATTTTTCTTAACTGTTTTGGTGCTGAGCTGGTCAAAAAAAACCCTGATGTTAAAGGTAATGAACAAGCAGTGGGCAGACACGGGCTCAGTGAGTACATGTGCAAGAAGACCATTTCTACCACTGTAGCTTTCAGCCTTTACTCCATTGTTTGGTACTCTATTCATTCTAACTATGGGGTATCCGAAAGTCCATGGAATAGGGTCACAACAACACTCAGACATTCCATATAGTATCCTTAAATTAATATAAAATAAATAGTTTTCTTTAAAAATATCCTTTTGTTTATGCCAACGCGTTTCACAATGTTGATTTATATTTGCTCCATCAACATTGTATTTTAGACGGTGAAAGCTCAGGAATTCCTAGTATCGGAACATCACCAGGAAAACCTGGATCTGAACCAGCAAGTAAGGCTGGCACGAGAGAGGATGCAACTCACTCACCTGGAGCTAGTCGATTCCCGGCAACAGCTGGCTGAGGCTCAGAAAGAATCAGACAGTCTTCACCAGAAGCTGGAAGCCATGGATCAGGTTTCCAGAGAAAAGGTAACTTTGAAAGAGCCCATGTAGCTACTGCTGCCCAGTCATTTTCATTGTTCTTGTTTCACTCTCAATTTATCTTTTTAAACCAATCCTCATTTTTTTATAGCATCTGATACTGCCATTATTGTGTTTGATTCTGTGTCTAAGGAATTGAAATCATGGAATAAAACATTGAACATGCTCTATAACTGTTTTATCATTTATCTAATTCTCTTTTGCTCTCTCTAAGCTGGCTGCCAAGTGTTTATAACATTGATTGACAGCCCTGCCTGTACCGTGAAATGCCTTTCACATAAACCAACACTATTTCATGACTCCAGTTACAGGCAGTGTAGCTGTAATCACAGTTTGACTGGTATATTTCACTATCAAAAGTAACAAAAAGAAGGCAGAGACAAAAATCTACACTCCATGTTTGCCCTATATTACATATATATTTCATTGTATATGGTAATATTTGGGTTTTATGTGAGTTTATATTGTGTACTGTGTGCATGTAATGTAGAGCAAAATTGGATTATGGTGAACAGAGTGTACAGTTATATAATCTGTCCTCGGGTTTTTAAAATATTTTTTTTCTTTCGTAAATGATTGTAAGTGCATGCATTACTTTTGATGATTTTGGAAGTGTTACCTATTAGCTCAGGCTGTCATTTTCTTTTTCTCCCAAAATGGGAAGATTTTGTTTCCTTTTTAATAAGATATGAATATGTTTCTTGGCAGCTACATCAGATGAAGCAGGAACTGAAAGAATCACAGGACACAATCTGCAACATAAAGACAGAGCTTGAAGCCAGGAACGAGGTGATCAAGGCCACCAATGAAGTACTCTTTATGAAGGTGAGGCAGTTTGGTAGTCTGTCTGTTTGGAAAAGTTGATTACGGAAACCATGCCAGCTGTAGTGGTTATGGTGCCCTTGTGCCTTCCCAGTGTAAATCGTCAAACGGTTTAACAACAGACAACATACGTGAGGTCAGCTGGGCACCACGTGACATTGAGGCCCCTGCAAGGAGTTTCTTTTAGTTTTCCTAAGCGAAGTACCCCAGTGCAGGGAAGGCTCATTAGTGTTAGCTGAGAACTCTCTGGCAATGAGCCAAAGCATGTGTGGCCCAGCTTGGCTCACTACTGCATCTTCCAGACTTCAGAGGAGGAGATAAGGGCCTTGCAGATGCCAGGTAAGTTGTCAAATCTTTCTTATCATTTGACTAATTCAACAGAATGCAAAGAGCTAGTCCCAGGTTCTCCAATGGGAACAATGATATAGACTCGGTTGTGTCTATATGCTAATGGGTTTCGTGCCAATACGGCTCAGAAATACTGAGAGCAGCATTATTTAGAAACATGATAGACTAGAGGTAAATACGAATATTGTATCTTCCTGATTTTACTTGACTTTCCTAGAAATGTGATAATATAATGGGAATCAACTCAGGTCAATGGTCACATAATTTATATTCTGATGCTTTTACCGGTTTATCAATAATATTAGGCACTATTTACAGTCGGAGAAAACATTCTTTTATTTCCCTAAATTATCTTCTGCATTTTAGGAGTCGGAGGTTACACGATTAAAAGCCCGCATTTCAGCATATACGAGAACATTGGGTGTCAAAACCCAGAATTCATCCATTCACAGTTCCGAATTGTTTAATGAATACAATCCACTGGAATCCTATAAATATAACGAGACCCAGAAGATGAGCAGATCTATAAGTGCAAGTGATATAAGCCTGGCAGATCTTAATTCCCTTGATCTACCTGAGACAATGCTTGAAGATATAAAGAGCATTTCTCCTTCTGACATAACCATGAATAACATTGGTGGGGTCCATCATGTGTCCTCACACAGTATCAATGACTCCTCATTCAACCCTCTTGAGTACACAGTAGAAGATAAATGTGAGACGGCCTCCGATTGCACAGATCTTGGTACGCTCAGCGGGATGCTTAAGTACATAAAGAAGGAAATGAAAAGATCATCTGTCTCTCCTGACCATAGTCCTACCAAGAATATGTGGATCGATGATGGGTGCCAAGGAAAGCAGGTTTGTGTCTGTTTATACCATCTGAATGTATAATTCTGTAATATACATAGTTTTTAGCATTATTGTACTGTGGTCCAAATGTGATTTTCCATGTTACAGATAACCACCATGTACATATTGTTGTAGGCCATGGTAAATGATCTACTCATGGTGACAGTACGCACTAATCAAGTAATTCATAAAGGTTCATTTGCATTTTGGCCATATATTCAATTGATGTCTAGAAACAGGAGAGAATATTGGAGTGGTAGTGAAGTACCGTTCTCACGCATGTAGGGGAAATTGTGACCTCCACCTATGTTAATGGCCTGGTGTCTTCACCCTTTCTTCTTGCTCCATTGCAGGAGGACCGTGGGAGTGAAAGAACCATGTTTTCAGATGTGCATATATTGAAAAATAAACATGAATACCCTGAATAAAATTGGAATGCTACGAATATAGTATACAGGCTTCCAACTTTAATAAACTGTAAAACACATTTTGATGAAAACAAGGCATTTCTTCACATATAGTGTGCAATTTCACCAACTCATGCCGAGGTACCTACATCACCATATACCATGTTTACATAACAGTCCATGGTAGCTTGAGAGGGTTACTGTCAAAGATATTAGGTTGCCATTCTGTTAAACGTAATGTGTGAATACAGATTAGCTCCATCACATCAGGTTTCTGTAAGTTGTAAGCTGGGTCCCTTGTGACCTAAAAATCAATACAAGCTTATTCCGGTAGCTGTCGAGAAAAGGGCCCAGTGGAGGCATTCTCTTTATATCATTCAGCTGGATAATACTGTTCATTCACCCTAAGAAGAAGTAATCCGTTTCATAGCTCCAATTAGACCTGTAAATGTGAGAATGAGGCACGCTATATTAACCATGAAAGGAAATCATTGAAAAGCACGATTGTACTGTCCTGCTGAGATAACAGTATGTTTTGATGATTTATAGAACCACATTTAATACTATTATTTTATTTATGATGTTTGAACATACTGTGCAGAGTTAAATGTTGAGAAAATTGGGGTTTGGTGACATTCTGTTCGATTTAATGAAAGTATGAAGGCTCATGCTAAAAGGTTTAAAAGATCTTTCTTTACCAGCATAGCCAGGGGTATTAACTAAACCAAGACATTTCAGGAATTGACCTGATCAATGCAATTTTAGGCCAAAATAGCCAAATTGAGAACAGTTGCTGTGTGTATCCGAGAAGGCAGTGCAGTTTTTATAGTAATTGATGGGTTAATCCGTGTATGCTATGTCAATGAGTAGTCTGGCAGGACTTGATCTCCATTCTAGTACTGCTGATTCATTTTACCAGCGACATTTCCTTGAATTATGCAAATTATATCTTCTATGGAAATGTCTCGATTTGCATATATAAATGAAGATTATTGTAGTTACCGTTAAAGTCCTTTTAGCATTTACCATAATAGTGAATTGTTTGCATTCTTTCCCTGAAATCTTATTTTTTTAATTCATTTTTTTTACAAGTGGAATAGTGCACCCAAAGATCTATATAAAGTATCCTTTAAAATGTTCCTGTTGCATTCCTCGTACTGGAGAGATGCAAGCATTAGCCATTACTTCCCTGTGGGATGTTTAACCCCTTAAGGACACATGACATGTGTGACATGTCATGATTCCCTTTATTCCAGAAGTTTGGTCCTTAAGGGGTTAAAGTTGATATCTGTAAAACAAATTGGAATTATTTATTTTGTACTGCGACCGTAACACTATTTCTACAACATAAAAATAATTTGTAGTTGACATAAATTGTTTCCATCTTTTTTCTTTTTTTCTTTTCAGGTATAAATACAGATCTGAAAAGGAAATTACTGTTTTGTAATCCAACGTGTATTTTTAGATATGTGTTTTCTATGTTTATATTTATTTGTAAATGTTTAATTTATATATTTTTATACATTTTTACAGTCCGTTTCTATAGTGGAGCATTCTTTTAAGGCATGAATCATGTGAACTTATAAAATAAAGTTTATTTGTTAAAATTTACATCGTTTGTCAGTGTACTTATTTATAACATTTTCAGCAGTGTACAAATTTGACACGGGTTCTTTCACCGAAAGTAACTTTTAGCAAAATATTAAGATGCTTTTTTAAAAAAAAAAATCTTTTAATTCATGAGGAATTCTTTTTACATGGGGATATTGGTCTAGTCTGTTAGTGAAATGTTTATATGTCTACATTGTTTCACTGTCCTTGCTAAGGGGTTTAAGCATTTATGCAATATTCCATTCTGGCTGGATAAAGCAATATAAGTACTGGTTGACCTTTCAGACCAATTGTATAATAAGTGTCTGGCTGCACGGGTCCCAGGGCCTTACACAGAATTAAAATCAGCCACCCACTCATCCTTCTGTCCAGTATTGCTGCTTAATGCAAACATGTGACTGCAATCAGAGGATGTGTGTTTGACCAGAAATGTGTGTGTGTGTGTGTGTGTGTTTTTTTGTATTTAGGTGTCAAGTGTGTATGTGTGAATACTATAACATAAACATGTTTGTATATAATTTTAGTGTATTAATACAGGGGTGTGTTTGTATGTAATGTTTGTGTTTGATTGCAGGGGTGTGTTTGGATGTAATGTTCTCTTTTAAATGCGGTTGTACATTTGTGCGTAGTATTGGTGTTTGAGAGACTGGGCGTGTTTATATATAATTTTGGTGTTTGAATGCAGGGGTGTGTTTGTATGTTGTGCTGATGTTTGATTGCTTGGATGTATGCACATACACTAAGACATACAAACTTACACAGACATGCATAAAGATTAACACGGAGATACAAATAAATACACTGACACATACACACAAATTCATTAAGACACCGATAGATACACCCTCCGAAACATGCACACACCCTGACACTACAATACACGCACCATGACACACACAAACACTGACACACAGATGCACATACATATACACAGATACACGCACACCCTGACACAGTGAGATATACACACACAGACACACACTGATACACCGATGCGTGCGCATACACAGCGGCACACCCTGATAAATACACACACACACACACACACACAGATACACACAAAATCTCATATACACATACATGTGATAACTTTTTATACCTCCAGCCACCTTTCTGTTAGCTTACCTTTTGTGTCCAGGAGGGTGGCTTGGAGTACTGGTCCGGCTGCTGGTGGGAGTGAGGGGTCTGGAGCAGCTCTTTGTGTTCCTCTCCCCTCATGCTGCTTCTGCGGCTGCCTCCGCTCCCTCACGCGCAGTCTGTTTGTACAAAGCTGGAAGGCTGTCACTTCCTCCCATCTGGCCGACAATACATGGCCTCTGTTCAGCAGAAATGTTTCCCAGTGCCGTCATAGCATAGGGGAAACTTTTTATGGCCGCCCAGGGCGTCGCACACAGTTTGGGAACTGCTGTCTAATGCTATATCTAGGAAGTTTTTTTTTTTTTTTATTGAATCAAATGGTATATTAAAAAAAGAAAATCTCCACACAGATACATAAAGTAAAAATGATTCCATTTGGTTCAAAAAGAACACTCCAAGCACCAATTCTGATGATCTCAGTAAACAGGGCGTTGGCAGAGCCAAACGCTGCGTTGGCCAATCAGCATCTCCTATAAAGGAATGTACAAGCGTCTCCATGCAGCGGTGTACCTGGACAGCCGTGTAGGGTGTTTACATGAAAATGTCTGCAGGGACATATACTCACCAGAACAACTACATTAAGCTGTAGTTGTTCTTGTGACAATAGGGTCCCTTTATTTGTTTTAGAATGCTCTGACAACTTAGTTGAGTCCCCTTAGCCACCTACTCGAGAAGCCATTTGTCTCTACAGAGCAAAGCATGATTGATACAGGACATCACTCAATGGCTGAGAACACTCTGTTGATGCTCTCGTCCAATGAGTGCAACCCTGCTTTGTTCTGTAGAGAGAATAACTTTTTCCTACAGGAAAAGACTAGATGTAAGGGATAGGATCCAGGTAACTTGTCATACTGGACTAAAACAGTTTGACTACTAACCATGGTATGGCACCCTAGCCAATATCAGTGGACTGTAGTGTTTATAGTGGAGTGTTCCTTTAAGGGACAACTGTTATCAGTTTTTTCCTTATTATTATTATTATTACTATTAAAAACATTTTACATTTTTTTTATTTTAAATAAGTGTTTTATTTTTTCTTTTATCTGGCTGATAATGTTTGGTCACATTTTGCGGTTATCTGATCAAATGCTGCTCATCATAACTTGTCTGCTGCTGTGATTGCTCTGTGTGTTTTATGCAAATGCACTCTTATCACACAATCTACAAAATGTGCCATAATAGGCCTACATCATTGGTCCCAGCACATGTAACCAGCAACAGCCCAAGTTTTGTCAGTATCTCCACTGAAATGCATAAATCATTGACTGTTACTGGGCCATGAGGAAATGTTTGGAACCAGTGTTCTAAATACTACTATACTGCCACTGATTATAAAATATATATATATATATATATATATATATATATTTCAAGTAGAGATTGTAGCCGTATTAGTCCAGTGATGTAGATGTAAAAAACAGATGAAATGTGTATCTTGTAATTCCTTTTTATTAGACTTACAGAATTTTTTAATGACAAGCTTTCGGGAGAATCTCTTTCTCAAGTCTGAAGCATTTCTGAGCAAGACGACACATAGAATTCAAAACTGAGTTGATACAGGGGGTAAAGCCATATGAGTACAGATAAGACACAGGTTTGTTAGAAAATAGACACCATTCTAGCAGAGGGTCATGAAGATCACAGAGTGAGGGGGGGGGGAGAGAGAGAAAAACAAACAAACAAGCAAACAGTGCAGAAGATGGTGCTAGAAGGGGAGAATAAAAACAAAATAATTACTTATATTAAGAATGCAGGAATTCCCATCCAAGAGTTACAGGATATGCATAAAGGCCTATATCTCACACACACACACACACACGTAGTGTATATGTACAAGTATACACAAGCACATACACGATATACATTAAAACATACAACAACAAAAAAAAAAATTATTTATATATATATAAAAACAACCGATTACACAAATATGTACATGCATACCTATACATACATACATCCACACATAAGCACCTACACATGTACAAATGTACCTACACATATATAGACCCATGTATATGTACACATACACACATGTATGCATATATGTACACACTATATATATATATATATACACATGAACTCTTATACACAAATATAAATGCACAGTCATATATATATATATATATATATATATATATATATATATATATGCATAAGAGTATGGGAAAGCATAGGTCTAGCACGTTGTATATTGATAGGATAAACATATCATTGGAATGAATTTTAAAATGGTGATACATATAACAGAACAGTAAGATAATGTGGGGAGTGTTCATGTAAAGTGTTGGTAGTGGGACAGGAAACCCAAATCAATATTTAGTCCTCTGTTCTTGCTGTTAAACAATTGGATCATTTTGGTTTCAAAAGTTTTTATTTCTTGGTATTTTTAAAACCACTTTTCAGTACTTTGATTTTTAGGTCCTTGATTGAGTGGCCAGGTTGGGTAAAGTGGTGTCCCACAGGTGTGCAGCAAGATTCTTCTTTGTGGTGTTTAATGGAGTATCTGTGCATATTCATTCTGCCATTTAATTGCTGGGTGGTTTCCCTGATGTAGCATCCTAAGCGGCATTTGAGGCATTGAATCCTGTAGAAACATAGAAACATAGAATGTGATGGCAGATAAGAACCATTCAGCCGATCTAGTCTGCCCAATTTTCTAAATACTTTCATTAGTCCCTAGCCTTATCTTATAGTTAGGATAGCCTTATGCCTATCCCACGCATGCTTAAACTCCTTTACTGTGTTAACCTCTACCACTTCAGCTGGAAGGCTATTCCATGCATCCACTACCCTCTCAGTAAAGTAATACTTCCTGATATTATTTTTAAACCTTTGTCCCTCTAATTTAAGACTATGTCCTCTTGTTGTGGTAGTTTTTCTTCTTTTAAATATAGTCTCCTCCTTTACTGTGTTGATTCCCTTTATATATTTAAATGTTTCTATCATATCCCCCCTGTCCCGTCTTTCCTCCAAGCTATACATGTTAAGTTCCTTTAACTTTTCCTGGTAAGTTTTATCCTGTAATCCATGAACCAGTTTAGTAGCCCTTCTCTGAACTCTCTCCAAAATATCAATATCCTTCTCGAGATACGGTCTCCAGTACTGCGTACCATACACCAAGTGAGGTCTCACCAGTGTTCTGTACAATGGCATGAGCACTTCCCTCTTTCTACTGCTAATACCTCTCCCTATACAACCAAGCATTCTGCTAGCATTTCCTGCTGCTCTATTACATTGTCTGCCTACCTTTAAGTCATCAGTAATAATCACCCCTAAATCCCTTTCAGATGTTGAGGTTAGGACTCTATCAAATATTCTGTACTCTGCCCTTGGGTTTTTACATCCAAGATGCATTATCTTGCACTTATCCACATTAAATGTCAGTTGCCACAATTCTGACCATTTTTCTAGTTTACCTAAATCATTTGACATTTGGCTTATCCCTCCTGGAACATCAACCCTGTTACATATCTTAGTATCATCAGCAAAAAGACATACCTTACCAGATAAGTCCTGTGTGTAGCAGGTCCTGCTGGGAAAATTTTAATTCCAGTTAAACAGTTGAATCTTCCCCAGACACGGGCCAGCTTGTTGTTAATAACTGAAAACCGAATCCCGTCCCAGACACAATATTGGAGGTTTTCATTCAGAATAAGCATATCCTCTCCTTGGCAAGACGCACATGATTGCTGGACCAAAGCTCATCTTTGATCATCTGGCCCACCATGTCATTGAAATGATCTTTTTCCCTGTTTGTGAAATGGCTACAATAATACTACGTATACAATAATCATCAATATCACTGACAGAACGAGAAAAACCAAACCAGTTAATTGGCATTGCTTGCAAGAATACAATTATTATTATTTATATAGCGCCAACAAATTCCGCAGCGCTTTACAATGGGTTGACAAACAGATATGTAGTTGTAACCAGACAAGTTGGACACACAGGAACAGAGGGGTTGAGGGCCCTGTTCAATGAGCTTACATGCTAGATGTATACGTGGTATAGATGGAACGTGTGTGTCAAGTAGGCAATCGGCTTACAGTACTGTAAACGTCTGTGAAAAAGTTAAATGGCTCTATAAAACCAGGCAGCAGGATCATTACATAACTGCTTTGGGAGAAAATATGATGCCATGGGTCAACAGTAGCATTAAGGGTGAAGATAGAAATTCAAAAAGGATCAGTCTTTACAATTCTAAAGCTCAAAAATAATTTTATAAATGCAAGAAAATAGGATGTTAATCCAGGCAAGAAGTGCCCAGAACACATTATAATGAGTTGAATGATGTCCTTAAATTAGTGGGGTTTTTTCCTCTTAAGTGTCAGCATTAAAAATGAGATTCCCATCTGGCAATAAATTGAAACAAATAAGTCAAATGATTTAAGCAAATATGACATTTATAAGCTGCCGATGAAGTTAAAAAGAAAATAAACATACGTGTAATTTGGAAATTCTTCTTTCATCCAGGAATGGATAGGAAGCAGTGGCCTAGAGTTTAGTACGAGAACATCATTGGACTTACTCATGACTTTTCTGCTGTGGTGACAAGCACTGTGAATAGTAGTCTTACATGTCTCTGCTAAACAGACCGAATCCCATTTGTCACAGAGAACTGTTTGCGAAAATTAAATGGACTCTATAGCCATTACTAGTCATGTTCCTTATATAGGGTACAGCCCTTCATCCTATTTGTTTGAGCTGTAGAGATTTGCAGCCATTGCTGCTGCTATATGTCCGCCCATCACAATTGTACATACACGTGTTCATCATGGGCACTAAATGTCTTAGTCACAACATGTCATAGCTATCTAAGAAAATGCATGTTTTCCATGGCCACATGCAATGTCTTAAAATGGATCGTTTTTTCATGAATGAAAGCATTAGTAACAGCTGAACTGCAAACCCCATAAATCTCTGATCAACATGAGTTAACGTTTATGAGATATGCACATTGATTTCAATTAAATCAAATGGAAAATCAAGACTGGGCTACAGACTCTGGACATTCACATTATCTTCTGTCTGTCTGTCTGTCTTTATATCCATCTACAAGGTTTGTCTAGAAAGTAAAGTAATGTGAAAAATAGAGACATCTATGACAGAAGATACAAGAAACATAGGACAATGACACCTCAGTCCCATTCAAAGCAGACACCTTGCGACCTCACACAGTTCTCCAAGTGTCTCTTCCACTGTTTAAAATGCTTTGCAAGAGCTGAATTGTACCAGCATAGGGGGTCAACACCCCACTATACCACCATCCTGGACCTTAGACACGGGGTCGCAAGGAGGCTGTGTGCCCTGATGGGACCCTACACAGTAGGTACCCCACATGTCCTAGGACTGCATGGTGGCTACAGGGTGGGCACGGGGGACTAGACGAAAATTGGTGGGACATACAAAACTACCCAATGTAGAAAAGGTACACGTCAGATATAACAAAGTACTATTCGTAACTATGCACACACCATTTACTCAAGAAAGCGACCTGCGAGTCGCCAAGACACGTCTAACAGACTATGCCCTACAATGTATAACCATGTACAAATGACCAAAGGGCCCGCGTGTCCATGTTTTTCTCTTCCATGTTGATAACAAACGAAAAAACTAAGCAAAAACAAAACTAAATGTTCAATAAAAACATATTTACAAAAATAAAATGCTTTGCAAAATCCTTTGTTGGAAGCACCATCAGCTGCCTTGTCGTATTTACCTGAATCTCATCGATGGTCTGTAATCTATTCCCCTTCAAAGGTGATCTGAAAGGCAGGACGCCAAATCTTTCAACAGATTCTCGACCATCTTTAAAGTTTTTTTTGCCACAATTTTATTTGCGCTGCACTCATTGCATCGTCCTGGAAAACCTTCAGAATCATCCGAATATTTTTCGTGGAGGAATGTTTAAGCTTAACACAAAATTTTATGACTAGTACAATGAAGTCATCGCATTCCAGTCCACTCTCTTTGGCTGCCAGTTTACATTGATGTAGCGCAAATCGTTATCATTATATTAACAATGGCTGGATGTTTTCCCAGACAGAGTTTTTATATATTTATATATATTTTATTTATTTTTATATATATATTTTTTATTTTTTTTACTTTTGTTACCAACTTACTTTAAGTACACATATGTTTCATGGTATGTGGTAATGCACTTGATCAACATCTTACCTACAAAAATAGTCTGTTGCTGCTTTGGTGAGCAAAGGGTGAAAGATTATTTGCCCTTTATATAAACCGGCTGTGTGCCATCTGGAAATGGTAAAGGCTACAGTACAAATCAACCATTGACTTAATGATCATCCTCCTAGTGGTGCAGTCAGCCCAGATTATGCTGTTCACATCCATTAATGTCAGAAAAGAGATTATCCTGCTTTAGACCCAAAATGTGTAGCTTTGCATTTTTGCATATGCTGACTCAGTCAAAGCACAGATAAAGCACTAAGTACCAGTGACTTGAGACCCAGAAGGAACCTCTACGTTCTAAGAAAGGTTCACATTTGATCCTATTTGTAGACTGCTGTGAAGAGTGTACAATGACCGCATTGCCTCTCAAAAATGTTCTCATCACAGGATGCTCCTCTGGAATAGGATTAGCCATCGCTGTAAAGCTAGCCAAAGATGAGCAAAGGAGATTCAAAGGTAAATTGTGTGTTCTATTTACTATGATGCAGAACTATGTACTTATTAAATGGGACGTTGCGCTCAACTGAAAAGCACATTTGCAAATTGTAGGCCAAAATTTCAAAGTTGAGAAAATGGCTAGTTGGAAGGATTTTAATTCTCCATTCACTGTTTAGAAAATAAATCTCAGGGTGATTTTCTCGGTGTGTAAGAATTAATTTTAAGTCTAGTTATATATCCATAAATGTCCAATTTATTATTACTTTAATAATGTTTTCTAGACAAACAATGATCCAAAGCTTTTAAATATGGTGTGTACACTTCTTAGTTTAGTTTTTTAAGCACGTTTAGTTATACAGAGCTTCTCTCCACAGAGAACACAGACACACACTCTTGAATTAGGATATTACCATAACCCAGCTTAGTGGTATTCATTATATCAAGGATGAAAGGCTCTGAGCTCTGTCCAGGAATACAGCCAGTGACTTAAACATCAAAACAGATTCTGTAGTTTGGTTCATTAATTAACTGAGCTATATATCACAAGCCTTGATTAATTAATTAACAAACCTGCCTGTTTTTATTGCAAATTTGACATTTTATTCTAAGATAACAGAATTAAGAGCTCAGCAGCCTCTATGGACTTATCAGCTTTTATGTGTGACCTAATGAAGATATCTCTTGAGTCTTCAAATGCATACCAAGTTCTATTAAAGGGATACTCTGTGCACCATAACCACTACAGAGTATCCCCTTAACCACTTAAGTACCGAGCACTTTCACATCATTTATACATATATGGGCAATTAAATACTGAAAATATTATGGAGGCTTAGCCCTACTAAAGAGTTAAAATCTTTTGCTGCTCATTGTAAGGTGTTCAGTGTCGACCAATTATATTGCCTTATGTAAAGGAATGATTTATAATTTAGTTTATAAACCAAATATGGCACGAAAATAATTATTATAAAGGTCCTCACCTCTCAGAGAGTCTCAGAATACCACCTGATCTCGATTTTAGATTCCATTAAACTATGCCCCTCGTTCTATCACGTTTCTAACATGTCTGTTTCTAACAACATGAAACTAATCATTATATTAAATATCCTCCAAAGAGTCATTTTCCACTAGTGAACTCACCCCATAACTGTTCATTGACACTGGGTGCCCTTTTTTATTTGCAATCCTTTTTTTTATGTTGTGCTTGAGATATCAAATAACAGATAATCTTGCTGTGCCACAACAGCAGTAGCAAGCATGTTGAATACAATTTGACAATTCATTGAATTATACATGGATCATGAGAAGAGTGACTTGTAATATGAATTTGTATGGTCGATACGTTAAATTATTGCCTTCTCCTCTACTCAATGTCATCGCTGGTTTAGAGGTCACGGAAATAGGAGGCCGAATTCACAAATTGAGGGAATGCAACACCGTCAAAACTGTGTTGAAGTGTTCTCCTCACCAGGGCCTACCTTGATCAACAGCTGAATAACTCTTTGAATAAACAAATATTTTATATAAATATTACAGTCCGGCAATGCTTTGAATTTCAAATTAGTTTAACACAGGTCAACAAAGCATCTGCTAATATTCACAGTAACCACCTCGATGAAAACATGTACAACTTGAGTTGAAGAATACCCCCAAATAAACATGCTGTTACAAAGACACAGATTACTGCATTTTATTTTTCATACCTCACAAATACATTGCTAAAAATCAGAAGGTACAGTTTACCATTAATCTGGAGAATAATTGTATATTATGTTTACAGAGGATATTTTTGAGTATGGAGATGTATTTTAACCCCTTAAGGACTGAGGCAGTTGTACACGTTGTGATCAAAGAAAACGTAAACAAAACCTTGAATTTGCGCTATTAGTCTGTTCAGGCGTAATTCACCTCTTTCATATTATGTGCACCCACACTTATTATATATAATTTTATTCAGGAGAAACAGGGCTTTCATGTGACATCAAATATTTGTATTAAACATAATTTAACATGAACAAAATATATTTTAAAAAATGAGAAATTAAGAAATTTTGTTATTTTTTTAGTTCTGCGCAGCATTTTAACTGCGAATGTCACAATACTGTTAGCTGTTACTGCGATAAAGTACACATATTTGTATTCAGTGATGTCTCACAAGTAAAACAGTACCCCCAATGTACAGGTTTTATGGTGTTTTGGACAGTTACAGGGTCAAATATAGCATGTTACATTTTTCAGTTTATACACAATGAAATTTGCCAGACTTGTTATGTTGCTTTTGAGACCAAATGGTAGCCCAGAAATGAATATTACCCCCCTGATAGCATACCATTTGCAAAAGTAGGCAACCGAATGTGTTACAAATGGGGTATGTCCAGTCTTTTTTAGTAGCCACTTAGTCACAAACACTGGCCAAAGTTAGCATTCATAATTGTTTGTGTGTGAAAAATGCAAAAAACTAAATTGAACGCTAATTTTGGCCAGTGTTTGTGACTAAGTGGCTACTAAAAAACTGGACATACCCCATTTTCAATACCTTGGGTTGTCTGCTTTTACAAATGGTATGCCATAATGGGGGTAATTCTCATTCCTGGGCTACCATACGCTCTCAAAGGCAACATAACCAAAGCAAATTTAAATGTGAAAAAAAAAAGAAAATTCAAGCCTTATATTTGACACAGTATCGTTTGAAAACACCATAAAACCTGTACATGGGGGGTACTGATATACTCTGGAGACTTTGCTGAACACAAATATTAGTGTTTCAAAACAGTAAAAGGTATCACAACAATGATATCATCAGTGAAAGTACAATTTGTGTGTGGAAAATGCAAACAAAAATGCATTTTCACTTACGATATCATCGTTGTGATATGTTTTACTGTTTTTAAACACTGATATTTGTGTTCAGCGAAGTCTCCCGAGTAAAACAATATCCCCCATGTACATGTTTTATGGTGTCTTGGAGAGTTACAGGGTTAAATATAGGGCTTGCGAGCCAGCTTTTCTGGACTTTCTGCCTGGGTTGCCGGGCAGGTCCCTCAGATTGTAATTAATAAAATGACTTATGTAAAAATATTATATAAATATATTTGTAGAATTTAAATATATATGTCTTGAGAAAAGTCTATTGTGACTGAAACGTCGACATTTTTGTATTCTGCACAATAAAGCAGTATTTATTTTGATATAAAACGAAGACTCCAGAGTGCTCTCTACTTGGATGCTATATATAAATTATTTTTATTTATATATAGCTATATATAATTAGATAGATACATATATGTATTTATAACGTCATTCTAAATGTATTTTAAAATTTAATATATATGTATATTAATATCAAAATACATTAGAACAAATTAAAACCGATATATAATTTTTTTTTACATTTATTATTATTTTTATTTATTTATTTCAATTTATTTATTGATTACTTTTATTTATATATATATATATATATAATTATATATATAATTAACATAATTATTAATATTAATATATATAATTTTATATAGATGTAAAAAACAGATAAAATTCTTATCTTGTAATACCTTTTTTATTGGACTAACAGAATTTTTTAATGACAAGCTTTCGGGAGAACCTCCCTTTCTCAAGTCTGAAGCATTTCTGAGCAAAACGACACATAGAATTCAAAGTTGAGTTGAGATACAGGGGTTAAAGCGACATGAGTGTAGATAAGACACAGGTTTGTTAGAAAATAGACACCATCTTAGCAGAGGGACTACATCACTGGACTAATACGGCTACAATCTCTACTTAATTTTATATATATATATATGTATATATATATATATATATATGTGTGTGTGTATATTAATATTAAAATGCACTTAGAATAATAGTTTATGTATGTGTATGTACATATAAAAGTATTTGGATATTATATATATAAATATATATATGATCCAAGTACTTTTATTTACTTTATTAAACTTTTTATTAACTTTTATTAACTTTATAAACTTTTTTACAGGCATTAGGGGGACAGCCTGAGAGCTCAGGTAGTCCCCCTGCAGGCACTGCATAAACCGGCTATTCCGACCATGTGATCGCAAGGACCCCACATAAGACTTTTTATTCCTTAATGTACATGTAACAGTAGTTTTTGATGTGTGCACTTTAAATCTTAAATAGATTGATATTTTCTAGACTGTATTTTTAAAGGATCACTATAGGGTCAGGATGGCAAACATGTATTACTGACCCTATAGTGTTAAAACCACCATATAGCTCCTCTTACCCACCCCTAAATATAGTAAAATGTTACTTGTATTCTAATCTGCAGCTGCTGCCTCTGCCACTGATCTGCCTGATTGGCTGACATCATCAGAAGTGGTGGTCTGTTCCATTCACAAGGCTTCCCCATAGGATTGGCTGAGACTGTCAAGGAGGCAGATCAGGGGCAGAGACAGCACAAGTGAAATATAGTCCTGGCCAATCAGCATTTCCTCATTGAGATGAATTGAATCAATGCATCTCTATGAGGAAAGCTCAGTGTCTGCATGCAGAGGGTGGAGACACTGAATGTCAGTGCTGCACACTGAGCAGCACTGCCCCAGGAAGCACTTCTAGCAGCCATCTGAGGGTGGCCAGTGGAGCTATCACTAGGCTGTAATGTAAACACCACATTTTCTCTGAAAAGACAGTGTTTACAGCAAAAAGCCTGAAGGGAATGATTATATTCACCTGAACAAATACAATAAGCTGTATTTCATCTGGTCACTATAGTGTCCCATTAATGTTTGGTTAGAATAGCATGAACATTTAAATATAAAGGACATATCAATCACCTCGAGACTTGCATATAGTTTTAGAAGCAAAGTACACATTAACAGCCTTAAAAAGGTTTAGAAAAACAAAATACCAGCCCTGTTGAGCCTTATTTTGATAATCTTTCTAAAAACGTACCAGAGATTATTTATGTTCTTCTAAAAATATTAGGGAATGGGAAGGTTTATTTCAAAGATAGGTTGCACTTGTATTGTACTTTGTTAGGGTACTGGTCTCAAACAGTATTTTATTTTATTAACTCTCTTTAACTCGCTGGTTCTTTATAGTGTATGCCACCATGAGAAATCTCTCAAAACAGGATGATCTAGTTGCAGCGGCTGAAGGATGCATGGGGAAAACTATGGAGATAAAACAGCTTGATGTATGCTGTGAAGAGTCCATTAAGAACTGTGTTAGCAGCATTCCAGACAGAAAAGTTGACATTCTAGGTAAGTAAAACCAATTAACACTGGTTGTCTTTCACCCCCGATGATGTCACACGCAGTCAAACAATAAAGGGGATTGGCAATTGTAACATCCCAAATTTTGACACTATCCAAACTGTGCGATTTTACCTTATGTAGCCAGATCCCAAACGCAGATATAGCCATACCCATACATACAGGCTGAAGATGGAGAGACCTCTAGATAGGGAGTGTCTGTAGAATGAAAGGAAAAGGGCTGGAGAAGGCAGCACCCAATGGTCAGGACAGGCAGTGCAGGTTCGGGATCAGTAATTAGAGCCAAGGGATGAAGACAGACACTGTGGGTTTATAGTCAAGGATCAGGATACAGACGTATCAATATCCATAAAAAAGTCAAGTCATCGTTGCTGATATTATAAATCAGCACCAGATATGCCTAGCAAGCTTGTTTTTTGCACGTGATGCTTTTACTAGTGAATTATGATACACTAATAAAGCATGCATTGTCCCAGGACCTTTCCTGGTTAAATACTTTGTTATTATTATTATTATTATAGTGAATTATGGTACACTAATAAACAGGGCCATCTTTAAGGAGGGGCAAAAGGGGCAGCTGCCCCGGGCCCAGTTACTCCTGGGGGGCCCTAAGGCAGCTGCCCCATGGGCCCCCTGCAGCACCTGAGGTAATCAGGGGCCACAGCCCTTTAATACTGCTCTGGACCGGGCCCTTGTAATATGGGGGTTGGCTGAATACAAACACACAGATAGCCCCTCACACACTGCCCTGTGATCCCTTTTCTTCTCCGTGGCATGCTGGGAGGCAGTGAGGTCAGATTGCTTCCTCCTCAGTGCCGCTGGGGAGGAGGCACACACCACATGGAGGAGGATGCAAGCATTGTTGGGGAGAGGGACTGAGAAAGCTGATGGCAGACTCCCATCAGCCTGGGCCAACAAGCTCCCACTGGACACCAGGGAAGCCACCTTTCTGTACCTAAAAGGTAAGGAGACAGAAGGGTGGCTAAATATGTTTTTTTTTTTTTGTTTTGCTTATTTCTGATATCACTTTTATTTGTGTGTTGGTGTTTGTAATGTAACACACAGGGAATAAGTACATGTTAAAAATCCTAGAAGAACCTGGTAGTTCCCTATCAAATATAAATTTTAAAAGTATTTATTTTAACATATTATTGCATCAAGTGTTATCAAAGGCTGTATACCATTTCCAAATGTCACTTTTGCCAAATTCTGGACCAGGGTATGTAAGAACAGAGTTGAGACATTATTATGGCCAAGGTTGCTGGGAGTTGCTGTCCAAGAGCTGCTAGAAGGCAGAGATTAAAATATGTAAATGTACACATATATGGCTGTGTGTGTGTGTATCTGGCTGTGTTTATGTCCTTGTGTGTATCTGGCTGTGTTTGTGTCAGTGTGTGTATCTGGCTGTGTTTGTGTCAGTGTGTGTATCTGGCTGTGTTTGTCTGTGTGTCAGTGTTTCTGTGTGTATGTATACCTGTGTATGTGTACTTGTGTGTCAGTGTGTATGTGTACTTGTGTGTGTGTGTGTGTGTGTGTGTATGTATGTATGTATGTGTAAGTGTGCATCTGAGTGTGTGGTAATGCATACATCCCAGCATTTTAATGCCAACACAAATACACTCCATCTCTAGCACTGTACACATATACACCCCTGCATTTATACCTTTATGTATGTGTGTATCTGAGTGTGTGTGTACATACCTGTGCCAGTGTGTGTGTGTACCTCTGTGTGTGGATGTGCCAGTGTGTGTGTGTATCAAAGTGCTTGTATCTGTGTGTCAAAGGGTGTGTATCTGAGTGTGTGTGTGTATGTGCCAAGGTGTGAGCATGTGTCAGTGTGCCTATGTGTGTATCTGCGTGTTAATGTGTATGTGTATATGTGTTATAGAAATCACACAACATGCAAACAGAGCCCTGCAAACACAAACATTACATACAAACACACCAGTTTGCTGAAACACCAATACTACACACAAATGTACACAACACTACATCCAAACAACCCCCTGCATGCAAATACAAACATTACATACAAACACATTCCTGTATTAAAACACTAAAATTATATACAAACACCAACTCTACACACAAAAGTACACCTGCATTTAAAAGCCAACACTACAGACAATTACACATTACTGCATTCAAACGCAAACACTACACACAAGTACACCACTGCATTCCAATGGTAACAGTACATACAAATACACCCCTACATTCACACATACACTCTATACAATAACATGCTGACATTCAATTGCACAAACACTGCTCAAAAATACAACCCTGCAAGAATGGTAGATCCCCACCTGGCATAGCATCACAGGAGTTGTATGACAGATGGGGATCTATCTTTTCTTTACTCTTGTGCTACAGGGCAGGCCTGAATTATTATTTTTTTTGCACCAAGGCACTCTCTACATTAGTTTCGCCTCTAGGTTGGGGTGGAGGGAGTGATTGCATGCCCAGGGGGCCCAAGCAGATGCTTGCCCAGGGTCCAATCAATATTAAAGACGGCCCTGCTAATAAAGCATGCATAGTGAATTATGATACACTAATAAAGCATGCATTGTCCCAGGACCTTTCCTGGTTAAATACTTTGTTATTATTATTATTATAGTGAATTATGGTACACTAATAAAGCATGCATAGTGAATTATGATACACTAATAAAGCATGCATTGTCCCAGGACCTTTCCTGGTTAAATACTTTGTTGTTATTATTATTATAGTGAATTATGATACACTAATAAAGCATGCATAGTGAATTATGGTACACTAATGAAGCGTGCATAGTGAATTATGGTACAGTAATAAAGCGTGCATTGTGAATTATGATACACTAATAAAGCATGCATAGTGAATTATGGTACACTAATAAAGCGTGCATTGTGAATTATGATACACTAATAAAGCATGCATAGTGAATTATGGTACACTAATAAAGCATGCATAGTGATTTATGGTACACTAATAAAGCATGTATTGTGAATTATGATACACTAATAAAGCGTGCATAGTGAATTATGGTACACTAATAAAGCATGCATAGTGAATTATGATACACTAATAACACGTGCATTGTGAATTATGATACACTAATAAAGCATGCATAGTGAATTATGGTACACTAATAAAGCGTGCATTGTGAATTATGATACACTAATAAAGCATGCATAGTGAATTATGGTACACTAATAAAGCATGTATTGTGAATTATGATACACTAATAAAGCGTGCATAGTGAATTATGGTACACTAATAAAGCATGCATAGTGAATTATGGTACACTAATAAAGCGTGCATAGTGAATAATAGAAGTCCCATGGTCCCTCCCACATTATTTGCCCCAGCCATCCCACCCGTCTCTTCTTGATCTATCCCTCCTTCTATTTCCTTATCACTCAATCTGTCCTTCACTCGCACCCCATCACTTGTCATATCCCTCGCTCCTTTACCCTTCACTCTCTCCCTCCCATTTCACTGTCCTCATCAGTCCATCCTATATCATTCCAATGCCATATAATTTGCCCTAAACCCTTCCTGGTGTACCCAAAACTAAAAAAAACCTTTCCCTACTTTTCTTTTCCTGGTGGGAGGGGTCCTCATTTTTATAATGTCAACATATTTTACAGCACGTTCCAAATATACATTATAAGCATTATTATATGCAACAGTGAGTAATTAGAAAATGAGCTTCCTAGATACAAAGAAGAAGAGGTGAAAAAGGCCGTGCTGAAACTAGCATTCTACTACAATAATTAGATGATGTGCAAAATATCTAGAAAATACCTGTAAAATATACACATTAATAACACCTTACAATGAAATACAGACACAACTAAAAACAGTGTAATAAAAATAGTCCCCAAATTTACATATCTCGCTCACAAACTACGTTCACCATGTTCAAATGGGATTTATATTTTAAATGCCAGCAAAAGTATTGGTTTTAATAAATTGGTATATCATTTAGAGCTGACTTTTTTCCGGTCTTCTTTTCCCATGTAACCGAAGAATTACCTCAATCACACAGTTAACCATTGTGCACCATGTGTCTTGTCATAGACGGCTGGTGAAATTTAAAGGTCGTAGATAGCTGCTCTCGGACGTAACCTCATGTACTCAGCCATTGATCCGATGTAACGTCATGCCCTGTTCAACAACTAAATCTGTAGATACACAGTTTTGGGAAACAACCAATTTCCCTTTTCGACTCCAATCCCTGTTTCTCATGCCCAATGTGAGTCCTAGAACACTGGACAATATGGATGCCTGTCTTGGAGATTTTATCTATAAAAATGTTTGTTTTTTTATGAAACCCCCCCAAATCTTGATATGAGTAGTTGCTGAGCTTCTCAGTAGCAATAAGCAGAAGGAAACTGGATGATCATTACAGATCTATCATGTCTTTTGTTATTTGATCCTCCTATAGGGCACTAAGTCGAGTAGCTTATATGACAATCAGCATTTTAGTGTTTATTTCATTTAAGGTGCTATGAAAGAGAATGTCGGAGTTATTTATTAAGAAGTATATAACTTTTTGGTTTTTTAACAGTTTTTTTTTTAATTCTTTATTTAATCGTGCAAATAGGGTACACATAGGCAATCAATGCCCCAACAGCTGTTGCTAGCTTAACATTCAACATTAGAAAACATTTGTTGGCATCTATTAACATAGCACTTTTTATATTTTATAAGTACATTATACAAGACATATTTAAATATCAGCCAGTGAGTCCCTTGTGGGTGTGGTAAGAGTGGAAGTCAGTTTGGTGATACCCACAATGGGGTTGTGCCTCCTTCCTATAGACTATGTGTGTGGTGCATTAGAATTGGTTACCTGGCAGGAGGGGGGTGGTAGGGATTTGTTAGCGAGAGTGTTTACTCTGCCATGCGGTGTGTTGGGCAACAGTTAACAAGTGTTAATACATCCTCTCTTTGTGCTTTCGTAGTGCTTGCTTATGAAACTGCTTGGGTTGATCACATAATAGGCTAATAGACTTTGCAAGTATTTGCGCAATAAGAAAGAAGAAAATAATTTTATTTTTTTTTAAAAATAAAAAAATTAGTAGGTTTGAAACAGAAACAAAGGAGAACATAGATGTATATAAAATTAAACATTCTCTAACTTTGGTAGACATGGTGTGTGATGATGGTGGAATACAAAAGTCCCCTTGGGTGGTTCAGCTTTTGCTCCCTCAAGTGGGTGAGCTGTTAGGTGAGACTCTGTGTTTTCCTCTCAAGGTAAATTCCCGAATGGTAGCCGGGTTCAGCTGGGACAGTCCCGTTCCAGTCGGCGGTAAGGCCCGCCATACTCCTGTTGATTGTAGGTGTGCTTCCAGCTCCTGATATCCATGTGCTCTGTGGGTAGTCCCGTTATGTGTAAACATGACAACTCGTGGTGTACCCCATCTGTAGGGAATTTCCTTGGCACGAAGGTGTTCCAGCAATTTCCGCCAGGTTAGGGTGCTTCTGGTGAGGTCTGGGAAGACTGTAATTGAGTAGCCCTCGAACGGTATGGGAGCTTTCCCTCGCAAAGCCGCTAGGAGTGAGGCTTTGTCTGAGAGGGTTTGAAATCTGAGGATGTCAGCCGTTGCTGTTGCCGGCACTCTAGCTGGTTTAGGTAGCCGGAACATACCATCTAGCTTCAGGGATTTTGCCAGCTTTGGTGGGAGCAAGCCTCCAATGAAGCGCCGTATGTAGTGGGGCAGGTCAGCGATGTCGACCGAGTAGGTATCCCCCTGACTTTCAGATTGTATCGCCTTCTCTGATCCTCCATAGCGTCTAGCCTATCTGATGTGGCTGGTTGCTGCCGTGTCAAGTCTGCTACCTGCTGTTCCACCTTGCTAATTCTGGTGTAGTGGTTACTGGAGTGGGCCTCCAGCTGTGAGATTTTTGATGCGGCCCCTTCAATGGCCTCTTTAAAGCAAGCCATGTCAGTTGCTAGGTCTTTGCGGAGATCTGCCAGCATCCTTTTAATTTGGTCTGCAGTGACCGGGTCCCCAGTCTTCTGTGGTGCTGTTTTGCGGTCTGTTGTGGGCTCAAAGGGTGTTCCTTCCAGGAGGTCTGATGCGAACTCCTCCTCCGAGGAGGAGGTGAGGTCGCCGGCAAGCGCCATTTTGGACTACGCTGCTTGATGTGGTATCATATTTTATATGTTAGTTATTACAATCTTATGTACTATCAAAGTATAAAAGCACGAAGACATGTAAGAACAGTACTGGTTATAAGTGTGTGGGAAGTTTGCGATAACTGAGCAGCTATTCAGTTAGCTGAAAAGCAACCACAGCAAGAAAAAGTGTAACCACAACAGGGCGGTTAAATAAACAGGAGAGACAGCTTAGGGAAACAGAAAAAAAAGTTATCAGGAAGCAAACAAACCAAATAAAGACAGGCACTGATGCTAACAAAACATTAAGGCCACATATTAATAAAAGGATTATGTTATTTAGTTTACATCTTTCATGTTATGGTTGGTGTCTCCTACAGTAAGGTCAGGAAGAAATTATCTAAATTTTTTTATTAGATAAATAAAATAAATAATAATAATTACACAACCGAATGTGTATCTATTTCCTTCTGTTCTTTATCATAAATGTATATTTATAACTATGTTTTTAGCCATGTTTACTGATAATGGGTCAATTTTATCATTTATTCAGATTTAAAAAAATAATAATTTAAGGTTATACATTAAAAACCACTTTGGTTTAATATATTTGGATAAGCTTTTCAAATAATTTAATATTTTTGGTTAAACTAATTTTTTTTAAATTTTTCCCCACAAAATACTAAAATAAAAAAAGTATATAAAAAATATGTCAAACTATGTAAAAAAAAAAAAAATCTATATATTAAAAGATTACATCATTTTAAAAGTTTACCCAAAAATATTAAATCAATTAAAAAGCTTATTAAGTAATATTAAATCAAGGTCTAAATGTGAATGTAAAAAAAAGAGAGTGGAATAGCCAAGCTTATGAATGTAGCCAATATGTATTTCTTTCCAAATTAGCTATTTTAGCCTAAATCTTATAATTCAGATTAAATTTCTTAAATTTGATGAAAAATTAATAACTCTGCAAATACCATCTGATCAATTTATCACATTTGCGTGTTGTCCTAATGTGTCTTATACCCTACCTCCTATAGACTGTAAGCTAATTTGAGCAGGGTCCTCTTCAACTTATCGTTCCTGTTAGTTTTCTTGTAATTGTCCTATTTATAGTTAAATCCCCCCCTCTCATAATATTGTAAAATGCTACGGAATCTGTTGGCGCTATATAAATGGCAATAATAATAATAATATGATATTTTACGGTCAGTAACATTTTGCTGTAAAAATAAGACCTATAGCTGCTGAGGTTACAGTTAACAAAATTAATGATTCATAGAGGAGCAATAAATCCCAGGCTGGTACAGTGAGCTTTCTTGTTATCACAGCTGGTAGAAGTCTGTGTACACGCATGGCTTTAACCCCTTAAGGACACGACACGTGTGACATGTCATGATTCCCTTTTATTCCAGAAGTTTGGTCCTTAAGGGGTTAAACAGCAGATAATTTTCGATGTTCTTGACTCCGAGACTTAAAATGGAAATCAGTCTAGTCTTCATGATAATTAGTACGAATTAACAAGTTGCCCACATTAGAACAAATTTGTTACATTTGATGCTTTAGAATAATTATCCTGATTTAATCTTTAATCCCTGATCCCGTTGGTCGATATTAGTGTCGAGGGTCTTAGATTTATTTATTTTTTGTCTGAAGGTCATGGATTATATTCTAAAACATATATTTATTTATTTTATTTCCATTCTTTATTATTTTTTCAACATATAAACATACATCATCGTCATGCATTTTACATAAATTTTTTATTAAATCTTTATTACATTTCAATATATGGAAATCCTGTTTAAATATATATATATATACATATATATATATATATATATATATATATTAAAATGTATAAAATGACACTTACACACATTAGAGGCGTTCGGCGTGGGGATCCCCCCATCTTTTGATAGTCGATAAAAGTTGCCTGCTTAAACAAAACACATACACATGTCAAAATTTTAGTGTGTCTGCTTGAAACCAGATTTCTGTGCTTTTAATTGTATCTATAAACTCACAATATTTTATTGTAGGTTGTGTTCTCTGAGATAAAAATGAAAGTCAGTAAAATATATTCAACATTTTTCATTTTTAATAAAATTAAAATTAAATGGATACTTAAGGCATGAGGATTTCAGTAAGAAAAAACAAATATGCAAGGTATGTTCATTTCTTTAAAAAGATTTTTACCGGGAAGGATACATTGAGATAGATCTCATTTTCAAGGATGTCCCGGGCACACTAACACTGCATCGTTACAATAGGGTACAATAAAATATAAAAAATAATATTATTACACAACACATATATAATTTGAACACAGAACAGATAATAAATATAATCAGCCATGTATACAGATACATTCTGTTTTGAGATATGTAGAGAGGGATCTCTAAGGCTTGGGGAAGATTGGAAAGTGTTCGGGAGATTATTCCATAATAGTGGGACTCTGTAGTAAAATGAGGATCAAGCTGCTTTCTTTTTGTATTGAGGTAGACTAAATAAAGTGGTGGTACTGGATCATCGCATCAGATGTACCATGTCTTTTGATCCTCCTATAGGGCACTAAGTTGAACAACTTAGTGCCCTATAGGAGGATCAAATGACAAAAGAACAGCCGGAGAGAGGATTCTGCTCAGGTAGGGTGAGAGCTTCCCCAAAAAGCCCTTAAACACAAGGCTGTAAAGATGAAGGGTGTGTCTGGATTCAAGCGATACCCAATTTAGTTCTCAACGTGTCATAATGGTGAGTCATGAAGTATTGGACCTTTGGACTAGACTATACACTTGCACTTGTTTAATGGTTTATTTTTGTTGTCTTACTACTAACGTGATCAGCTAAAGTAAAAATGACAAAAAACTATTAAATTAATTCACAATTCTCGGAGACCATGAATTAACTCTAACATTCTAATTCAGACAATTGATTCTAGGTGTGCAATGCTTTAATATCAACTAATCACAGAAGAGTACAAAAAAAGCCTTCCTAACTGTAATTACTGGGATAGAAAGAGATTGCTAAGATTCCAGACCAGACTAAAGAGATTTGCTTGTGCCAGAGAAAACCAGAAACTGGACAAACACCATAAAAGTAAAATGTCAGTCTTGTGAACTTGAGTGAAATTTTGAAATGTCTGAATTTAGCTGTTCAGTACAGTAAGACTAAAAGACAGTGATCACGGGAGAACGGGCCACTTCATACAAAGTCATTGTGTATTTTGCTTTAATGAGGTCATCAGGTCTATGGACAGTCCAACTAGTAAGGCTTGGTGATCGTAACAGAATTCTGAGGCACACCACTATTTCATTTGAATCCATGGTAACTGTATGCTTCTTACTTTATGTTTGCAGTAAGCAATGCCGGAATGGGGCTCATAGGCCCAATCGAATGCCAGACTGTAGACCAAATGAAAACCGTGATGGATACAAATTTCTTTGGTCTAGTCCGTCTCTTGAAAGAGATATTGCCAGATATGAAGAAAAGAAAGAGTGGACATATAGTGATTATTAGCAGTGTTATGGGAATACAAGGTATGGTAACATCTGTCTGCACCTATATCCCTGCTACCCAATCTATGCACAAAAAGGTTGTTACCCCTCCTTGGCTGTCAATCAAAGTTAACCTATAAAAGTGCCAATTTCTATTGAAATTTGCACTTTTTGTAAAATTAAGACATACTGCACACATAAAGCATTTCAGCAAGTGCTCTAGGGGTCTATAGTGTCCCTTAAATAACAATTTTAAAAAACTTGGATCTGCATGTGCAAGTTTAACATCTCTGTTGAGAAATTATTGTTGTTCCATACCACAGCCTTTTAACATCTAGCTTTTCTAGGTAATTATTTCTTATTGTAATTAATGATTTCTTTTTAAGGGAAAAGTGTCATCAGATTTTATTGTGTCACATTCTACTGTTATTTCACTAACTGCTGGGCAACCTAACTTGCTGTTGCTGCAGTTTCACACAAAGCAGCAGCAGCAAGCAAGCAAGTTAGGTGGAGCAGCAATTAATTAGATAGCAGTAGAGCCTGATCCAACATGGCTGTCAGATACAAAAAAAATATAAAAAATAATGTCATTAAGTTTCTTTAAATGCAATAAACATTCAAAAAAACAACAAAAATTAATTCAAATTCTAATTACTGTTAAATTTATTATATCGCTTTGTTAGCGTTAAATTATATTTTTTATTACGAACAACAAGTTTTTGGAAGAAATTAATTCTGAAGTTATGTTTATATGAAATATATTATACTGTATTGTGTACGTACTTTCCATCGTATGACTGATTATAAATCAATGGTAAAAATAAAAATGACTATATGTATAATGTTCATTAAAAGAATTGGTTTTATTTCAGGTATATTGTTTAACGATGTATATGCTGCCTCAAAGTTTGCTGTTGAAGGCTTTTGTGAAAGTCTAGCGATTCAAGCCCTGAAATTCAAATTGCAGTAAGTGTTGCTCTCTGTGCAGTTTTATCGATAATTAGTGGCGGCTGCTGACATTTTAAGGTGGTGGGGCAGCAGACGCATGGATTTGACAAAACATTTTTTTTTTTAAATATATATCTTTATTTTTATTTTTCCTTTTATCATTACAATGAAATAAAAAAATATAAAAATCCATCACCTATCCATAGGGGCTGATTATCCATTCCTACAAAACAATACAACATTGGTAGTGTTACTGAAATATTAAATATAATAAAACGTTTTTGAATAAGAACAAGTAACTACTTTACAAACAAAGGATCGAGAAAAAAAAAAGTCATCAAGAGTCCCCAACTAATTTCGAACCCTAATTATTTTCCTTTTTTATTTATCTATTACTGATCACATTACTTATTGCATTATCCCATTTATCCCACAAATCGGATGTTTTGTCTTAGAATAAAATTTTCTTTGCATTTTCAATTTCTAGCAACTATTATTTTAACAGCAATCAGACATTCGGTTATTAAAAATTGGTCCGTTATATTTAACTTGGGACAATTTAGATGTAGTAATATTATCTACGGCTTGCTAATTTTACCCTACATTAGTGGAATATAATTCTTTGGGCCGATACCCATATTGGAGGCATTTTCCTACGAGTCCACCATTTAAGTAGGTAATTGCCTCTTTGTTTATTACATCTCCAGCCGTTTTCATTTTGGGTAAGTGATATTTTAGATATTCTTTTTGGAACCATATACCATGGGTTAATTCATTTAAAATGGGTTTCAATAAGCGAAAGCGAATGTACTTGCTTGCTCACCTTCTAATAAGAAGAAAATCACTCTTCTTCATCTATATCTATATTCAGAGTTTTGGTCCATGGTTTTATTGCTGGCGAGGTGATAGTTTTTTTGTTCTCTTCTATCAGACTAGCACATCGGGAAAACCGATGTTTTGAGCTGCTACTTTGAAGTATTCTTTTCATTATTAGATATATATTTCGTTTTGATTCTATTCTTATTTTGTCAATATCATGTTTAACTCTCGTGTAAGAGAAAATTAGTTTTTTAGCCAGCTGGAATTCCTCTGCTAATTTATCAAAAGGTTTCAATACATTATTTGATAATAAGTCTATGAATTTATATGTTTCCACTTTTTTAAAGAGATGGAATTCACTGCGATTCCTAGTACATCTAGAGTTTGGAAATGGAAGATCAGATTTGTCAACCTAAATCTCAATTTGATTTATAATAATAATTCAGATTATTTAAATTCCAGATTAGATCTAAAGGGTTTTTGCTTTGATTTGACTAAACATCTTTAATCCTAAATGAAGACTATTCCATATAGAGGGTATTAACCATATAAATATATTCCTATAAAGGAGTTGGGTAAGTTGCAAATCCTTTTTTCACCCCCAACAGTAAACCTATTATCACTAAATGCTTTTTTCCCTATGTGGTGTAAAAATGAGTTTTAGAAGTAGCTGTTTTAATCTTTATTTTGATCAGATTTCCTCCTCCTCCTCTGATTGCATGTCATTTCCCTCTTTGCTTTCTCCCTGCTTCCTGTATTTCAGCCAGACTGCCACTAATGGCTATGCTCCATGGATTCTCTATGAGTATCATTAATGACACACTTTACTGGGCGTGCCAGAGCTTAGTGATGCAATTTGCATCCATTAACACATGCCCACAATTAGGGATCGACCGATTATCGGTCTGGCTGATATTTTGTATTTTCGGCAATATCGGTATCGGCCCATAGAGATACCGAAATTGCCGATAATACAGACCAGGGGGCCCGCAGCAAGCTCTTACTTACCTTCCCAGCAGCTCCTTTCAGCTACCCTGTGTAACTCTGGCGAGTCCCACGGCTGTCAGAGCATGGCACGCTGGCCGCAAGATTTAGACAGGGGAGATGAAGGGAGCTGCTGGGAAGGTAAGTAAGAGCTTGCTGCAGATCCCCACTGCACAGTCCATGCCACCGGACCACCAGGGAATGCCATATCTACCCTCTCTGGCCAAGTAAGAAGCATGGAGTGGGGACTAAAAAACATTGAATACTAAAAAAAATTTTTTTTAATGCCCCTCCATTTTACACACATTACATAACTGCACAAACACACACACACACACTGCATTATATATACATACTACACATACGCATTGCAGTCACTATACACACACTACACAAACACACACTGCATTCACTATATACACACTACACAAACACTGCATTCACTATACACACACTGCACAAACACTGCATTAACTATACACACACACTACACAAACACTCTGCATTCACTATACACACACACTACACAAACACTCTGCATTCACTATACACACACTACACAAACACACACACACTGCATTTACTATACACACACACACTACACAAACACACACAATGTATTCATTGTATACATACACTACACAAACACACACACTGCATTCACTATACACACACTGGATTCACTTTACGCGCACTACACACACACTGCATTCACTATACACACTACACAAACACACTCTGCATTCATTATATACACACACTGCTCAAACACACACACTCTGCATTCATTATATACAGACACTACACAAACACACTCTGCATTCATTATATACACACACTGCACAAACACACACACTCTGCATTCATTATATACACACACTGCACAAACACACACACTCTGCATTCATTATATACAGACACTACACAAACACACTCTGCATTCATTATATACACACACTGCTCAAACACACACACTCTGCATTCATTATATACACACACTGCACAAACACACTCTGCATTCATTATATACACACTACACACACATACTACACAAACACACACTGCATTCACTAATCAAATACTCTCACTGCATCCACTACACACACATATATTCTTGAAAACATAAAGAATTCTGACTAGCTAAAAATCAATATCGGTCGATCCCTACCCACATAGCTTGCTCAAGCCTCCTCGGAATCCTCAGCATTCAGACACTAGAACTTACAAACCACATCACACACATGCACACAAACATTTCCTCACCACATTAGGCATCATAAAATGTCATATGTTTATTGTAAATACATATAAAGAGACAGACAAATTCATAAATACCTATAGAGCTTTGTGTTATCTCTTTATCTCTCTCTCTCTCTCTCTCTCTCTCTCTCTCTCTATATATATATATATATATATATATATATATATCTGTTTGTCTGTCTGTCTATATCTCTATCTATCACTCTCAGGGACTGGCAGAGGAAAGGTTACCAGTGGGTACTGAGGTTCGCTGACAGGGACTGGCAGGGGAGGGGTTAACTGTGGGTAGAGAGAATACAGGAGTTGAACTACAAGCTCATAACTCATTGGTACAGAACTCCCGAGAGACTCCACCGTATGAACATAGACACCAACGATACATGCTGGAGATGCGGAATGGACACATATGGTGGACATGCCCTAAGATAGAACCCCATTTGGTGACAGATCCACGAAGCAATAAAAATTTTTTTTTTAAATTGCGGATACAGACTTACTGCTCCAGCCCCTACCAATGCTACTACCCCACACGACATTCCCATTGGCAGCATAGAAACGGTCACTCACCCGACATCTCTTAAATGCAGCGAAATCTCTCAACCCGATAAGGTGGTGCACTGCGAACACCCCAACATTACGGAGCTGGATGGACAGGATGGAGGACCTATATGAGATGGAGACACTTACGGCCACACTCCACGGGAATATAGAGCACTGCTCACAGATGTGGACTTCATCTGCAGGCAGACCGGAGATGCAGACTGGGGGGAGTGCGCTGGCGTGGCCTGGGATGGGAGGGGGGGTGCTGCGGCGGGGGGACCCCATTTGGTGCGCTCGCCGTCCCTTGTCCTCTTTGGCTCTTCTTGGCCTCTTTTTCAGCTCTTCACCCTTTCGCACCCACTTGGTCGTGAGCCTGCCTCTCGCGTCCAGTGGTCAGCTGATGTCCTCCCCCCAGCTCTGTGGGCCCGGCTGGGTGGTACGGGGCCTTGGGGCGGTAGGAGCTGGCCGGGAGGGCTGGCGGGGGGAGACGGGGCCGCCGGGATTTCAGAAAACTTGCTCAAGAGTTACCAGAAGGTGGGGAAGCGTTGATCCAGGATATACGGAGACACACTCCAGACAATCTCTATTATAATGACACATCCAGGGACACGGACACGGGTAACAAGCCAAATACTAGGAATACAGGCCCTAGAACACAGCAGAAGGGGGAGAATTGATACACGACTTCGACGGACAGACTCACACACGACCGACCACTCACGGAGCAGGGCCCAGTTGTATTGCCCATATATGACACAATCACCCTGTCGCTGCGGGATTGAACCTCTGCATGTACCTTAGGTAGTACTATATGTCAGAGAGGAACAATGTATCATTGCTGTGACTTACATAAAACCATTATGGAACTATCACTGTATACCATATTGTTTGTGTTTACCTGTTTGCAATTGACAAAACCAAAATAAAGATTGTCAAAAAAACAAAACAGTGGGTAGAGAGGCTGGCTGGCAGGGACTGGAGGAGAATGTATTACTTGCATTACGGGGAGGGAGAGGAGCACATATGGGCACTAACCTTGTCTCACAGAACAGACTGCACTGCAAAGTGCAGTTTGTGCTGTGAGCATAACTTACATTAGACGAGACATGCCGTTATTGTAAATGGCTGCAAAAGGTATGTTTCTTTCAGATATTAGCAATCAATAACATGTTGAAATGTGAGAGGGGGGTGACTAAGGAGGCTGGGTTACATTGCTGAACACAGTTACACATTTGACAGCACTGTAGGAAAACTACACAGAATTGAAAGAAAAGAAAGTAGCCATAGGTATTTGGAACTTATTAGCTTTAGTTCAAGCATAACTTGTTTAGCTGTCGGGAGTGTCCCTTTAAGTCAAAATTGAAATTACAATTGTAATACAGATTTTTTGCCACAAGATGTCACCAGAGAATAACTTTTAAAAAGTATTTTGCAGTAGTATGCTAGATAGAATTTCTCTAGCAATAAATAAATAAATAAAGAGATTTTCAGCTTTTACAGCAATAAAATATTCACTAGAAGAGATTCATGAAGAGAATTTGTTTTCATTAAAAAGCTAAATAAAACAAAAACAAACCCCCATTAAATTATTAAAGAGAAATAAATGAGCAGCTAGACCAGTGTCATGGCTGCTTTAGTGACAGGCACCTGCTGTTACAGTGGTGCCTGACACTTTGTGGCCGGGTTGCTGGGCTCAGAGTCTGAGAGGTATATTACAATAAGGCAGGCACCACTTCAAACATTGGATGCCTTACATTAGTGTGGAGGGGGGATGACGACGACTAGGGAGACCAAATAGCAGGCATTGCTGCCTGAATGGTTCAAAATTCAAAGGAGAGGAGAAGAAATACAAAAGGGGGTAAGAAATTCAAGATGGGTATTAAGGGACGCACAGGTGAAGATGCATTTTTTTTTTGGTGGGGGGCAAGAAAGGCAAAATGCATTTTCACCTGTGTAGCCACAAATCCTTGCTCGGTTCCTGGTGGCAGCCTGGCAGGCACCACAGTGCCTACCTTTATTATAGCGAGATTGAACGAGTGAGCTGGTTAGGGGGAATCCTGGTGCCATGCCGGCAATGCGCTGTTTTGGTCCCCATTAATGGCGGCAAGCGGCAGGAAGTGCCTGCCGCCTCTCTGTATTAAGTCAATAAATCTGGTGATTATATGTTTTAAAGTCTTTAAAGTCGTTTTAAAGTTTAAAATTATAGAACAATCTGGTTGTTCTACATTTACTATTATTAAAATATCAATCCATACTGTGATCAGTATTTTGCAGGAAATTTGCAAATCACCACAGTTGACTTTTTAGTCAACAGAAACGATTGATAATTTTCAAAAATGCTGTCTTGGGCTCTCATATTTTAGTTGTCAAGACTTCATCAAAAACTTTCAGCTCCATAAATCTTGAGTATAGAGTTTTGATTTAGGAGACCACAGCAAAAATTCAAACTTGATACCTCGATACTTGAACATACGTGATGTTGTTTCCGAAGTATTAATAAGCATAAATATGAAAGCAGGTAGGGATAAAAACCATCATAATTCAAGTATCAGCTGATTTCCCAGTTAGAGGTTTGGTTAAAAGGTTTCTGTTCCTTTTCATAGATTGAGTCTGATTGAGCCTGGGCCTGTTGTCACAGAGTTTGAAAAGAAGGTTTATGAAGATGGATTGACAATGGACCTTTCAGCTGCCGATAAGGAAACCGCTGAGATGTTCACCAATGTGTACCTTAAAAACTACAAGTCTATCTTCCAAAGTCTGGGTCAGACAGCTGAAGACGTTGCAGAGGTATTTCTAAATATTATCATAGCGTACACACAGAGTACATTGAGATACGACAGCCTATCCTCTTTCTGCACCAGGTTGTAATAATAGGTTGTAATAATTGACAGGCCTAGATGCATTCAAGTTGAATTACTAGGCAGCATCAATGGCCGTACTGCTGCTTAATTCGACAACGCTAAGAAGTTAGTTAAAAGATCCGTGATATTTACTATCATGCGACACAGGCAGGCTTTCGAGAATAAATTAGCTCTGTCAGCAGATCTATTTCCCTAGTGCAAGTGTTAGGAATGCACAATGCCAAGAAAATATCAGGTTTAGGTTGGTCAGTTAAAGTTCCAAATGGCGACACTTTGTTGATGTCTGCTGTTGTAAATCAGTACAACTAGTATATTAAAAAATACTTTACATTACCTTCTTGAAAGCTATGTACCACACACCACAAGGTGCCCTCATACTCCCTAACATCAACCCACCACGCTTCACTATTGCGAACGGAACAAGACAGGGATGCCCTCTCTCACCCATACTATTTGCGATCTCGCTGGAACCCCTGATGCAAGCAATACGCACCGACCCAGACATAAAAGGACTACAAATAAGGGGAGAAGTCTTCAAAGTAGCAGCGTATGCGGACGACGTCCTGCTAACGCTCACCGACCCCGAAACATCAATAGCGGCCCTACTGACCTTAATACAAACATACTCCACATTGAGTGGCTATAGACTCAACATCGCAAAGTCGGAACTACTACCACTAAATATCACTGAGGCAAGATTGCAACACATCCAAAACCTATTCCCAGCATGCACCTGCCACGATTCCATCACATACCTGGGAATCCAACTTACAAGTGACTTGACACGCCTATACGAGGCAAACTACAAACCCATACTTCACCAGGCCCGCGAGGACCTGAGAAGATGGCAACCACTAGGGATATCATGGCTGGGCAGGGTAACCTCAATTAAAATGAATCTCCTGCCCAGATTCCTTTACTTGTTCCAAACCCTGCCCATCCCTGTCCACAAACAGGATCTTAAAACACTCCAAAAGGAAGTGGACTCCTTTGTTTGGAACGGCCGAAAGCCACGGGTGCAAAAGTACACGCTCTACGTCCCCAGACGAGCGGGAGGCCTAGGACTCCCAAACTTCACACATTATCTGACAGCAACACGTCTGGCCCAAATACAACAGTGGCATCTCCCACCGGGTAAAAAACGATGGGTAGACCTAGAGCACCTGATATTTGGCTGGGACCACCCGTCCCTATATATGTGGCTACCCAAAACACAAAGACCACTACCACCACCCACATCCCCCGCGATAACAAACTCCCTAGATCTATGGGACAAAGCAAAAGACACAAACGACCTGTCCTCCTATCTATCCCCGATCTCCCCCATATGGAGAAACAAACTATTCCCACCAGGTCTAACCCCAGCACACTTCGCAAGCTTTGACAATAGGAATATATGTAGATTGCAACACCTATACGCGGCAGATGCTATCATCGCCTACAACGATTTACCAGACAAGGACACACTCACTACATTTGATCACTTTAGATACCTGCAACTCAGAAGTTTCGCTGCCACACCCGTCATCAAACAGGCAGGCACAGCCCCTCTAACACGATTTGAACGAGATAGTATGGACCACACAGCGAGAAGGGGCCAAATCTCAGACCTCTACACCACTATAGCAACACACCCAACCCAGGTGAAGCTCTCCTACATCAGGGCATGGGAAAAGGATCTAGGCACACTGGAAGACCCCACAGAGTGGTCAGATATATGGGAAGCCATAGCCACCACCTCAATATGCGTCACCCACAAGGAACAAGCATATAAAATGCTGTTCCGGTGGTACTTGACACCACAAAGACTAGCTGCCATGAGAGCAACTCACCCCAACCTCTGTTGGAAAGGTTGCGGAGAAATAGGCACCTTCCTTCACTGTTGGTGGTTCTGTCCTAAACTGAAACCGCTCTGGCAAAGTATCACAACCCTGATCACTAGACTATTCGACAGACCATGCCCCATGGATCCCTGGCTACTATTACTATCCAAACCTAGTGACACCTACACAAGAAGAGAAAACAAACTAATAGCAAGAATAACACTCGCAGCTCGCAGAGCGATCGCTGAACAGTGGGCCACACCACACATCCCATCGCAAGTTGCCATCACACACAAGATACAGGACAGCGCAAACATGGACAGCCTCACAGCCCAAATACACGAAACAACCACACAATACCACAAGCTCTGGGACCCCTGGCTAAACGGAGACACTACACTACCCTGGTAAAACTAATTATCAAGAAATACACCACAAAAGACCTAATACCTCATAAAACTGTTCCTACAGAGACATACCCATGCTAAGATACACTCTTAGCACCCACGGCAAACCAAATCAAGACCTGCAAGCCCGGGCTGGGGAGGGGATGGGGGGACCGGTCGATGCACCCCTACCTCACCCGGATCCAGAAACATCCTGGCTTTTCATGCCACTATCCCACCTCCCTCTTTCCCCACTAATGGACACAACTCAGGGAGGCTACAACTATCACGACAAACTTCTACCTACATAACAAATCCCAACAGTCACCTACAGTAGCAGACACAGACAAGGGAACCAAAAGACCCCCGGAACGTCTTGAGAGTCGAGGAAACCCCACCAAAGCTCAGGGATAAAACCGAGCCACCAACAAAAAGACTAACAGATAGAAAACGTAGGGCCCTCAGAAATACCAGCACCAGTGAAAACCAATAGCCAGAAACAGATACCCTACCCACAGAAAACCCTGAAACTCGGCCTGAAGGGCCGAGGAACCAAAGACATAGACAGCACAAGCCTAACCACTCACTAGACTGACGGGACGTTCCGGTCCTCCAAGCACGCCATAGCAGCACAATGACGACTAACCTACCCTCACCTACCCAAACAACGAATTGTCAAACAGGATATCTCAAAACAGAACAAGCTTGCAATGTATATATGACAAGGAAACGTTGTATCCCCCTACCCTCTCTTCATTCTGTACCCTAAAACCAAACGCAAAAGAAAAATGACAAAAATAAAGAATTTAAAAAAAAAATAAAAAAAATACTTTAGCATGTCATAAGAGAGACCCAATCTGTGCTTTTGCACTGGAGCAGTTGATCAGGTCTCTCCATGTTAAAATTAATTTAAAACCTTGGGGTCTCCCGGAATATTTGAACAATAGTTACATTAGATCAATGTTTCAGTCCATATGTAGACTTTAATCAAAATAACCCACAAATGCCAGACACTCACCTTAAATATTAATGCAATACGTGCATGTAACGAGAGACCAGCCCGGTTACAGAGGGGGAATAGAGAGACACAGGGGAAGAGGGAAGAAAGAGACAGTGGGAAAATAGAGAGAGAGAGACACAGGGGGAGAAAGAGACAGAGGGGGAATAGAGAGACAGGGGGGAGAAAGAGACAGAGAGGGAATAGAGACACACAGGGGAAGGGGGAAGAAAGAGACACAGGAGGAGGTGGAACAAAGAAGCAGAGGGGGAATAGAGAGAGAGACAGACAGAGGGAGGGGGGAGAAAGAGACAGAGCGGAAGAGAGAGATATAGGGGGTGGAATAGGGTGAATAGAGAGATGGGGAAGGGGGGAGAAAGAGACAGAGAGGGAATAGAGAGACACGGTTGAAGGGGGAGACACAGGGGAGAAAAGCAGAGGGGGAATAGAGAGAGAGACACACAGAGGGAGGGGGGAGAAAGAGACAGAGGGGAAGAGAGAGACACAGGGGGAGAAATAGGGTGAATAGAGAGATGGGGAAGGGGGAGAAAGAGACAGGGGGAGAAAGAGACAGAGAGGGAACAAAGAGACACAGGGGAAGGGGGAAGAAAGAGACACGGGGAGGGGGAATAAAGAAGCAGAGGGGGAATAGAGAGAGAGACACACAGAGGGAGGGTGAAAAGAGACAGAGGCGAAGAGAGAGACAGGGGGAGAAATAGGGTGAATAGAGAGATGGGGAGGGGGGGAGAAAGAGACAGGGGAAGAAAGAGACAGAGAGGGAATAAAGAGAGACGGGGGAGAAAGAGACAGAGAGGGAATAGAGAGACACAGGCGAAGGGGAAGACAGAGACAGGGGGAATAGAGATACACAGGGGGATGGGGAAAAAAGAAGCAGAGGGGGAATAGAGAGAGAGACACACAGAAGGAGGGGGAGAAAGAGACAGAGGGGAAGAGAGAGACACAGGGGGAGAAAGAGGGTGAAAAGAGAGATGGGGAAGGGGGAGAAAAAGAAGGAGGCGGAAGAAAGATGTGGGGGAGAGAGAGACACAGGGAAAGGGAGTAGAAAGATAGAGGGGTAGAGAACTAAGGAAAGACAGATGGGGAAGAGAGAGACACATGGGGGAAAAGAGGCAGAGGGGAGGTTTGATAAAGAAACAGGGGAAAGAGAGAGGCACAGGGGGAAGGGAAAAAGAGACAGAGTGGGAAGGAGAGGGGAGACATGGAAACAGGAGCAGTGAGGGGGAGAAAAAAATATACAGAGGGACTGGGGGGAGACAAAGAGGCACACAGAGGGGCTGGAGGTAGAAAGAGACACACAGAGGGGCTTCGGAAGGGGAGAAAGATACAAACAGAGGGGTGAAGAAGGGTAAAATGGGACACACTGTGATGAAGTAAAAGACACACAAGGGGAGTCACAAGGGGGAACAGGAAACACAAAAAGCGGCAAGAAATTCAAAAGGTGTTTAAGAAAAACACAAGAGAAGATACTTTTGTGAGTGCGTGTGTGGGGGGGGTGGGGATTGCATTTTCACCAGTGTCTACTGCTCTCCCTCTAACTCCGTTCTTCAGTACAGGACTCTATGCTGAAGAGCTAATTAACAGGTGAGAGAAATACCTCTTATTAAATAGATTTTCCTTCCAATACATACATTTTGCTAGCAATCTTGCTAACACAATGTACAGATAGACGTTGCAATTGATGTCATTCTGACAGTAATACAGATATATATATATATATATAGAGAGAGAGAGATATGTATATTAATGTGTGTATTAGTAATATATAATGATGGTGCCAGGTCCCTCTAGGATTAACCCATTTTTTTATAAACATAGCAGTTTCACAGAAACTGCTATGTTTATAAATGGGTTAATCCATCCTCCAAATCCTCTAGCGGCTGTCTCATTGACAGCCGCTAGAGGCGCTTGCGTGATTCTCACTGTGAAAATCACAGTGAGAACACGCAAGCGTCCATAGGAAAGCATTATGAATGCTTTCCTATGAGACCGGCTGAATGCGCGCGCAGCTCTTGCCGCGCATGCGCATTCAGCCGAATGGGAGGATCAGAGGCGGAGAGGAGGAGGAGAGCTCCCCGCCCGGCGCTGGAAAAAAGGTAAGTTTTACCCCTTTCCTCTCCCCAGAGCCGCGCGGGAGGGGGTCCCCTCAGGGCACTATAGTGGTCCTTTAATATGTCAAGGTAGTTGGACTGAAACATTGATTATATGCAAAGGCAATTCTGCTTATAATACAGCTGCTCTTTTGTTTATTTTGAAGCCTATGAGTGCTTTCTTTCATGTAAATAGTTTTTAATTTTAAATTGTCTTTTCCACCTCTATATCAGCACACTATGCTGGCGCGATGCATTATTGGGCTGGTATAGAATTTTTTTCCAGTCTGGCCCTTCTAAGACTGCATGGACAGGCTATAGACTCCAGAACTTATATATTGAGCCAAAGTGGTTCTGGTGACTATAGTTTCCCTTTAATCAAGGCAGGTCTAAAGGTCTACTAGGTAATTATCTGAAAATGCAAAATAGGTTTTAATTGTATCCTGATTTTATTTTCTTCTATATCTGCAGCACACTATGAAGATCATTTTGGCTGAAAATCCTCCTTTTCGGCACCAAACGAACACCCTGTACACGCCTATGACAACACTAAAATATGCTGATCCCAATGGTGATCTGCCTATCGACACCTTCTATAAAATGGTTTTCCAACATGATAAAGTTTTTAACGCAAGCCTTAATTTTATAAAACTCTTGAGATGGAGAAGCAAGAAGAGTTTTGACCTAGGCAAACCGCAGTCTTAAAAATGGTGGGCACCATGCAAATACTATACCTTGATCACTTTCTATGCAAAATGTATTAATGTATTTTGTAATTAATTATCTCCATATTGCTCCAAAGGTAGCTTATTGTACTTTAAACCCATTAAGGAAGATCATTTTTATCTGATATGGTGTTGTAAGATGTTGTGTAGTGTCATCAAAGTGTGTAGCAGAGACAATATTACTGTATCGTTTTTTTTCTACTTTTTTCCCATTAAAGACCATATTTATAACCCCTTACAGATGATGCCAATCTGGTCCCTAAAAATCCTGTATTAGTATGGTAGCCCTGCTTATTTTGTCTTTGCAGTTCTCCCTAGCCATGCATTCATTAAATAAGTGGGAGATTTTGTTTTCATAAAAGCTAGCTTGTTGTGATGTATTATTACATAATTGGTCCTTAAAGGGACACTATAGTCACCTGAACAACTTTAGCTTAATGAAGCAGTTTTGGTGTATAGAACATGCCCCATGCTGCCTCACTTCTCAATCCTCTGCCATTTAGGAGTTAAATTCCTTTGTTTATGAACCCTAGTCACACCTCCCTGCATGTGACTTGCACAGCCTTCCATAAACACTTCATGTAAAGAGAGCCCTATTTAGGCTTTCTTTATTGCAAGTTCTGTTTAATTAAGATTTTCTTATCCCCTGCTATGTTAATAGCTTGCTAGACCCTGCACGAGCCTCCTGTATGTGGTTAAAGTTCATTTTAGAGATTGAGATACAGTTTTTTTTCATGCAGGCTATGTCAATCATAGCCAGGGGAGGTGTGGCTAGGGCTGCATAAACAGAAACAAAGTGATTTAACTCCTAGATGACAGTGAATTGAGCAGTGAAATTGCAGGGGAATGATCCATACACTAAAACTGCTTTATTTAGCTAAAGTTCAATTTAGGTGACTATAGTGTTCCTTTAAGGTGTTAAGCAATAGCTTCTTTGTATTCGAATTAGTAAAGGCTCACAGTTCTAATATTGCTATTAGTTAATTTGTAAATATATTAAGACTTTTAGAAGCTGTATTCATGTTAAGAAATGTATTATGTGTTTATGCGTACTGGAGTTTGTATGTAGCAATGTATATTGAAATATTTGTTGGCTTATCTCTGTAATTTCATTTTATCTAAAGTATTTGATAAATATTGCAGTAAATAAAAAAAATGTGAAAGTGCTTAAGAAATAGTAATAATGTGTATACACAGTTTAGCTGCACTACACAAAGCGACACAAAAGTGACACACAATAAATAAAAAAATATATATATCAAATAATGTAGCATGCTTAAACTGGAATGATTGTGGTTCATTTAGATACTCTGAAATTAATAACAAACATACATAGTGCAGACTATCTAAATATAAAACATAAAATATTGTGGGGGATCTGGGAGAGAACTTACATGTACCAGAGCCCTATCACCTCTTGCTCTGTGTTCGAAATGCTCCACTTGAAAGGGATAATTCCCACAGCAGTATATCAGGATAGATGTCTCCAAACAGTGTGTTCAGTCAGGTGAATATAAAGGTTCTATGTAGTATATGAACAAATAGAGAGGCAGGAACACCCAATTGAATAGTATCTGAAACAGTTTATTAATATAAAAGGTTAAAAACTCTTACTTTTGTATTGGTGGGTATGTCAGCAATCAACCCACAACTGAGCAAGTATGTATAGAGTAAAACAGTTACTTCCGGGTTTCACCAATCACGTGAACGTCATTGGAGAGGCGGACCCAAGAGCACCACGTGATCGAGAATTGGCCAAACCCAGAAGTGACTGTTTTAATCTATACTTGCTCAGTTGTGGGTAGTTTGCTAGGACCTGCAGAGCAGAGAGACCAAGAAAACTTGCGAATTAGTGAAGAAATATAACAGGAGCCAGAGTTGGTTAGAGCTTTATAGGTAAGGGTTAGTATTTTGAATTGACTCCTGTAGGATACAGGAAAGTATTAACAGTGTAGTGAAGCAGTACAGATTCTGGGGAGATTGATTAAGAAAGAATTACAGTAAATAATGCAAGGAATTACTAGAGCATGAAGAAGGGAGTGAACGCAGGCAATGTTTTTAAGATGGAATCAGCAGGATTTGGCAACAGACTGGACATGGCATTAAAAACAGCAAGCTTGCAAGAACAAGCTGATGTGGGTACCATCGAATTGCATGGAGAGCAAAACAGAAGGTTAGTGTTATGAGGAGGAAAAGTAAGAAGTTCAGCTTTAGAGAAATTAAGTTTCAGAAAGCAGGAGGACATCCAATCAGAAATGGAAGAAGGCAACTTGTGAGGCATTCTAAGACAACAGAAGAGAGATCAGGGAGTAGAGATATATCTGAGTGATATCAGCACACAGTGGAATCCAAAGGAATTAATACATTTGCCAAGAGTGGCAGTTTAAAGAGAGCACAAAATGGCTGAAAGAGGCCATTGCTATAAGGGAACACCATTGCCATGGAGATTGTATGTAGTCTGTAATGATCTCTAGGCAGGTTGTACATGGCAAAGTAACATCCACATGAATGCCAGGACCCAAGATTAACCAGCAGAATATTGCCCAGAACATAACACTGCCTCCTCCAGCCAGCCTTCTTACATAGTGCATCTTGCTGCCATCTCTTCTACAGGTAAATGATGCACATGCTCACTATCCACCAGGTCTAAAAGAAAACATGATTCATCAGACCAGGCAAACTTCTTCCATTGCTGCATGGTCTAGTTCTGACACGCATGACCCTATTGAAGGCACTTTCGGTGGTGGACAGGGAGCATCATGGGCACTTTGGCAAGTCTGGGTCTACGCAGTCCCACATGCAGCAAATGGCGATGCACTGTGTGTTCTGACATCCATGATAGCCAGCATTTGTAAGGCTTAGCAGAAGGAGTCCAAAATGCAGCTGGTAGCTGGATAATATCACCAAAAACTAATTTCAGATAGGGAATAAGCAAAGATGTAGTCAGGATAGCCAAAGATCAGGTCGGGTAGCACAGGTTTATAAATGGTAAAACAGGCAGAGGGTCAAATATCAGGTAGTCAACAACACAGAATTAGAATATTGAAGTAAACACCACAGTAAGCACAGTACAACTGAGCGAAGAGGGCTAGGAGACAGGCTGTTATATATGTGAGAAGGGATATGCCCCTTCTGCATCATCCCTGGGCTCCTGACACATCTGCCTTTAAAAGAATACCTTCTCGGCATGCACACACCTATGAGTGCTGGATCCTGCAGAGACTCGACCCACCTAGTCCCTTCTCAGCCAGTTTGCAGGCCCTGAGGAGATTGTGGCACTGCTACTAATGCAGGCTTGCTACCAATTTGTGGCACTGAATTGGTCAGGCTAAATCTCCTCGCGGGGAACACGCTGGTTTGGTGTCTGTGCGAGGAGACACACTGGGAGTTTGAGGTAAACCGGGGGATGTGTGGGAACCTGACACATCATTGCATTTTTCAGCAATTTGTTTTACAGTTGTTCTAGCCTTCGCTCCCATCATGCATCATTGAGACTTGGACTCTTATGACCCTGTTGCCGGTTTACCAGTTGTCCTTCTTTGCACTACTTTTGGTAGATCCTAACCACTGTAATACTTGGAACACCTCACACGACTTGCTGTTAGAAAGATGCTCTGATCCGGTTGTCTAGCCATCACTATTCGGCCCTTGTCAATGTCACTCAGGTCATGAAATTCAAGAACTGACTGTTCACTTGCTGCTACTATGAACTAACATTTGATTGAATCTGTTATAAAGTCATGAACAATTAAAGTATCTATTACTTGTATCTAAATAATAACACGCAATAAAGCACAATCAAAAGTTCGACTAAGGACCAGGTGTATCTTGAGAAATGGTTACATTTAACCAGTGATAAGTTAAATCTTTATTTAAATCAGGGGTTCTCAACCTAGTCCTCAGGACCCCCTACCAAAATCTATATAACAACAAAATGTCAAGAAAAAGCAAAAATAGGGCTCAAAGCATTTCGATCACATGTATTCCTAAGCAAAATGTAGACACAGAAATGCTGGCTATTTTAACAAAGAAAAACAAGTCAAGTAATTGCCAGATGCCGTCCAAAAACTACTCATGTATTAGAATATTCAAATAAAACAAAGAAAAAAAAAAAACTAAAATAAAAACATTTAAAAATATATATACATAAATAATGAAAGATCTTCAAAATTATATTCAAAGCAACACAAAGTCAATTCTACAGGATTCACACAGTAACACAATGTATTGTATTATCTTCTAATACTGTTACTTTTTAATAAAAATGGTAATTTTTATTTTTACGTGTAATGCAATGGTAAATATTTTCTAAAAGAAAAAAACAGGAGAATAGCTTAACGGAGCAATTTTTGGGTATAGATCACACCCCTGCAGTCTCAATTGCTGCAATTTAGGAGTTAAATCATTTTGTTTATGCAGTCCTAACCACATCTCCTCTGTTGTACAGTGTGTTTTTTCTACCAAAATAGAAAAAGAAAAAAAAAAAAGAAAACCAAACAGTAGTAGATATTCTCTAATTGATAAAATGCATGCATTTAGATATATATATTTTTTTTTATCAGGGGTAATATCTAAAGGAATGGTTGTTTCATTGACAGTGTAAATTTATATTGAAATCTACACTTTTTTGTAAAACACAAAAAAGGAAACTGAAATGCTTTAGGGGTCTGGTTTGGGTCCTTTAATTTAGACTAAATTTTCTTTTTTTTCTCGCTTGCTCAGTTAACCCCCTTAACAACGTTAGGACATGTGATTACGTCTTACAAAGCATGAGCTTTAATGAAGGTAGGGCATAATGACATTTTAGTGTGAGCAGGATTAAATCTCAGTTATTAATAGATGGGGCTCCCCACTGTCAGACAGCGCCATGTTTAGTGGCCCAAAACTGACAAATCAGCTGTATGCAGCACTCACAAGTGGCTGTCTGGCTAAACTGAGCAATCAAGGCTTTGGTCATTCTGATGAGCTCCAGAGATCATGTGTGCAGATGGGAGAAACTTGGAGAAGGACAACTATCACTGCAACACTCCACCGATTTGGCCTTTATGGCAGACTGTCCAGACGCAAGCCTCTCCCCCCTGCAAGACACACAAATTAATATTTTTGCACTGATAGAAACAAGATTCGCTTGTCTGATGAAATGAAGATTGAAGGGAACCAAAGTGTCATGTCTCAAGAAAACCAGGTACCACTTATCACCTGCACAATATCATCCCTACGGAGAAGCATGATGGGGTCAGGATAATGGTGTAAATATGTTTTTCAGTGACAATAACTGGAAGACTGGTCAGGGCTGAGGGGAGACTAAACACAGCCAAAAAAATAGATATCCTTAAAGGGACACTGTAGGCACCCAGACCACTTCTGCCCATTGGAGTGGTCTGGGTGCCAACTCCCACTACCCTTAACCCTGCAAGTGTAATTATTGCAGTTTTCATAAACTGCAATAATTTTATGGCAAGACAGGAGGCGTCATGTTTGCTTATCCTTCTTTACTGAAACTCCCAGCAGCAAAGAAGTAGTTAACAATCAGTGTAGAAAAGTTAAACCAATCAGCATGCAGCACAGTAATATAAACTGCAATCAAGCTCCTCCCAACTCCTCTTTCTTTGCTGCTTAGCCTCCCAGGTGAGTCTATTCCAATTATATCCCTATTAATGCTCAATTTAGCTGACTATTATCATTTGAATATATTACATATATTTTCTGTTTCTTTAATTTTATTTATGTGCAATATATGCTACTTTTATTAACAACTGTTAAGTGGCTGACATTCTAGTCAGCCCACAACTTCAGATTCCTTCATATTTCTTTCACTAATTACATTGTGCTCTGTCAGTTTAAATTTAGAGCACTGACAGTTTTGCCGCGGCTCCCGGCATCTTGCCGGTCCGTTCAGCCGCTCAGTTCTTTGTACACAATTTGTGTTGCCCTGGCGTCTCCATAGAGATGCGTCCCGCCTTTCCTCCTATGCCGCGGCCATTTCTCTTACCTTTTTCCCGGGCTTTTTGACTCAGCGCGGTTTTGTCTTTTTTCCGGCTCTTCACTGCAAACGCGACCCAGCTGTTCGGTAAGTATACTTTTTCTTCTTAAAGCCCCAGTCCGTTAGTTTACTTAAAGGTATACACTCCCGTACTCAAAAATATCAGTTTTTCTGTTTACAGATTCCCAATTACACAATTCAAAAAAAACCTTGCTTGATTTTGGGGGTGACCCCCTCTAGCCTATATTC